ATCAAAACATGATGAGAAGGTAAGCACAGAATGACTTCTCTATAACAGGATGAAAATCACAATGAAAAGTTTCAAGAAATAAAATATGTAAATTAGAATTTCTAATAATTATTTTTCTTCTCCTAATTTAGAATATCTTTAAATTCTTTAATCCCATTTTTCTTTTTCATTTTATAATTTTTGTTTTGCTTCTAATAATAATTTGTATTCTTAATCACAGCTTTTATCATTATGTTAGAATTATTTCTTATTGACTAAGTCATCAAATTCATCCTTAGATATTTGAATTTAATCAGAATAATCTTCAATTTTTAAAAGAATTTTGAGGCACATAGATAGCAATGATTATTATTATTTCATATTTTCTTATGATTATTCTATTTATTTGTTAATTTCTATAAGGTTGTTGTTATTTTTAAAAAGTTCAATTTATTCAATTTATTATTAATGATCTTATTATAATTAGTCCTTTTGTTATTCTATAGATTTAATTAATACATTTATTTTAATTAATTAATCTTTGATTTCATTCATAAAATTCTCTGTTTATTTTTATTAATTTTATAACTTTTAATAAATGGACAAATTTTCTGAAACAATTTTCAATTAGTTCATGTTTTATTAATTCTTTTAAGCATTTTCTTTTAAATTTTCCAACTCTTCGATTAAATCTTTTTTTTCTTATTACTTATGAGTGACATAACGTTGATAAACAATCTTTTCTAGTTAAGATTAATTTGAAGTTGTTTCTTTCTATTCATTATATATTTATTCTAAAATTTCTAGATCTTCAAATTTTTATTTTTTTAATTATTCTTAATATGCACTTTTAGTTTCTTCTATTTCCTTTTATTTCAAATCAAGATCTGAATCAATTGTGATTTTAAGCTCAGATTCTAATTTCGATTTTTCTTTTGTTTAAATGGCTGATACGTTTGGAAATAGTTGTTTTATAGACCTAAGTTTATCAATCTTATCTATTTATTTTTATAAATCATTCAAAACTTTAAGTAACATGTCTTTTTCGTTTCTTATTTCTTTTTACTCTTCAAATAATTCAGTTTCTTTATAGATTGTTAGTTTTTGTTATTAAAAATCATTTAATTTTTGTTCTAAAATTGTTATTTATCTTTTTATATTACATTCTTTTTTTTCTTCATCTAAAAATCTTGCCTCAATTTACTTTTACTATTCAATTAATTTATGGTTTTCTATTTTGAAATCTACCCATTATAATAGGGTCTATTCTAACTTCTACTAATCTTACTTGATGATATTTAGTTCGTTTTATTAATGAGCCAAGGTATTTTCAAGTTCATCCTTTTATAATGATTATTTTGCATGATTATCCTATTTCATTTGTATTTCATTTTATATGTCTTTTATTAATTTTTCTTTAATTTTTATATCATTTTAGATTTATTCTAATACAATAAGATTTTCTTCTAATTATTGGTTTTTCTTTTCTTGACTGCTTTTAATTTCATTGATTATCTTGTCAAGATTTTCAGCTGTTAAATCAACACTAAACTTCTGATTTTATATTTGTTTTAAATCTAAATTTTCTAGAATGACTTATTTCTTTTATGTATCACAAAATGAAAATTATTATAATTTCAAATTTTATTTTATTATTTTACTATATATTTTTTCTTTTCTTTATAATTACTCTTTCTAAGAAATATTGATATCCAATTCTTAAAGTTCTTCAGAAATTTAAATTAATCTTTATTAAATTTGTTGTGATTCATCATCTGTCTTAATACTTGTTTCAGCAATTTCTTTTTCTAAGGTCTTTTATTATTCTTAAAGTGTAGTTATCAATTTTTCTTATTCTTTGATATGATTCTTGAATTAATTGCATTGTAAATAACAATGAGAGCATTTTTCCTTACAGAACTAATATTATTGAATTTAATTATTGATGTAAATAGTTAATAATCCTTCTTCTTTACTTTTAATTTCAATTATTTCAGGTTACTGATATTTTTATAATTCTTATTTAGTTTATTCTAAAATATATTCTTTTCTTTATATCATTAACTTTTGAATTTCATTTTCCATTTAATTTAAATTTTCATTATGATTCAAAATAGTATTGTTCAAATGCAGATCTTTTTAGACTTATTTTAATAAAGAACTGTTAAAGAAAATAATCTCCTCAGAATTTTCAGGAAATTCATATTCCTACTAAGCTAGTTTACAATTTTGTGGTTAGTTAATTGAGAATTAATGCCATAACTTTATTTAATTCTCAATTATTTTCTCAACCTAAAGTTTTATATCAATTAAATTTGCATTTCCATGATCAGACAACTCCAATTGACACAATAATATTTTCATCATCTAGACCAATTTTCTCCCATCCTCCCACCTTTTGGATGTCTAAGCCCTTTTAGAAAAATATTATCGAAGGTTTATTATTTATTCATCAAATTATTAATGTTCAAAATTGAATAGTTTCTCAACAGTAAAGTTATTATTAAATAATTTCTTTAAAAAAACAATATCTTAAGAGTCTTATGATTTTAGTCTATAAAGATTAGTTAATAATTCATTATCAATCCCAGAGTTATCAGTAGAGCTAACATCTCTTAAAGCTATATGTAATTATCCTTTAAACAAGGTTTCTCCTTTTAACTAGGAGGAGGCATTAGTTAAATTATTAAACAAATCATTCATATAGCGATTGAAAGTAATATCTGAATTTAAGATTGATATATCACAGATCGCAGTCAAAAAGGCCAACATCTGAACTTCCTCTTAATTAGTTCTTGCTGAATTAAATAGACCTTCACAATCTAAGATTAAAAATTTTTAGCCTTCGATCCACCCAATACTTGCCCATATACCATCGGTACACCTTGCAGATGAAACTGAAAATCTTGTACCAAATACTCTATTTAATAGGTAGCTTTTCCCGGATGATTATTTTCCAATAATTCCTATTACAAAAATATTAGTTTAATTATTTATCAAAAATTCTTCAATAAACCCTAGCCTTAATTATTTAGATTTTTCATAAACACATACTTTCTATTCAGTTGAGGTTTCTTTGCGAAATCCATCAAACAAAGGGATCAAAATACCATTTTCAGTTGTACACAATTATAAAGGAACTCTTGAAAACATAATACTTTGAAGATCTTACTAGCTAATCTCAGAAAATTACAGTTTCGCAACATCTAAATTTATATTATTATTTAAATTTATTTTATTGAAATATGATTCTATCTGACTGAATCTTTATTTATCTATTTAAAAAGAAATCTACTTCTTTTTCGATGTTGATAAAAATACAGAATTAGGGCCAAATTTTATACATGATCCTTTTATAATATCTAATGATGGATTTCCTACGATCTATTTTTCTTCATCTCCCAATTTATTTATTGTTTTTTATTTTATTGCATTTGCTAAGACAATAACACTATTATTTTATTCTATTTTGGTGATGTTATCAATAATTATAATATCACTTTTATCCTCAAAAATTTTAATTTTTCCATTAACTCTTATCTCTCTCACTTCCAAACCGTTTATATCATACATAAAACAGTTTTCACCATTAGAAAAATAAAAATATTTTCCACTAGGGCATGATAATAATTATTCCAATTTTTCTGATTTAGAATTCTATGAAAATTATAAAAGTTCTTTTTTATTATTCTTGGAAGAACACATAGCTTATATAATTTATTTCTAATCCTCTAGGAAGAAATACACATCATTTTTTTAGGTTAAAAGAATAAACTTCTTTTATTAGCTTAAATAAGCAACTTATTTAATGGTTATGTCTACAAATTTATCTTCCAATTTTACACACTGTTCACAAATGCTCATTTATTCATCAATCTTTCCGTAAGGCGATACTAAAATTCTTAAAATTTATTTATCATTAAAATTAAATAAATATAATTGACTGTGACTTATTTTAAAGAAACAAACTATGTTTTTTGTCTTTTTTAATTCATAATTTTAAACAAGTTGAAACTATTCACTATTTTATTATCTAAAATATAGTGATAAGTTGGACTTGGTTTCAATTAATAGGATTTCTGCCTTATCTTTAGTCTAAAATATTTCTTTTATATTAATGATTTAGAGATCTAAACTAAGAATAACTTATTAATTCTACTCAATTTAATACCGAATATTTTCAATCCTCTTTTCCTCTGATCTTCTTATTTTACAATTTAACTTATTTATTGAATATTTGGTTGTTTTTTTTAAATCATAAGAAATTTAATCAAGTTAATTTTTATATTCCTTATCCAAATTGCTCTATATTAATTCAAGTAGATCGTTTTCCTGCTTCTTCTAAGAAGAATTTTAATTTCCATTATTGTATTATACTTTTGTATGGTTGAATTAAAAATTCTTTTAAATTTTTAATTCATAGTCTGGAAGCCAAAATTTTTTGGATGTTTTCTATCTTTAGCTCTTTAAATGCTAATTTCTAAGATTTAAGTCAAAACAATAATTTCATTGTTCGAATATATAAATTATAAAATATTAAATGTCTATAAGATTTTTTAATTTTACCCTTTCTTATACAATTAATATTTCATCCCAAAAGCATGAATTAAGTATTTCTAATTATATGACAATTACTCTCAAATTCTCCCTCATGTCTCATCATTGGATCTTAATATAATTTAGAAAAAACACTTAAAAAAAAAAGAAGAGAAAAGCCTTTTCCCTCTTGAATTAAAGGAGTAAGTTTTTCTTTCCCCAAGAAAAATATCTTTTATATAAAATACCATGCCATAAGAATTGAACCATATGTGTTTAAAGCTGAAAAAATTCAAATCAAATAACATTAAGGCTTTACTTTGTAAATTACAGTATATTTATTTTATCCTTATTTTCAACAAAAAAAGTATGAAAAAGAAAGTTTGTTTAAATTTTAGTGAAATGAATTTCAATGATAATTTTATAACTAATGACTACTGAATATATTAGCTTAAAACTGTCATTCGCTAATTTAAGCAATCATGATAAATTTTTTATTTTTTTAAAACACTATTAGATAAATTTTTTATACTCAGAATAGATTGCTACTTCTTTTCATTTGAGAAAACAGTTTTAATTTTATCGTAAATAGTTTATAAAATATTGCTAAGCTTTTTTGATTGATATTACTTTTTAATAATTTACATTTGCGGAATGAAAATTTGATCTTTTAGAATATTTTATTTGAATATGCTTTAAACAAAGGATTCATAATTTTGCTTGAAATCTTATTCATTAAATTTGAGTTCTTGAATTATTGTGAAAAAGGGGGATTAATTTTAAGAAAGTAAGATTTCATATTATGTCATATCTTAAAGAAAATTATTTTGCGGACATTTGTATTCTTGAATTTCTTAATCTCCTTACTCAACATAGGTATATTATTAACGCTAGACTATAAATGGGCTAAACGGTGTCTCATCTCCAAGATACCATTGATTATAAATCTCATCACCAAGACAAATTTTAATATTGTCAGTTAAATCTTAAAGAATTCTAAATAGAGTTAATTCAATTGCTTTTTCTTTTATAGGTTTGCTTTAAAAAAATTCTAACTAAAGAATTAAACAAAATATTATTTTATTTTAAAATCGAACACCGATTAAATTGCCTTTTTTAGAAGCATTTTGAAGTTCTAAATTGTCTGGTTTTATGTGAATTTCTTCAAATAATTACTTCTCTATCTCATTCTAGCTTCCAAATAAGCCAGAAACTAGAACAGAGGTTGATTAATTTAATTGTTTTTATAGTATTTAGAATCCTTCGTAGTTAAAAACTATCTTATCTATTAAATATTCTTAGGCGCTATCAGTCAATATTGAATATAAATGATAGGTTTACATGATGTGCTAATAAAAATATTAATAATGACAAAAATGAAAAATATTGTAATAGAATTATAAAATTTTAAATAATTTGAGATTTAATAACTTCATTCACTTCTAATTGATATCAGAGTAAAATTAAGTTTAATAGATGAAGATATAGTCATAATATTCAACAAAGAGTGTCTAACTATCATTTGAGACTGATTACTTTTAGAAACTATAGAGGAAAGAGAATAATTTATAAGAAGTGAGAAATTAATGAGTTAAAACGATGATATTTGAATAGGCCACTATGAAAAATAGAAATATCTATTCATAGATAAAAACAATCATAACTTTGTATGAGATTTAATCAAATTCATAGATTATCAATTATTCAGAATTATGTGCTTTAGATTCATTATTTGCAATTACTTACAATTATATTTTCATTTTTTTAAAATATTCCATATTTAGTTCTCCTCTAATATATTAAAGCATAACTTTTAACACATAAACGATACAATTGTTACTAAACAGCATTAATTACATATTATGAAATATTATCAGAATTATTTTTTAATACAACTATTTCAATCATTCAAAGTATTTTAAATTTATTCAGTAGGTTGAGGTTTAATAGTAGTAAAGTATGATGAGTTTATTAGATTTTTACAAGCATATGATAGTTAAAACAAAAAAATACGTTCTACAAAATTTTATTACACAAAAATCTATTTAGCTAGTTAATAAGAAAAAATAATATAGAGAAAAGAGAATCTAGGATACATCTTTTGAATTATAAAAATTATAGTTTAGTTAGCAGATCTTTTCTGATAGTAACATTTTCTATTAATTTCTCATTTCACATTCCAATTATCCTTGCATGCTCTTTCAAACTATTATTATAATTATAAAATAATAATAAAATAAGACAACATAGAAATCTGAATTCAACACAATATATCATTGAGCAATTTCAACTTAATTATGAAGAGATAATAGAAAGTGAATAATGTGAGAGAGTTATAGTACCATTATAATTTCGCAATTAAGGAATATATCACACCAGAGGTAGATGATTTGTGTTTGAAAGTGAGGTGAGGTTGAAGAATTAAAAGAACCATAACAAGTCATCTTAATATGGTTCTAAGAAAGGGTACCTTAAATTATGCATGATGTTTGTGGTTGATAAGAATATACTGATTTTTGATTTTAGATATTTTTTCGTTCCATATAATATAAAAATTTAATATTTCAGAATAGAAGAAGAGTATGGCACATTCCGAAATGTAGGATATGCTGATATGCAAACCTAGGTAGGAATGTGAATTATTTAGGTTTCTAGAAAAAGGACCTGATATTCAAACTAAACTCTAGTTGAGTATAAGTTACGCTGAAAAGGAGGATCAGACAGAGAGACCACCCCCAAGTGTGTATGAAAAGTATGCAGAAATGCAGGAATACTTTTGTCCATTGGATTAATTAGAGGCGCTGCTAAAAACAAATTTTGGTGTTGGTCTTACAAGTGACGAAGCATTGAGAAGACAATAATCAAAAACTATTGATGTCAGTGATTGGAAAATGTTTATAAAGGAATTGAATTTATTTGCATTTGACCTAATTATTGCGACAATGATTTCGATAAGTTTAGCAATATATGGAAGTCAAAATAACCTTGAATTTAGTGGAGAAGAAATTATAACATCATGTTTATTGTTAATAGTGATAACAATAACTTTTGCAATGGGATATCAATAAAGAAAGAAGTCTTAGTATGCAATAGAGAAGGATAATGAATAAACAATTATTGTTTATCGAGATGGAAAAATGTAATAAGCTCAAATCCAGAATCTTGTATCAGGAGATGTTTGTGTAATTAAGGATGGACTAGTAATCTATTGTGACATGAGAGTATTGGAATCCTCTGATCTCCAAATACAAATGAATCAAGATATAACTCAAGCAGTAAAGGGATCACAGATATTTTGTGGATCTCTTATAAGGAGTGGTTTTGGGAAGGCAGTAGTCATTAAGACAGGATCAAGTACTACGATTGCTCAAATTTAAAAGAGACAGGGGAGTAAATTATTGTAGAAATAGTTGATTTTGTTCTAATAAATAATGACTCTTATAGCATTATTTGTGATAGTGTTAGTGTTAATTTGGAGTGCTGTTATGACTGATAAGGATACATCTGAAGTGTTTGCATACGGATTTAGAGTGGTTGAGTAAGTGATCATTGCAATTGTCCCAGTTGGATTATTAGTTATTGTTACAATTTCATTTTAAATGGCTATAAGGAGATTGGCCAAACTGAGATTCTTGATTAAGGATGCTGAGAGTATTGAGAGATTGAGTGAAATAAATTGTTTGTGCATTGGATTAAATGAGGTAATCACTAGCAAGAATTACTCATTTAATTCTTTTGATGATTGCAAATAATTATAATATGAATTAAGTAAACGTAACTCTATTCATCTTTATTATTGTGCAATACTGACTTGTAATCATGGTAATTTGGATGGTACAGAAAAGAGTATCATTGATTGTTTTAAAGATGATAATACAGATGATTTAATAAAGAATGCCAAGTATTATGTGAATGGCATTCAATATCATTTGCCATTCAATAGTAGTAAGAAGTATTCATTATCAATTGTGGAATAGGAAGGCAAATATTTTGTATACATCAAGGGAGCACCTGAGGTTATCTGGAATTATTGTAATAAGACCTTATTTGGCAAGATCGATTTACAAGAGACCCAATATTTTAATGATGAATTGGTGCATTAATGTTCAAAGGGATTGAGAAGTGTGGGATTTGCATTTTTAGAGATTGAAAATGAGGAGGATCTGAAAATCAATGAAAATGATTATGAGTTCAACAAATAAAACTTTGTGTATTTAGGCACCTTATATTTAAATAACATTCTTAATGAATAAACTATTCCTATTTTGGAGAAATTACAAAAGCAGAATATTAAATTAGTGATCATCACTGGAGAACACCCAGAAACTGCAAGAGTTATATGCAAAAATACAGGACATTACAGTAATCCAACCATTATTGAAGGTCATCAATTGTATTTACATGTCGATGATCAATAAGAAGTCACCAGATTAAGTTCAGTTGAAAATAAATTGGGGAATTGGTGTTCATAATAAGAAATTGTATTTGCTCGCACTTCTCCAGAGTAGAAGTTAAGTATCGTCAAGGCCTTATAACAATTGAATTACAAAGTGGCTATTACTGGAGAGGGATTAACCGATTTGGGAGCATTCAGACAGGCCGATATCAGTATCAGTAAGAAATATGGATCATAGCAAATGATCATCAATTCAAGTGATCTCGTTCTCACTTCTAGTAGATAAACATTTCTTGATAGTTATTAAGCTATCTTGGAAGCCAAGAGAGCTGTGAATAATGTTACCAAATCAACTATGCTTTGCTTATCATCAAACACAGCCATGATCTTGGCTTTATTTGTATATTGTTTCTTGGGAACACCCTTACCTTTCTCTCAAAATCTAATGTTATTGACCAGCATTTCTGTTGATTTGATTCTAGGAATCAGTTTAGCTAGGGAAGAGTTAGAGTACAGAATTCCCAACAGAACCAATCTTTTCCTCTTTGCTATTTTGATTATTGGGTGTATTGAAGCAGGCGGAGGCTTAATGGCAAGTTTCAGTGCTTATCGTTATTTTGGATTTAATCTTCAAAATCTATATTTCACCAGATTTGCAAGAGTCTATCCTGCCGGTGATCAAGATGTCTACAATCCGTATAGCAATACTTTAGGCAATTCGAATTTACCTGATAATTGTTTGTATACCGGGGAGATGCAAAATTATCAATGGAGTTCCCCGAATAATAAAATTGATTAGAGATTGATATTTGTAAAATGTGGAACCTGCACTGATTTGTAGATTCAAAATGGATATTTAACCTAATGTTGGAACACCAAGTATGAGTACCCTGATTGTCAAAGCTATAATAATGATCTGTAATATTGTTACACAGCTAAAGCAAGTGATTTCGCATCTACTTCATTCTACATAGTATTGGTATTATCATAGTGGTAATAATATTATAACTTAAAAATAGTATCAACTACTTTGCATTAAGGACTTTGATTAAGCCTTATAGTTCCACTAGGGTTAACACTCTGGCCATATACGGTTTAACGATATCATTAATCTTATTGCCGATCATTGTGTATGTCCCAGGGATTTAGTGGGTGTTTTAGACAATCAATATGCCTTGGGAATTATTAGGTTCGGCAGGTCTTCCGTTTTGTTTGCTTTTGTTAGCTACAGTTGAAGTAGTGAAATGGTTGCTAAGAACATATGTAGGATTCTAAATTTTATGATTTTATATTTATTTAATTGTTTATGTATAAATCTATTAAAAGATATTAATGTTTGTTAAAATACTTGATATAATATATTATGAAATCATCACTGACCTATGCCTCAGGTCTTATATTATTTTATACACAGATTCTCAAATAAAATTACAGCCACAAATACGGGTACATTCATCAAACTGGTGATCATCAATTACTCTGATGTCAGTTCACTTAATATGGAAATGTTAACAATGTTAGGTTTAATAATGAGCGACACATGCACAACCATTCCAATAAACAAAAAAAACAAAAGAAAATAGTTTCTGTATATGGGTTGTCTGAAAGGCTTACCTTACGAATACGCAATTGCAACAGCAATGACTTGAGTATTGCCCAATATTATTTATTAAGTATTGATTGGATTAACAAAATCCATATTCAATGGTGTGATCTAAGTTTGGTCATACGTTGAAAAGGAGATCAATTGACAACAACAACAAATTAACAATTATCCAATAACCGAAAAAATGATGGACCTACTCAACAAACTAACGAATGGCATCTCTATAGTTAAAGTCTCGGATGGCTTAGTCAAACTCATAGTAAATGCAATTGGAATCAAAATCCACAGATCCTAATACAAAAATTACTCAACTGTTAGTTTAGTATTGCTGACGTAACATATCGTCAATGCTATGGTCTGAATACTAGAGTAAAGAGTCATGAACTTAAAACAAGATTAACTTGTAATGAGGGAACCCCTTCCAACTTTCAAAATCTCGCAAATCTACGAAACTCTGATTATTGGAGTAAGGAATGGGGCAGCCAAAGATGCTTCCTAATTTGATAATGCTAATCCAATGTCACTTTGTTAGAGTGCACAAATGTCATTACAACCATCACCAACAAAAGCAGTAAATATCCCTTTATTCATATTCTTAAGTTTTATCATAAGATTACCCTTCTAAGAAGGCTTCATCCTGGCAAATACTTTGGTTTTTTCAAGGATACTCAAAAATAATATTAACAAATACTTTATCTGCGCATTCCCAAGAATCTCCTGTCAATGCCACTTAATAATTCATCTATTCTATTTCTTCTACATTAATATTATTATCGAAGACTAATTTGTCATTAATTATTTATCCAGTTATCACAGGTTGATTGGGATCTACAATCTGACATTGTTTTGCAATATTGATTGATGTCAATATGTTATCCCCTGTCACCATTACACATTTAATGTTAATTGAATTCAATTACTCAATCAATTGTCTGGAATCCTCTCTCAGATGATTTACAAACACTAAAGTCCCAAGAAATTGCAATCCATTTTCAATATATTTTCTCTCTTGATCAACATCGCTTATCTCCTTATATCCAAATGATATCAATCTATATCCTTCTTGTAAGTAATTATTCACAGTAGATGTAAACTGATCAGGCAATGTTGAAAAACACAGTCTCTCCATTATTTCTGATGATCCCTTTGTAATGGCTAACAATTTTCCTTTGTATTTGATTATTACTGTCATTCTTTACAAATTGGCCTCGAATTAATAGGCTTTCTGATATTCAAACTCAAATTATTATTAACAGCACTCTAACATGGCTATTTCTAAGCTATCCCCACAACCACCAACAAGAGTATGACAACTTTTCAATGCCAATTGCATGATCTCTTTACAATGATTAGGATTTAGTAATAATTCTTTTTCTACACAACCCAACACCTTAAGTGTTGATTCAGTCAATGTGCCAGTCTTATCAAATCCTATTAGATTGACCATCCCACTCACATTAATCTTATCTGGTTTTATGCAAAAAATATTATTTGCCTTTAATCTCTAAATAGCCACTTATAACCCAGCACCCAAAGCTGTAGGTAATGAAGGTGGTATCAGAATGGTAAATATTTCAAGAGCTTCAATGGTGCTCTTAAATTGATTTTTTGTAGACTTCAGACGTATAAAGTAATTAGTTATTGATAGAATTGCTCCCAAAAAACCCAAAACAATTAAGTATTTGAGTGATTCCTTTTGGAATGAATAAGTATATGAATTATTGAATAAGATGTATCTGGCCAAGGACCCTTTGATAGTATTAAAACCAATTGATTTCACTAGAGCTCGACAATTGGAACTTGCAGACAAACAGCTACATCCACTAAAGATTTCCATGTTGATAGTTTTTAAAATTGGAGTACTCTCTCCAGTTAGGATGGCTTCGTTGAACACGGCCTCTCCATTAATGATTTGACCATCAAAGGTAACCATCGATTTGGGTGTCACTTCAACGATGTCTCCAGGGACTAAGTCTTTTGAGGAGATGTTGAATGAATGATGGTCTCTGTGAACAATGACTGAACTTTCATAATAGATCATCTCTCGTATTTTATGGTTCTGTTGTTCTAAATCGTATAAACTTATGGTAATTTATGTTATGGTCAAAATGCCAATCAAAAAGGCGTAAAGGTAATAATCATCCAGAGACCAAACAATGAAGGAGAACACTTAAAAGATGTTGAAGGGGGATAAGATTTCTTTAAATAAAATTTCACTTCTGGTGCATTCTTCAATTTGCATTATATTTTCTCCATATAAAATTTACCTTTGTTGGGCTTCGTATTTACTTAACTCATTATAATCGTAATTAATCAATTCTAACTTTTTCAATTAATTTTATGGAGTGATCAAAAAGTTAATGTACTCATACTTAAATTTGATCCTATCTCCGTCCCTCTTGCATCTGATGATCTTATCTCTGCTCATCCGTTTACCATCTTTCATCTTTTGGATCAACAAATGAGTAGGATCTGTACTCTTCTGAAAACTAAACATTATACTAATTCTAATACCTCAACAATGACACAGAAACAAACCAATTTTCAAAAAGAGAAAAAAGCCCAAGACTTACTATGCGTAGCATCTTAATCATAAAATTATTGTCTTCCTCATAATAGTAAACTCTCAATTCGTATCGTTCATTGAACTCTTCGAAGTATTCCTGCGTTTAGGTATCTTCTACTTTATCTCCCAGAATTGGAAGTTCAATCATAATTAATTTGTAAACAATAATATTTAATGTATCACGAATTCTCATTCCAAGACACATCATCTTGAATATAATCACACTTGTATATACAATATATAATTAGGTAAGAATATAAATGAATAATATAAAATATACCGTTAATGAATGTGTGTTCTCCTTCTAAAGTTTAAGGGCCGGCCCTTTTAAGAAATCCCTTTCAACAGGTTCGCTCTGTAAGTACTGACTGCAAGTATGCCACTTGGTAGTCACCTAAAAACAAAGAGAATCTCTCTCCAAACTAATAAAGAGTGGATTTAGTTAAAAAGATTATAGTTCTGCTCGAAGAAAATGAGAAATCAGCAGAACTCATTAAATAGCTTCTAACCAAGGAATCAAGATATTAGAAACAAAGATCATGCGATTAAACTGAATTGTCTCAATTGAGAGATGAAGTTGCTATCCTTAAAGAATAATTGATGTAAACTAATTATATTTAAATATATCAGTAAATCTGATGAGGATAGAATCCTCACAGAGACCAAATACTAGGCAGTTCTCAAAGAATTAGATTATAAGGATTAATAAATTGAGAACAAAAAGGAGACTATTGTAGCATAGGAGGAACACATCAAATAATTGTTAGAGAGAAATGCTGAATTAACAGAATAATTGAAATTCAGTCAAGATGAATTGAATAATTTAGGTGATATCGATGAAAAGATAGATTTTATTCTAAACGAAAATGAGCAATTAAAATTATTAAGTGACAAATTACAAGATTAATTAAGTGCATCTGAAGAATAACTATTTAGATTTAGATAAAAAATAGACTAATTGCAATCATAGGAAACTGAAAGAAGTGACGGGACACTCAATGGATACAAGCAAAAGATAAGAAATCTGGAAACCAAATTAGCTGTCCTATCAGAAGACAATGTTCGGAGAAGACAAATTGTTTGATCATCACTATTTTTAAAAACTTTATTTTCTGATATATTTTATTCAAATTTTTATTATTTTATTTTAATTAAAAATATAAAGAAGAGAATGTCTGAAGTTTTCAGTAGTTATGAAGTTGAATTTGAAAAATATTAGTAATAAGTCTGCTCATTAATTCGATAAACCTAAATTAACAGATCAGATGAAACCTTAAAGGAGATAGCTTCTGTTTTTACTGATTTGCAGAATTGCGTAAAATAGTTAATTTATTCCTATAGTTACAATAAATGGATATAGAATCAACCAGTATTGCAGTGTCTGATAGACAGGAATTAAAAAACAAGGTTAAAAGATATAAATCAGAGACTGAAGCAATGAAAAAATAATTTAGAATATTAGAAGATGAGGTTTCATCTCAAAAAACTAAAGATTCCTTATTTGGTGAATAAGACAATCAACAAATACAATTCATTAACACTCAAGATAAGTTAGTCAAATAAACTGTATAATTGGAAGATGCAAAAAGGGTGTGCTTTGAAATTGAAACAATTTCTAATAATATATAAGTTCAATTGAAAGGTCAGTCTGATATCTTGGATAGAAACATAAACAAAATGCCTGAAATTTAATACGACTTGGGAGAATCAAACAGTCGATTATCAAGGATTTAATCTAAAATGAGAGAACACAAAATTATATTCTTAATTGTTTTTGCTATCTTTTTGACTAGCATTGCAATTGTGTTAGTATATAAATATGCTTGAATTTCAAATATTTGTTTTATTAATGATTTATTTTATAGACTTTTTGTGCAAAATTATATGATTATTCTAATGCAGATAATTTAAGAAGTAATTCTTGATTAAAGTATAAAATGCTCGTAAAATTAATTGAAAATTAATTCACTCATATTAAAGAGAAAATTAGCTCAGTGAAATCTATAAAATAATTACATTATATCATATCATACAAATATCATTTTCAAAATATTTTATTTATCAATTAAAGTTTAATCATTCTTAACTTATGATAAATTTAATCCTAATCGTAATTCTCATAAATTCAACCGTTTTGTTTGAAATTAAATATATTAGCTCTCTTTTAGGTGGGAAATTCAATTTTTGTTTTAATTCAGAGATTACGAAGGCAATGAATAAATAAAACTATATTATTACAAATTATTATATTAATAATTTAATAGTAATTTTTAAGATATTTTCCTAAATAATTATTACAGCAAGGAACTTTCTTTTTGATATGTAAAAGAAAAGCTTCTAGTGACTAATAACCAAAAACTCTTCAACTTTTAGTATGCTCTGTATAATTATTGATACTTTAAACTAAGAGATTCATTCTATTTTAATCATCAATATTATGATTTATTAGTGGAAATTAAAAATTAATAAAGAGCGCACCCAATAATTATATCTTATGCCTGAAGAACCATAATATGTTAGTTTTACTGTTGATATTCTTTGATGGTATTATTGTCTATGATGTCAAAGCAAAAGCATAGATCTTTAGATATTTTTGGTCCTCTTCTATTAAATATTTAAAAATTATGACTAAATAAATATATATTCCTTCAAACTAAATCCGTATATGAATATTTACAGAACTGTACCATAAACAGCAATAAACAGAAATATCGTTTGTCAATAACACAAAAATCTACAGCACTTAAATTACACTCAATCAGGAGTTAATGGATAATAACTTAGTTATAGGTTTTAAATTATATCCGTCTAGGTATTGTAAATACATCTAGAAGACTAATAGAAATATGTAAGGGAATCCAAAATTTATATTGAAAAACACCTAATGACATATATATATAATTTTTCATCATTTATCATAATATGTAGTCATTTGAGTATTGTGAAGAGTTGATTATTCATAGACATCGCTTGTTTTACTTTTACTTAGTTTTTTTGTGATTTTTGTGCTGATGATCAATACATTTTTCTTTTAATTTGAGTTCAGGTCAACCAATTTTGCTTTATTATCATATATTTCGGTTTGGGTATTAAAAGTTGGTGTTCTAATCTCTTGAGTACTGTTTATTTAAGAGAGCATTTTATCCATCTTATTGAGGAAATTTATTTTCTCTAATTCGAATAAATCTAAGTCGAAAGATCGTTTATTGAGAGTTACAGCGGGTTGAAATTTTAGACGAGATGCATTAGGATTCATCTTTTCTAATTAATAAATTATACTAAAACTTTAATTTAAAATTGTTAGACTTATAGTTAATATATATAGATTTCTTAAAAAAATAAAAGCTTTTCTTTAATTAGTGTTAAAACGAAATTCATTAATGCTATTAATTATTAATATATTTATAATATATAGTTAAACCCTAGGTGACTCACTTAAATCAACTTTATTGACTTTTAGGAATTTCATATTTGAATTGTTTTACTCATCTAGAAGGTCATTACATTTTTTCTATCTTTTAATATTTTATTATAATTTAAACTTTTTTGTTCTTTAAATTTCTTCATCGACATTTTTGGTATAAAATTAAAGCAGAAATTGCTATTAATTTCATTACACTAAATCTAAATCCTTTTTAAACTATTTTTTCTTTAAAGGGTTTATAAAAACATTAATATAAATTATATATTTTATTTAAGTTTCAATTTATTATCCTCCTTAAGATCAATTTATATAAATAGAAAGGTAATTAAAATGTATTGTCTAGAACTATATTTAATAATTGATAGAAATTTCAATTCATACTAATTTGTCTAAGTCTTAATTAGTCCTATTTACTCAAATAAATAATATATCCTTATAGTATTGTAAGTATATATTGAGTGGATATCGAATTTGAAGAAATAACGTTTCTGAAATAGCCAATTAATAATGATAATGAAATTCTGAAAACATTCCAATTTTCATATTTCTTTAAATTGTGATTTTACTAAGAATATATTTATATTAATTAATTATATAAGGGCAGTATTAATTATATTTAATATTTAAATTTTAATAATTAAATATAAATTAAATAATTCAATTTGTAAATGACATGTTACCCATTTCAACTTCTTGCATCTTATCTGAAAAGAAGACTTTTCCCATCTTTTATAAAATGCTCGTTCCTGATTATGGTTGTTTATCCAAGTACTTCAAATAGTCCAAGAATTTATTGAAGCTAAAAGTAATTGCATAGAATCCTAGAATAATTTAAATAAAAATCATGAATCCTAATCCAAAATTGTATTATTATTATTCATCTTAAGTTTTTATAATAACATCCTTATTTTAAGCATGATATTCCACTTCTGAAACAATTGCTGTTGAATATAAACCGACCATGATAAGATTTCCAAAAATGGCTGAATAGTTCATTATGTCTCTTAAGTAAGGTCTTCTTTGAATTAGAAGTAAGAAGTAAAGGACAATCAAAGTTATTGAAATGGAAAACTGGATATAAGGAAAGTTATTCAGCAAAATTAGAGAACATGCAATACTCGTTTTCATGAAGTAATTAATGAATTCATAGTTCTTTTTGATGTAATTTGTTTATTTAAAATCTGAAAAGAATGTGAAGTATTTATTTTCCATTTCCTATTGATCTAGATCAAGAAACTATGATTTGTATACACTTCTGAAATATAAAAGATAATACAATATAGTGACTATTGACAATACAAATGAAGCTATGTTGATATCAGAACTAAAATCATATCCCCACAATTATAAAATGGAGATGAGAATCAAAGGAAAATAGAGAAACTCATGCACACGAACCAGCAAATCATTACTGCCTTCATGCATAGCTCTGTAGATCTTCAATGTTTCTAATTTATTATTGATCTAGTATAAATTGTGCAAAATGTAACTGATAATCCAGATAAGCCAAAAAATGAGCAATATTCCCAGTATTTATATTCCTCCATTAGCTATGAAATTGTAATAATAACCTGCATTATAAAGCAAATTGTTGTTTGGAATTTGATTGTAAATTGGTGTATTGAAGAAGTACAATATAATCCCATCCTCTGAAACCCCAATTGCCGGTATTCTCCTTAGATTTACAATATCCAGAAGTTTGAGGGAATTTAAAGCAAGGGTTGAATAAGTAAAGTTGATAAAAATCATCACCTGAACGAGTTGCAGGTTGTTGATAATCAAGTAGAACATTCTTCTTTGAGTTCTTAAGATAAGACATAGGAGAAACAAAAAGCAAAAATAAGACAAATAACTGATTATCAAATAAGTATTAATCTAATTAATATTGGCTTCCGTCTCAGGTGGGATAAACTATGCAGGTATATCCAATTCCTAAATGGCTGATGACTATAGAATGGGAGTTTTATCGTCATTCATAATGTTGTTTGTAAAATTACAAGAGATTTGAGTAATTCTGTGAGATATATAAAAATCCAAGGTAATTATAAAGAATTAATCATCTTAAACAGAACTTAAAGTCCTTATCTATGTAAATCATAACTTACATTATATATTATGCTTGATCTACATCCACAACATTTATTTGTGAGTTAATATCAAGTGTTTTTGGATTGATGCTGCTTGAAAATGAGATCTCAAATACTATAGTTGACTCATGAGCCTCTAAAATGTTAAGAGAATATGTTAAATAATTAACACATGTTCTTGTTTCTTTGTTTGAGTACTATTAACTCGCACATTCCCCACACAGTTGATTATACATATAAAAGCCTTCCTTGCAAAATAGACACTCAGTTGATTATCCCCCAGAACAAGTTTCACAAGTGGAATGGCAAATCTAGCAAGATCTATCAAAGGGATAAGTACCTTTGGGGCACTTGAAATTCTTAATCAAAAAATACTTCTTTGACACAATTGGTGCTCAATTCATTTTTAAAATAGGGGTCTGGACAATTCGGTAAACATTATCTTGAAATTGGCTAACCATATGTGCCAAAGGGACAGAATTCTTTGCATTAGAAATCATACACATCTCCATACATTGGGAATTCACATGTTAATTCGCAACTGTCATTGTTTGGAGAACGAAAATTAGGAAGATTACAGAGGTAACATTCAGATGAACTTTTACCAAAACATGTTATCTTATAATTTGGATATATGTTTACGCATTGGGAACTGCAATCAGAACACTCTGAGTCTATCTCACTGTCCAAACAATTGCCACACATTAATCTCAGAGGCTTCACACATTTAGTACAACCTGTTGGAGATCCATTATAACATTCCAAACATTTATCATTGCATTTTAAACACTATTTCACATTATTTATTATGTCTGGGTAGTAATTTGTTTCACAAATGGTGACACATTGATTGTTGCTTAATAATAAGGGATAAACCTAAGAGTTTGGTCAAAATTGATACACAAGCAGTGCAAATCGTAGGTTAATTACATTCAATGCAATTCTGATCTAGATAAGATGCATGTGAGTACCTAAACAAGCTAATGTCTATGATAGCAACATGAAAGCAAGCATTATTTGAATTATAAATTATATAAAATTTAACATAAGTTTTTATTAAATAAATAGTAAAGTCACCAATATTGAGTCTAATTAGTATTATTATTAGTTAGCATCATCACTTTATTGAGCAAATCATCCTCATGAATCCCATTTGAATAGCCCTATTTAGATTATTAATTTGTTCCTGATATTTTTCTTTATTGATATTTATCTTAATTGGGTTAAGCATATCTATCCTATTTATCAAATCGATCCAACCTTGTATCAGTATGAGTCTGCTAAAATTGTCTAGTATCTCTCTATTCATAGTCTTCATAAGGATATCTGAGGGGAGATTGAGAGTGAGTATAATTTCCTTATTATCCTTGATATGCCACAGAAGGGACAGAATACTGCCTTTATAATTACTTTTCTAAAAGGGTATTTTTCATTGAAAGCTCTAAAATTTTATCATTAGCTTCCTTTAATTTCTTGTTGAGTTTTTTATTTTTTTGAATCAAGGATCTATTTTCCTCTGTAATCTATTACATACTCTACTTTTACGCCTAAGTTGAATTTTAATTTTAAGGTTCATTTTCAGATTAAATAACAATGTTTTATTTAGGTTTAGTATCATATTATTCTTATATCTATTGAGCATATTGAGGGACTTAAGCAAAACTTGGGTATTATGATTAATTATATATCATCTATGTTTATTAGGGTGAGGGTAAAGGATTAACTTCAATTAGTTATATTCTATGTTGTAATTCTCTGTTTCTTCTCTTCAAGGTTTCATTTTCGTTTTCAATGTCGTGTATTTATTCTTCTCTATTTTTATTTGATCTTTCTAAATCACCTATGTCTTTGAGCTACTATGACACAATCTTCTTTAATTTCTCTAATTCTTCATTTTAGGTTTTGTTGTTATCCTTATTATCACTATTTTCCTTTAAGTATCTATCCTTTAGTATTTTGTAATCATCTTGTAAATCACTAAACCTCTTTTTTAAATTATCAAGATCTTTCTACAATGTAACTGCTTTATTTCTCTCTTATAAATACTTATCGTGCTCATCTTAATAAAGACGAGTTAACTTATCTTAAACCTTTTATTCTTATTCTAATTGTTCTTCTTCCATATCTCCGATTTTTCTCTGTAGATAATGAATGGTGTCATCCTTCTTTCTTATTTCTGTTAATAATTAATCTTTTTCTGTTTTCATAATTTCAAAATCAGTAGACACTTACTCCCTTCTTTGCTTCTCCTTTCTTAATTCATCTTCGATAAATCTGGTTCTCACTTATATTTTATCAAAGTCACTTTTATATTAACGTTTATCATTTCTTTCTTAATCTATTTACCTGGCAAATTTAATCATGATTTCATTTTTCTCTTCTCTTATCTTGTCTCTCTCATTTCTTAATTCTTAATTTTCAATGTCTGCATTATTAAATTTTAATTTATATTCATCTAAATCTTTTCTTAGTCTCCTAATTACATCTCTATCCTTGCTGTCTTCTATTATTTTTGTAAGTTCTTGAATCTAATGTTATTAATCAGACATATCCAACTTAAATCTATCTTGAAGTAATTTAATTTCTTTAGCATTTTCTAATTTTGTTGTTTCAACTTTTGCAATTTCAAGATCCAAATTTCTTTTCAGTTGATAAATAACTTCATTTAACTTTTCAATTTCAATCTATTTAACTTCAAGTTATTATCTATGGGGTATTTCTAATTCGTTTAACAATTTAATTCTGATCATATCCTAATCAAAAGAGGGACTCAATTTATTTTAGATATCTTCTAATTCTCTTTGTTTTTGTTCAATCAACAATTTCCAATTTTTGCTGGCATTATCAAATTATTATTCTGTCTACTTTTTTTCATGAAGTGCAATTCTAAATTTTTGGTTCAATTCATTATTATCCAATTTCAACTTATCAACTTGTTATTTTAATTCATCATTGATAGCTTGTAGAGTTTCAAACTCATCTAAATGATTCTATAATTTTATTACTTATCTTCCTCGATATGACAGCTTTTGAGGATATAATGGCCTTCTTTAATTGTGTATTCTCTTCAATCAATCCATCCATTTAATTCATTTGTTAATTTTAAAAATTAATTCGTTAAAATACATTTTAAAATACCCATAAATTTGATGGAAAATATTCGAGTCCTAGTAAGAGTGAGACCATTGAATTACAGAGAAGCTCATTTGGGTGCTAATGCTTGTATTTCTACAAATGCTAACTCCATTACATTGGATAATAAGAAGGAGTATACTTATGATCATGTATTGGGTGCTGATTCAACTCAAGAGCAAGTCTTTGATAAAATTGGGAATTCTACACTTCAATCATTTCTTGATGGTTTGAATTGCTGTATTTTTGCATATGGATAAACAGGTGCTGGCAAAACTTATACAATGCAAGGGAAAGGTTGTGATGATGTAACAAGTGATAGTTCACATCTGGGATTATAACCACGATTGATTTAGCAATTATTTAAGAAATTGCCAAAGGAGAATAATTGGACAATCAAATGTACATACTTAGAAATTTATAATGAATAATTGATTGATCTCTTAAATGATGCTAAAGCAATGCCTTTAACAATCAGAGAAGATTCTAAACGAGTCTATGTTGAAAATCTTACAGAAATTACAGCTGCATCCTTTAGTGATGTTTTATCAGTGATGTAAAAGGGATTAGCCAATAGACATGTTTCTGCAACTTAAATGAATTTGGAGAGTTCAAGAAGTCATTCCATATTCACTTTATAATTGGAATAGCAAACAAAAGGGATGTACACAAGAAAAAGTAAAATGAATTTTGTTGATTTGGCTGGTAGTGAAAGATAAAAATTAACAGCAGCCTCCGGTGAAAGATTAAAAGAAGCTTCTAATATCAATAAGTCTCTTACTGTCCTAGGTTTAGTGATTAATTCTTTAGCTGAAAATGCAAAGAAATTTATCCCTTATAGAGATAGTAAATTGACATTTCTTTTAAGAGAAAGTTTAGGAGGAAATTCCAAAACTGTTATGATAGCTACGATATCTGCTGCTAGTTCTTCATTTTAAGAAACTCTAGGAACTTTAAAATTTGCTTCTAGAGCAAAAAATATAAAGAATTAAGTAATGATAAATGAAGAAATTGGTGGTAATTTGGATTCTTTGAAAGCTGAAATAAAACGATTGAAGAATGAATTATAATAATCCGTTTATCAATCTGAGATTATTCCTAAGAAATAAAAAGAAGTGGAATTAATCTCTTAAATAACTAGTTTAAGTTATCAACTAAATGAAAGCAGCTAATATTAGGATCATCTAACGTAAGAACTTAAACAAATGAAAGAATACTATGAATCCAGAATAACTGAATTAGAAGATCACAATACTAAAAGTCGTAAATGTTCATAAATAGGCATGTAAGATAAAGACTTATAATTGGAATAGGCATTAGAAATCTAAATGGAATTGAAATATAGGAATGAATAGTTGAATTAAAGGATTTTGGAACTTCAGCAAGAAGATACTATTTTGAAACATAGAAGAAATGAATAATAATTGATTATCACTTAATTAGAGTAGAATATAGAAATACTATAAAAAGAAAAGGAAATGCTTTTGGATTAATTCAAGTAATAAACCAACTTGGCCTAGTAATATGAGACTTAATTGGAGATGTTTTAAGAAGACAAAGCTCATTAGCTTCAAGAACTTGAGAATAAAATTACTGAATTAAATGACTAGTTGTAAATTAATAAGGATTAAATGGATACAGATGCATAAACTATTGAATTTTAGAGTGAAGAAGTTTAGAAATTATAAAATGATATTGAACTAAATAAATCTCTACTCTTAAAATTGTAATCAGATTGTTCAAATCTTCACACTTAAATGGCAGAGAAGGACACTTTGATAAAAGATTAATTGAAGGAGCTGTTAAAATTTAAGAAAAGAAGCAAACTTAAGTCAAAAAAATTTTTAAAATCATTAAAGGTATTAAAAAAAGAGAAGGAGAATTTCACTTAGATGGAGTAAAAATAGATGGAATTCTTGAATTCGTTGAATACGACAATGGAATTAGAAGCAAAATAATTAACTAATGAATTTATTTAGAATTCTTTAAACTCAAAATTCAATTAAGTTTAGACACAATTCGATAAACAAATATAAGAATCTTAGTTGCTAAATGATTAAAAATTATATTACTCTGATTTATTTCATTAAACTTAGATTGATTTGGATGAGGTTAAGAGATAAAATGAAGAATTAAAAGTTGAATTAGAGAATAATAAAGTAAATTTAGAAGGGGTTTAGAAATATGGATAATTGAAAGAAGAGTTCCAGTATTAAAAGGAGAAGTTGAGTAGATTTCTTGATAGTTTCGATATAATCAATTAAAAATTAATTATGAAGGAGAATGAAGTATTAAAATTAAGATCTGAATTGAAATTAGAGTAAACTTAAAGATCTAAGTCATTGGAAGAGATAGACAAGTACTATTTTTTAATATCAAAGACTCCGTACCACTAAAATTGAACTGTCGACTTTAAAATCAGAGTTGGAATAAACAATTTAATAGTTATAATGTTGTAATCAGAATGAGACAGATGAAAGCAAGTAGAAGAAGTTGTCTGATAATGTTCTCATGTTGCAGAAGGCCAATTAGAAGCTCAATACTGATTTATCTACTTTATAAAGACAGTACAAGCAACTACATGAGGAAAAGAATATAATGTAACAAAAATATGAAGAAAAACTTATGTATTAGGCAGATATAAATAAATTAAGAAAGGATATCAATATTACAAATCAATTGAAACAGCAATTAGATAAAAAGGAAAGAGAATTTCAATAACTTGTAAATGAGACACAAATCCTTGAGGATTTTTTTAAGAATATAAATGTGAAGAGATTTTGTAATTATCAAATTCAAAATGAAGGGACATTAAGTGAGAAAGTAAAATCATATTTCGAATTTTTGGATGTATGAATACTGTACTAATATTTAGCAATGTGAGTAAGAATTCGAGAACAAACAATACCAATTAAAAACCAATTTACAATAGTTGCGTATCGAATAAGCAAATTGTAATATAGTTAAAGAAGAGAATAGAATGTTAAAAATGCAATTAAAAATATGAAAACAATATTTCTATTAATTAATATGAATTAATTAATATCCCATTTTGGAGTTTGATTCAGATGATATTGATGTCATTCTTTAAAGAATCAAAGAAATATTCTTTTTTCTTTAATTTTAGATTGATCTTTTTGCATCATGCTTCATGTATTATTTATAATTGGTGCAATCACAATCTTTTTGTTTTTGTAAACCTATATAAATTAGAGAATGCATCGAGGTCTTCTGATTAAAATTGAAATAACTATATAAGCATTACAACAAAATGCTGAAACTATAAATGATTTCTCAACTGCTCAACTCCCAACTTTTCTATTTTTGTCAATGTCTGCCTTTCTCAATTAAGTAGGTCACAAAAAGTTATAATATTTGGGAACCTACTATTTTTATTATCAATCCTGTGCTATTGCATATTTATTAGAAATTTATTGTTTTGTATTTAAGGAAATGAAAAATACTGATACTATTAAAATTTAAATAAAACGTTTAATTAGGAATTACAACTCAAAGTTTAACAAAAATAATATGAAATAATTAGTTTTATCAGAAAATAATAATGAACAAATTTAAGAAATAATCATATTTTTTTAACTATGATACTGAATAAATTTAAATGGAATTTTTCAGTTTATTAGCTGATAAAATAAAAATAAAAATTACTTAAAAGTAATTCAAAATAATAAAATAAATGATTAAATGTTAATAATTTATACCTAAAGATTTGATGAATAAGATAATTTATATTTAATATATCAATCATTACTAGTAATTACCTTGGATTATTCAAGTTGTGATTATTATAAGTTAGAATCACCAGGTATGGGTATTACCACCGAATTTTTTTCGGATGGAGCCTTTTCTTCTGTATGAAGTGGCTACTATTGTTATTGTGGTTATTGTGGATTTTATGAATAAGGATTGAACGAGTCTTAAAATTGATTGTGATATTGTTCTTATGATTATTTGTTATGTTATTGATAAACATTATTATCAAACGTTTATAAATTGCTAGCCACTTTTGCAGTATCTTCAGTAGTCTTGTAAATAGTGGAAAGAGGCTTTGGAATTTGTTATGGCTATCTAATATTGTTGATTTGAACACGTCCTCTTTCATCAACAGCTACTTTAATATTTCTATAGAATTAATCAATTTCTTTTTTGGTTCTAGTTTCTTCTAACTTATAGCCGTTGTGAATTTGTTAAGTAAGATCTCTGTTATATCTGTCTTCTAATTCTCTTTGATAATCTTTTTCAGCATATCCTTTGGGTAGACCATGATCTGAAAAGTGTGTGTAGTACCTTTGTTGTTCAATCACTAGATCAATAACAGGCACATGCTCTTGTATTTCTTCATCTGTTGGTTCTTTTGGTCTATATGGAGTAATAAAGGCATCTTTAGGAGTAGGGTTTGTTTTTTCATACTTGTAAAGTGTTTAAAATGGACTTTCATATTTGATGGGCACATAATGCTCTTTATCAATGTATTCAGGGTAGGATTAATTATAATTTGGTCTTGCTTGTTAGGCTAAGTAGTCATGATAAGATGGCATGGAGTAATAGTTTTCTGGATATAATGATTTTGGAGGTTATGAATAGTAATTTGATTGATAAGTTCCAAAAGGACGATAATGAGATCTTGTCTTTTAGAAATCAGGTCCACTGAACAAATTCATTGAGGGTACAGATGACATGCAATATTAAAATCGTTAAATAATAATAATAATATATAATATTTGTGTTTATTTAGAGTTTCTTCTGAAAGATAACTATTTATTTATTTATTATCTCTAATTTTGAATCAAATCAATGAAATCATTTAAATCAATGGATATAATTAAATAATTGTTGGAATAAAGGACTAATCAACTCATAAATATAAAATTAATATAATCAATTATATTTACCAAATGCTAGAGAAACATTGACACCTCCAAACCCAAAAGCATTTTTCAAAGCATATTTTAATGATTTCTCTGTGGCCTCCTTGCAATATTGATTCTCTCTAATAATGGGTTTATCAAGATTGATAGTGGGAGGAATAATTTATTCCTATAGAGATTTGATGGTGAAAATCGACTCGATGGCACCAGCTGCTCCAAAGGTGTGTCCCAATTGGCTTTTATTGGCAACCAAAGTAGCTTTCGAATCAGCTATGGCTCTAGCCTCTGCTATATCTCCTCCTTTGGTAGACGTGGCATGACAATTGATGAGATCGACATCATTAATATTGGCTTCCTTCAGTGCTTTTAACATGGCAGCTCTGCCCCCCTCTCCATTATCCTGAGGTCGAGTCAGATGAAAAGCATCGCTACTTTCTCCATATCCCAATATCTCAGCATAGATTTTGGCTCCTCTTCTCTTTGCTCTTGAATACTCTTCCAACACCAAGATTCCACTGCCTTCAGCCAATAAGAATCCTGATCTCTCTTCATCAAAGGGTCTTGAGGCTCTAGTAGGATCATCATAGATTTTTGTGGACATAGCTTACATCTTGATTGAAGCATAGATGGCTGTTGTGTTGAAAGTATCTTCTGTTCCTCCAGCAATCATGATATCAGCATCTCCATACTTAATTTTTCTAAAAGAATCTCCGATAGCTGAAGCACCTGTTGCACATGCAGTTGAGGCTGTGCTGCTGGGCCCTTTAAGCTTATATTTAATAGTCAATAAGGCAGTGGGCATATTGGATAATACATAGAGCATTGTAAATGGATTGATTCTGCTAGTACCTTTCAAGGCTGCATTGCTAATGATTTCGGTGATTTTAGTCATGCTTGAATTCATCACTCCGATATTGACTCCCTAAAATGTGAGATGGAATAAAATTACAATTCTATCTGGATCACAATCGTTCAGTACATTCGAATCAGCTATGGCCTCTTGAGCAGCACACATAGCATAGGATGTCAAATTGCTGGGACAATACTCTACTTGATAGGGCTTGGTATCAAATGATTATGGTATGAGTCCCATGTAGACATCTGGCAAATCTTTATTTCTGTCTTTCACTCTCACAACTCCGCTCTTTCCTGCGAGTAGGCTATTCCATGATTCAGACACATTCAAGCCCAAGGGAGACACCATTCCCATTCCGGTCACAACTACTCTTCGCATTGAAATATTGAATATTTAAATTATATAAACCTGAAATCAAAACTGATGTAGCAAATAGCTCCTGAAGAATAACTATCCGATCAGCAGATGATCAATGTCATTTAATATTGTAAGGCGATTTAATTTGATAGTGCTAAGAAAACTAGTTGACTCAGACCAACCCAAATATGTAGACATTTCGATCGAATCAAATAAATGTTTATAAGAGTCTACGAAATAGATCAGTCTTCAAATTGGCATTCTCCCTTTTGGAATTGTTTCTATTTTTGTTGGCCTTGGGTTTGTTGCCACCGCCTTGTGCAAATACAACTTTGAGTGAATTTTTCATTTTGGCTATAATTGTAAATACGATTGTACTTTTTAAAATCAAAATAGGAAGCCTTTCGAATCTTATACCTCCTATTGATAATCTATAACGATTTGATTGAAATCCATTAGAGTGAAGGTGAGAATCGATTACCCTATCCTGAATTTTCGTTTGCTAATACTAAATATTTGTTGGATGCTATATCGGATTATCATAGTTCATACAAGTTTATAAAATATTTGATGATTGTGTATTAATGTGTCCCTGATTTGGTAGATTGAACATAGTTGTATTTATGTTTGGATAGGTGTAAATTTATAGGAATTTGTATGGGGAATGCGAAATAGGGTAGTCTGAATTTAATTTCACTTGGGGTGTGGCTATCACCTTCCTCATCCTGAGATATATAACGATAGGGATTCCCACATTGATAGTGGTGATTTACCTCTTGGTGCTACCCTTTGCTTATTGTCTAAATTTGAGCAATCTTCAAAAAAGGAATTCAGGTGGGGCCAGCACAGAAAATCTTAAGAAATTGAAGGTTGAAACGGTGGGATAGGAACGAATAAGCGAGGATAATGAATGTGTAATATGTCTATAGGAATTTGTGGGAGGGGAAGAGTTCATCAGATTGGACTGCCATTAATTTCATGTTTTTCATAAGGCTTGCATTTCTGACTGGCTGAAGACTCGATCAGAATGTCCGAAATGTAGACAAGCTGTAAGATTTAACTGATAAAATTCATAAATTAAAAGTACTATATAAATTTGCAATATATAAAATGAAGATAGTTATTAATAAATTTAAAAATTAAATCAAGTTCAATGGCTCAAGCAGACAGAAAGGCAGTAGTAAAGAATGCAGACATGTCAGAGGAAATGCAATAAGATGCTATCGATTGTGCCAATCAAGCATTGGAGAAATTCAATATTGAAAAAGATATTGCTGTAAATCTAATTTCTAAGATCGTAGGCATTCATCAAAAAGGAATTTGATAAAAAGTACAATCCAACATGGCATTGCATAGTTGGCAGAAACTTTGGATCTTACGTTACACATGAGACAAAGCATTTCATTTATTTTTACATGGGATAAGTTGCAATACTCTTATTCAAAAGTGGATGATTTGTTTAGTATAACATATAAATATATATTTACATATGTTAATTACGTTTTTATTTCTTTTACAGAGACAACATGATAAAATAATAAATTGGAATAATCTCTACATATTCGAATAACTGCAATCTCAATAGTCTTCCTCCTCACAATAAATGCCCTCCTTCTTGAGTTCCTCATACAACGGAGTGTTGATCTCTGAGATGTTTGGCATGTGAACTCCTGTGACTTTGATCACTCCATCCAGAATCAACTAAGTAGCCACAGCAGTTGGGACACCCACTGTAATGGCCATGGCAGATCTAGAGAATATAAATGATAGAATACTTTCCATTTCGATGTCCAATCTTCACCATAGTGGACTTTTTGACATACACTCTGGGATCATTGGGATAGACAATTTTGAAGATATGTTACATGGCTACCAAATCAGTTTCACCCTATTTATAATTCATAAGAGTTTGTAGATGAGCAGCAAAGTTATGGACATGAGTGACATTATTTAATATCAAGTTTTTAGGATCAAACACGCCCATCCACTTCAAAGTATAAGTTATTTATTCGGCATCCTTGTATAATTATTCTTCACTTTTATCTTTGTAATAGTATTAGGAGAACACACGATTGAACACTTTAGTCAAAAATGTTTCCAATTAAGCTAACGTAAACACCTTCTAATCGATTGTATTAGCCAATTGAGTAATGTGATGATTGGCCAAAAACATAGTCGAACAAGACTCAAACCTTATATTGCTCAGTAAATATTCGAACCAACTCATCTCTCTATCAACTTTGATAACCTCCTCTGATGCGAATCCCAAAGCCTTCATTGCTGCCATCAATACACAATGTCCTTGATATCTTAAAGTGCCTCTCACTAGTTTCTAACAGTCCTTCAAACCGTACAATTCTTAATATGGTAAACTGTCTCTATTTGGATATCCTTCCATCTGCAGTGATGGATTCACATGAATTATTTCAGTGGAGTAAAGTAAATCAGAAGCTGGAATATACTTTTAAACTCCTTTTTCTAAGTACTTGGCATCGTTGTTGACATTCCTTATGGCTGCAAAGGGACTCCATGAAAATTTATAGCCAAAAGGGTTATCACAGAACTCTGGACTTGGGACACCTCCACACCAAGACTCATATTCGATGATTCTTAAATTTATTATATACTCTTTCTTACTTTCCACCTTTTGAATACACTTCATCTCTCACTTTAACAGTTGCCAAATGATCGATTCCTGGATCCAAACCAATTTCATTCAACATGATTATTCCCTTCTTCTTACATTCTTCTTCCAAGGCTCTGATCTCTGGAAATGTATATTGCGATGTGACCATCGACCTCCCTAATTCTGCACATATCTTGGCTATTGGAACAATAAATTATGGTGGAATGTAGGCTATCACAATATCTGAATTCTTAACAAATTTTCTGAGTTCCTCTGTTTCTGTCACATCTAAATGATGAGCTGAACATCTCTCCTTATTCTAGATCACTTTTTTAGCATCATCCACGTGAGCAGAGGCAACAACAACGAAATTCTTAAAATTTATTAAAATAGTACGTCATTTCTCTTCAATAATTAATCAATGACAGCTTCTGCCATCAAACCACTTCCAATCAGAAGTACCTTCTTTTGAATTCCCATCAACTGATTTCTGTATAAACTCAGCATTTTTATATTAATTTATCAATTATAAATTATAGTGCTCATCTTTTATTGCATAATTTTTCAAATTAATTTCTTATTAATACGAGAAACAACAAAACTACAACCAAAATCAGACTATCTAATCGATTCTTTTTACAGTGCTCTTCTACACCATTGGGATCTTGCTGTTTTTATTAATTTATATATATATATGCAAAGTATAAAGTAGCTATTAATGGATGTACTAGATATTATTGACAAAGTACTATCATTTTCATTCTAGGATGTCGTAGAAACTTATCAATAAATGAATAAATCGACTACCCAGGAGATTTGTGGATAGTCTGAAATATAGTAATATGAGTACATACTTCAAATTGTAGCCTACTTGAATCGGTTGCTATGTTATTTAATACCCTTCTAGCATCAAGATGCTCTTTGAAGAATAACTAAATGAACATATTAACAATGATTATGAATCAATCATCCAAAATCTTGAAGCTTCAATACGGTCCCATATAAGAGTTGAACAATAATAGAAATTGCAAATCGAAGTATTGATGCAGAAACTAGAAGAAATTACTCTCGAGAAAGATCTCCACATACAACAACAACAAGATAAAATTCGATCACTAGAATTGATTATAAATGTATCTATCCAACTTTTCTAGGATTAAAACAAAAAGCTATAAGAAAATTCTCCTGTCGAAATTATCCATAAGAAAAGTCCTTCCGCCTTTTTTGAGAGACTCGGAAAATTCGTACAAAACAAGGCTTCAAAGAATACCCAAAATTCTACTTATGAGACGAATCTCAAGACTTTCTTGAAGGCTTGTCACACAGATGCTGATCGGTCTTTGTCCAAAGGAAGGAGACATCTGTCAGCAAAACGAGAATTTGGGTTGCAGCGAATAAATGATGAAACCCAACCATTTCCAGAATCAAAACTTACTGAAACTGAAAGATTAAGAGAAAATGGGCGACACAAACTATAAAGGTCAGATAAATCCAATGAATTGTAACATTAAACATCTGAGAAATAATTGTAGATGAATAAATATAAAGCATTTACTAAGGTTTATTAAATCAATATTCTCTTGTAGTTTGACATCCAGAAACAGGAATAAACAGTTTCTAGTTAGAGTTTTGAATAAGTAGGTAAGAATTTAATTGCATTGTAAAAATAAATATCAAATGGTCGCTTAAAAAATACTTAAGGAACTTAATTACTTAAATTTTTATAAAAGAAATGAATTTATTTAAAAAGACAGATCTACAAATGACTATTCCACTAATTCTAAAGAATTTTTAATGTCAAATCTCATACTTTTAAAATATTATAAAATTCTTATATTCTAAAATATAATTGTGTTATTTTTTATAATGATTTGGAAAAAATTGGATGCTCTTTTATCAAAGGCAGAAGCTAAAGGTTTCAAGATGGCCAACAAAGCTCATGTTTACGTTGTGAATGGAATCCTATGCCTCATTGCCTACAATGTCTATACAGTGTTTAGAGGGTATAATGAATTCTTTCTGGAAGCAAGAGTATAACTTTCAAATAGTTTAGCAAGAAGCAGCTCCAGATCTTGATGAGGTCACTGGTGAACCCTAATATCCAATAAATAAGAATATACGCAAGAATTGAGTATAACTATTAATTAAGATTATAATCATTCTCCTATTTATATACATATTATTGAATAAAGAAGAGCAAAATGGATTGAAATAATAAGTTATTTAGCAAATAGTGATGTAAATTAATAAACTCTGAGACCTTAATCTATACCTAAATGGTGTCAATACTTTATTAAATTTTGCATTTTGAATTGTGAATAATATTATTTCATTTCTTAAGAAATTCTGATATGTAAACAAAGAGAAAAACAAACTGCTTAAGATTAAAAGAGTAATAAAATGTATAAGGAATATTTTTACTTATTAAAAATGAATTAAGAATATTTATTAATTAATCTATTTTTAAATCTCTAAAGTTTAATTGAAGTATGCAAAAAAACAAAGAGAATCAAAGTTTCGGAGAATGGACAGAATTCATATATTGAAATTTGAAAGCATATTAGAAAATTTATTTTAATTGCTATTATATTATGAAAGTTTGTAGAATTTAAAATAAACTTTATATTTTTTCTTACCCAATAGTAAGTCTAAATGAAGTAAAAATATATTCAATAACCTTCTGTATTGTGAATTCTTTTTCTCTTTTACTGGTAATAAGGCTCAATTTTTTAAAATAAGTGTATTTGCTTAGACTCTCCATTTTAATTATTTTAGAGATCTATAAAGTATTTTAATTTTGGCTCTATGCGATAATAATGATTAATTTACTATTTTGAAAAAGTTGGAAGGAAAATAAAGAGTAAATTCGTTTGCAATTGAATTCAAACCTTCAGAATCTATGTGGTTTATGTTCTTTATCTAAACTAAAATTAAGAATTCTTTGATTATTATTTTATGTTATAATTGAAAAAAGAATAATTTCGATAATAAATAAGGAGACAACGTTTAGATGCTCATTTGATGTAAGCTAGACGTCATATGCTATCTATTACTTAAACACATTAAAATGAATTGCATATCAATAGCAATGGCTCACCACCTAAGCCAGATTAAATTTTTATCACCAAAGATATCGCTTCAATAATGTCCACTATTTTCAATAGCGAACTAACAAACTCAAGTTTAGAGTAGTTATAATAAATAGTGGATTCATCAGAGCAAGAGGAATTGGAAAATACCTTTGTGCAATATTTTCTTGGTTAAAGATTATTGTAGGCTTACGAGAAGGAATAGGATCTTAATCAAATCACTGAACTTCAATACATTATAGGATCCATAGCTAAGAAGTCTTAAATCTGCAAATGTAGGCTCTTAGAATTGAATACTTTTTAAAGTGCACTTAAGGTGTTAAACTTTGAAATAGAGTATGATGACTACTGCATGTTATCATTAGTGTACTTAATTACTATTTTTGTAGAATCAGATGCTCATAGTTATTCGGATCAGAACAAGCTGCTCTTATTAACAATTTTAGAAAAACTTTGTAAGAAATTAGTTCTCATAAATTATATGGATATGGATATTGAATCAGAAGAGGAGACATCGAATGAGGTTTAACATTCTCTTCTCTCTTAAATCTTTTATTTCCTTAGTTGTTTCATTCAAAATTCATAATTCGCTTTTAATATCACTCATTATTAAAATATCTGGAAAATTGTTTAATAAACAGCATTCGTATTATAAGATGCATCATCTTTAAGATTGAATGCTTTATAAGTGCTTGCTGAAATATCAAAGTAATCAGATAAATAAAAATTGAGTATTCTTCAAAAAAGCCCTTAAATATTGTTTTAGTTAGTGGAAGTCTTGGAATTTCACATTGCTTATAATTCAATTAACAATTGTATTCGTTTGCAAGCATCATTAACTTTGAAAAATTTAGTTTCTATAAAAAATTGTTAAATAATGAATGATATTCACTCCAACAAAATACCTATTAACTTTTTAGAGATAGTGAAATTAGAAGGTATATATTACATTAACTATTATTTAGAGCATCAGAAAGTACTTTACCATTAAATTGAAGCATTTTATTATATTTGTGACTAAAGTACCTTGGAAGATTGCCTTGAGATTTACGAAAATGGATTAATGAGCCTAATTGTGTCTAACTTTTAAGAAATCAAAGATACCAATAATTTTGCGTTGTGTAAATCTTTATTAAAATGTAACTCTTATATTCATATTTTAGTAACTTATGCTATCATGAAACATAGTGAATTTGAGTAGAAACTTAGCGATTATTTTAGATAATACAATCTGTTGTAATTTCTAAATGATATAGGCGTATAAAGTCAAAATTAGAATATTATAAAAAGAGCAACCAAAATCTTAAATTACTTTAATAATTGATAATTAATTTTTGATTTAATTAATATTCTTATTATCATACAAAATTAATGAAATTTTATTATGCTATCTTATCCAATCCTCTTTTATATTGATCAAGTTCTTATAAAAAAGGTGGAATATAGATATTTTTTGTAAATATTTATCCTATCTCTCCCAAACGAATACAATCCTTTATTGTTATTTTACCACTATGCAAATGAATAAAATTTAATTTCCCTCGATATTTAAGTATTTTAATTGCTCCTGTCAAGTATACTTAATCCTTGTACATTCCTCCTGGTTATGATGTATCTTTCAATCCTCTCTTGACTCTCAGGCACTCACGAAATCTAGCCTCATCATCTTAAATGAAGTATCTTAATTCATGAAACAACTTTGCAAAACTCATTTAACTAGCCATTATTGACTTATTCAATGATAATATAAAATACAGAAATATAATGCAAAGCAGCCATGAATAAGTAAGGTTTGCCTTTCTATTTAAGAGCTTATGGAAGTACTTGATTCAAGACTGCCAATCCTTCTTCATGTTTTAAGTATGGTTCCAAATGATATTTAGCTCTTGATCAATTGAATTTATACCTTTTCTTGTACCATTGCTATTAGCGATCATTTATTTTTCTAATGAAGTGGGTGCCTATCTCGTGATTCAGAACTCCTTCAATTCGATTGATGCGATAGTTGATTGGCAACCCAATAATTACTTTGCTTTTGCCATCAGTTGGATTATGCACTACACTAGTAGGAGCTACAGTATGATCTTGAAATTCATAGGATATCAAATCTTAAACACCTAGTTTATGGATATAATCATTAAAGAAATGCTCGGTTTCTTCTATTGATAATAATTTGCCTCCTTCTTGTTCAGCATATTTCAAATCGGAACCAAATTCTTTAATGCATTGATCAATAATTTTTAATGCAATTTCTTCGTACTTTCGATGAGGTTATTCTGGCCCAAGTTCCTTTGGAATAAAAAGTAGATACAAACCTTAACTTCGACGTATTCAAATTATGGATTGTACGCAGCTTTCATGGCAAAAAACAGATGCTTCTCACTTTCTAAATTTAAGGGCTTAATGTCTTTCATTTTGGGCTACATAGAGGGTTGGTCTATATACTCTCTTGATTTTAGATTTCTTTTTCTAAGGTGAAATGGAAGATGATGTATTGACTTTAATCTTAGTTTTTTTGGCCACTTGCTTTTTATTAGGCTTTGGAGTCTTCTCTACTTATGATTGTTGAGGCAAAACGTGTTTGGACCACTTTGTTATATCAAATTACTCTGACAGTAGTTGTATCTCATTTGCATCCCTAAACTTAAGTATTAAGAGATATAAATACAGGAGAGAAAGGAACATCCTTATTTTCGTTTTCACTACTACTGCTGCTATGACTACTGAAACTACTCTCAAGGTATGTTTATTATTGCATAATAAATTATTTAATCATATTTTAATCTCGGTTTTTGTATACATCTAATTATTTTGGCTATGTTTATTCAATATCCTATAGTTATTTACTTGATATAGGAGATTATGCTTATTGTTTTTTTTGTATTAGATCATCATTAACAAATTATATCATAATTATTAAATCATCCATTTATCAAATAGTCTTTATAATCAAATTATTCTTCAGGATAAAATGAAGTAATAATAGTTCTCTTATTATATGTACGACCAGCTAAATGAAATTTGGCCTTCTTTGCAGGAATTTAATAATAAAACTTAACAAATATTTTTCCAACAGCAGGATTGCAGAAGCTAATATTAACAATCATAAATACCCTGATTCCTTATCAGGTCTGGGAATCTCGATTTTTTCGATTTATCCATAACGCATGCATTCACTCCTTATATCTTCCATCAATTCCTCGAAAATGTCATCCTCATATAAATCCTAAATGGAGCACTATCAATGAATAAGAACATACAATACCATATTCAAAAATTAAACGACCTTGCTAGGTATCAAAGCTGATTGTGGAATTGTTAACATCTATTAAACTTAAGGTATTCTAAGTAAATCACAAGAAGCTAAGAATGAACCAGCATAATTGGATGGTTGATCCTTCCCATTTATTTTTTTATTTTATTGAGTTTCTCCTTATACCTTACAAATCTTCAACTTCTTATCTCCGATTTATAAGTTATTGAGAGCTTTAAGAGCCTTGGCTGTAGACTGAGCGTTTTCATATTCAAAAAAACAATAACCCTTCGAAATTTCTGTATTAGAAGTAGTGTCCTTGACTAGATTGAAATACTTGGTTATTCCAAAGGATTAAATTAATTTCATAACATCTTCATCCCTTAAATACGTAGGCAATCCACCCAAATATAATCTGGTGTTATCCTCTTGTTTTTAATCTGGATTAAGCTCTCCGTCTTTGGTTTGGGGGTTCAGAATTCTCTCCAAAAATTTCCTTGGTCTCTCCACCTTAATTTTGCAATTGTTAACAAATTAAACTTAATCCTGAGTTACTAACGCTCTTTTTGCTTCTTTGGAACTGCATTCCAAAACAACCCAGGACTTAGTGGCACCATATTCAATAGATTTGATTGGTCTGTCATCTAAATTCAGGGATTATCATACTTATTTTTGGATCAAGAGAAGTAATGAGCGTATTAAAATACTCTTCCAATTCTTTTAGTTAAACATTCAAAGGCACATTTGAAATAATCATCATAAATGGATTATTTTCATAAATAGCATACTTCTCCTTAATATGTTGAGGGAGGTCTGGATCTTACAAAATTTTAGATTATTTAATTTTATTTTGCCAATCATCATCAAAATCTGTAAGTATTTCCTCTATTAATTTTATTTAATTTGAAATTACCTTCCTCTCCCCATTTCTTTTTCTTTTTATTCTTCTTCTTTTTTTTCTTTTGTTCTGGTTGCTAGACTTAATCTTTCTTATCATTCTTTTCATTATCATCTGATTCTCGTTCTATTGACTCTTTTAGTTATTCCTCCAAATTCATTTATATTAATTAATTATAAGTCCTAATTCATATCTTTTTTTCCCTCTCAACTTTTAAATAAAATTTATATGAGCAATATCCCACAATCATAACATCCACAACAAGCACAACAACCACCATAAGCACCACAACCATATTATGGATAACCCAGCTATGCTTAACCATATGGTGCTCCTCTTTCACCATTGAGATATTCCTATGCTCCCCCTGTCGTCCAATAGGTCGTCCCATAAACCTATGTACCTCAATAAGTGGTCCCTTAAACCTATGTACCTCAACAAGTCGTTGCCCAACCAGTCGTTGCTCAACCAGTTGTTGCTCAATCTGTTGTTGCATAACCAACAATCAAAGGTGAGAGCAGAATCGAATATGTTCCATATGAGAAAACTGTGCTTGAATATGAAGAAGTGAGATAAAGAATCTAAGTGCCAAGAGAGAAATTTGTTACTGATTATTACGCAGTTGAATATCAAACAGAATATGTTCCATAAGTCTTCTAAGAAAAATTTACAGGTATGACATTTAAAAATTTAAATTTCCAGAATATGTTCCTGTAGATAGATACCAAGAAAGAGTTGAGTATTATCCAGTCGAGAGACAAGTTGTTCATCAACAATAAGTCTAATAAGTTGTTGCCCAACCAGTCTAATAAGTGGTTACTCAATCAGTCGTTCAACCAGTCTAATATGCTCCATAACCAGTTCAATATGTCCAACAACCAGTCCAATACGCACCATAACCAGTCCAATATGCTTCATAACCAGTCCAATATGCCCCAGCTCCACTTTAACAAACAACCTATGTTCCTGCTCCAGTTGCCAGTCTTCCATTAGCCTAGACCTAAGTACCAACCAGAACAGTCCCTTAAGCTAGACCCCAATAACCATTAGACAGAACTCAAGTATGACTTTATTTAAATCAAAAGGCTCAAAATCCAAGACCATAACCAGCCCAATAACCACAATAGAAATAAAAGAGCTTTTTGGACAGACTCTTTGATAGAGATTGATTATCATAATCGTTTATATAACATATAAGCCATATTTTCCTATATTATTGATGTTCCTCTTTTATGCAAACAGTAATATGAATAATCATGCTTTCCTTCTTAAATTTCCAGACAATTGAACATATGAGTCCTAATCCTCCATTTATTACTCATAATCATCAATTGTTCCAAGAGCCTCTCCAAATCCATTCTCTTCTGACGACTCCTTTTCTTGTTTTTCAACCTCATAAACTTCCACTCCTTTGCCAAATCCATCGACATCTTTATTAATCTCCTAAACATCTTCATAAACATCTTCTCCTTTTCCAAATCCTCTAACCTTGTCATTAACATTATTCTATTCTTTTCTCTCTTCCTCTTCATAAACATTTTTACCTTTTCCAAATCCAAATATTTTATTTCCCTTTTTTGAATCCTTGAGTTCTCTCTTCTCCTCCTATTCATATACATCAACTCCATCTCCAAATCCTATAGTGTTTTCATCAAACTTCATTACTCAAAATACTTTAATTGAGTTACCATTCTCTAATTCATGCTTTGCTTCTAATTCATTATCAAAGCACTATTATAATTTTTCAGAGTACTCTTACGCTTACAATTCATTATTTTCATTAAGTTGTCCTTGCCTTTCTTATATTAAATTCTCGTTAATTCGATATGCACAAAAATTACTAATAAACAAGAAACCAAAAACGATTCTGATCATTTTATATTAATAAATGAAATAAAAAATTATAAAAGTTAGATATTTTAAACATTCCATCTGATCTTTATACTAAAAAAATGAATAAAATATGATATCTTCTTCTTCTATTAATCCAAATCTTAATTTTTTAACAGCTTGATTATATATCATTATTTTAAATTTAATCTAAGTTATATTAATTTGGATGTTATTTTAATAAAATTCTGAAAGATTGATTTAATTAGTTTTATACTTTTCTTTCTCAGATTTTCAAAATATTATCCTAGAGATTATTTCATTATAATCCAGACTTAATGTTCTGTCATTTTCAGTTCATCAAAATCAATAAAATTTATTTTAATTTCATTTATTCTATAAATACCTATTATCAAAATAGATTAAACAGATTATGAATACATTTTTGAATATTTCCACATATTAATAAAATTTATCAAATTTTCTACTCATCCAAATAACTAATGTAAATCAAAACCGAGCCATCTGAAGCTACGACAACAATTTTATAACAAAAAGCTTCAGAAAATCAGAACATTGAGTTTGTTTGTCAAGAATTGTAAAACATTTGCGCTATTTCTTACCAACTTATTTCTCCTAACAATTAATAGAGATCAATTAGAAAAAAGATAATAAAAACTAATCGTAAATAAACGAACAAATCTAGGGAATCTAAAAAATAGACTAATGAAAAACAAAGTCAATAGACTATCTAAAATTTAATTATTGAAACTGAAGAAGAATTATAATTAAAGATAACTCTAATAGATGATCTCTAATCAAAATTATTGCATTTAAAAACGATGTTATTCAAATTGTGAATTTGCCATTATTTTATATTTGTAATTTTACAATATTAATTTAGTAGTATTATACTTATGTTTTATTAGTCTATTTCCTTATCTTTTGATCAATCCTACAATGGGCATTAATTTAATATGTTATATTAAAACAAAAATTAGATTTATAAAGAAAAATCTTCTTAACCACAAAATAAAATGAATAAACTGATTTAGATTTAGTTTTAGTTATAATTAATTTTAAGAATATCACATAATCTGAATACTTAAATCAAGTAAAATTAAGTAAATATATATTAATTTTTATGAATACAATTTCATATCAGCCAATAAATAAACTATGTTCTGGACATATCCACAACTTACCAGAATGAATAAAATATAGAGGATTATTTCATTTTTAAAGAATTGTATATTTGAAATTCCTCCTATATTGGTTTAAAATTCAAAAATGAAGTTTTGTATGAGATTAATTTCTCTTCTCATTTAAATCGAAATATTGATCCCTCTTCTCTATAAAAATTATGTTCTCAAATTTCCTCGGTATTATTAAATTTATGACCTTGGTTTTACTATTATTAATTTATTAAATTTATTACACTAAATGCACTTTTTTCCTTGTGATAGAATTCCAGGAGCTCGCACAAACTATACTATAATTAAATGTTTGGACAATGGAAGTTAAGGATACGTGTATCAAGTAAAAGGAGAGGATAATAAATTCTATGCCTTGAAGAGAGTTCTCAAAATGAAATCAAGCGAAATGAATTTCTTAAATAAGTATTTCTAGAATCAATAAGATTTTGCGCCCTTACTCATTCATTATGAATATTTTTAGTACAAAAATAGCTTAATAATAATCTAAGAGTATTGTACGGGAGGCAATCTATATTAATTATTATAGAAATAAAAATTATCGACCCAAGATATTTAAAGGATTTTATCAGATGTATTTATAATGTATATTATTAAAGATCTGCAGATAACTCGAAGTGTTAAGATAGTAAAAATTTTTTCATAGAGACTTAAAGCCAGAAAATATTTTGATTTAAATTGATTCTCTATATAATAGAAATCACTATAAAATTTGCGATTTTGGAGAAATTAAAGAAATCTAATGTAGTAATTCCTAAAATTTGGATAAGAAAAGTATGCAAACTATGAATGTTGGAACACCATATTATTAAGCTCCAGAAGTTATTTAATCCACACTTTATGATTCATCAGCTGACATCTGGTCTTTAGGAGCCTTAATTTATGAGCTTTATACTACTGAGCCTTTATTTAATGGAGTCACTTTAGAGGATATATAAAAATAAATTTTATCCACTTAATAAGATCAAAGCGTCATTTAATTAAAGATAGATTAACTTCAATGTGATACTAAATATAAGGATTTATTAAAATAAATGTTAAGCTACGTTGCTTCAGAAAGACCTTCCATACAATAAATATAAAACACATATAAAATAGAATCAGCAATCAATTTTGGAAAAATTAAAGAGTAGTCATAAATGAGAATCTAATAAGCTTATCTTAGTTTTAGACCTTTGGAGTTTGTTTAATAATAAACGGAAGTATAAAACTTTACGGAAAGCTCAGATTAACAACAAAATTTATAAAATTAAAAGTAAAGTCCTAATTTATAAAACAATAAGAATGATGTTCAAGGAAACTAATAAATCAACTATAATAGCTAGAATGCAGATGTAAAATAGAAATTTTAATAATTTTAAAAATTTTAACAAAACTAAGGTATGAACTAAAATTAAACAGCTAAAAATTTCTATCCTAACTTTCCTAACTTGAATTAATAATTGATAACAACTCGTAATCGTCCAGAATTTTATTCTAATATTCAACAAAATAATGATGAAAGCAAAATGGACTAAAAAGTCCTAAGTCAAATGTAAGAAATCAAATAAGAAAATTTTAAATAATGTAACACTTATTCATAAATTAAGGTTAATTCCAATAAAATTTTAATTAAATTGGTTAAGGAATCAATTAAACTGCTTTTTATTTGCCACCAAATTTTAACTTTCCTTAATTTGATTAAACATCAGCTAACTCTTAATAATTTTAAAACACACAAAAACAGGCTCCAAAATTTATGTGGAACAATAACTAATAAGATAATTAAAGTAAATCTTAAGAAAAAGGTTAATTCAATTTTCAATATAATTAAAATTTTACCCAAAAATGGTAGGCTTAGAATAAAGAAATGAAAATTGAAAATCAAACATAATTACCAGTGGAAAAATAATAATTCTAATAGTAATAGTAATAGTAATACTATTAATAATAATAATAATAATAATAATAATAATAATAATAGTAGTATTAACAATAATTATAGCAATAGTAATAATATCAATAGTAGCAATAGTTATAATATCAATAACAATAATAGTGTTAATAACCAAAATAATAATAGTCTTAATAATCATAGCAATAATAGTATTAATAACCATAACAATAATAGTATTAATAAATGTAATAATAGGAATAACAATAATAGCAATAACAATAATAGCATTAACAATAACAATAATAGCAATAGTAGTAATATCAATTGTAGTAATAACAATAGCAATAATAATTACAATATTAGTAATAACAAAATCAATAATTACAATATTAATAATAACAATAGCAGTAATAATAATAACAATATCAATAATAGCAATTATAGAAGCAATAATTATAATAAATTGATAATTCAAGTTAATTTAACCAGTTTTAAGATATAAAACCAAACTCTCTGAAAAATCTATAAAATTTAGAATCAGTTATTGAAATGCCTGCAGATACAGAATAATCAATGGATATCAAATAATATGAGGTAAAAATAATTCTAAATTAGAAAAATACACTAAATAAAATTAATGAGAAAATAAAATAAACATTTAATATTCCTCTAAATATTATCGAGATTTAGGATTAAGAAGACTTAAAAAAACCAGAATATGCAATGAAAATTAGAGAGTATTTAGTTGCATAGTACCAGAAGATTAAATAAATGAAGGATATTAATCAATATGAAGCCTATATTCAAAACCCAAGAATGAGCTCTGAGTACTATAATTATTGATAACAGATATTTATTTCAACTAATTCTTTGATATTTGTTAAAGGCTCCCAAAATTCTATTTTATAAATAGGTAGATTCTTAATAAAACAAAATAATTCCTTCTATAAATTCATAACTAATATCTTCAAACCTTGATAATGATGGAATTTTTTGTTATTTCAAACTAGAAAACAAGATAGTTGATTTTTATATTATAGGAAGACATTGATTTGAATGTAAAATGAGAGGAGATAGTTTTTTCTCTCACTCGTATTTTCTCTTTATATACCATAAGGATACCATGGTGGAAATTTAAATCAAACTCCCATCAAAAATAAATATTAATAGGTAATATGGGTCAATAAATTATATATAAAAATTGATATAGTTGTCATAATTTAATAATTTGTTATAGACCATAAAAATTTTGTTTTATTTTGTAACTTAAATCACAATTTTTGTATGAAATGAGGTTCATTAAGAGTTTAACAACTTAAGTGAGAAGACTGATAATTTGTTCATTTTTTAGATAAATTCTGCGAATTATAAAAAAATGAAGAGTATAATATTATCAATTAAAGTATTAGAATTGGTTTTGATTTAAATATTTTAATAATAGAGCAGATGATAAATTCATAATTATTGTCTTAAAATAATTGTTTGAATTTTCTTTTTAATTAATAAATTAATTAAAATGTATTATTAAGCATAGCCTCCTATGATGCCGCTTGCACATATGATGAACAATCCAGTTTAAATGCAATAGGCAACCAATATAAGAAAACCCGACTTCCCACCTGATGTAAGTTAGCATTATAACAATTAGATGCAACCAATTTTTGTTATTCCCTAAATAGCACACATTAAGTCTTAGCCAAAGCTGGAATGCAGGGCATATGACTCAATTTTAGGGTTAGGTAGAAAGGCTGAGTGGATGCTAGATAAATTTGAAGATGAATACGAGCAAATGTAAAGAGAAGAAAGGGAGAAGGGTAATTTTATATTAATAAAAAAGATATCATAAAACCATCTCGATTACCACTTAAGATTCTAAAGAGATTAGAAAAGAAGCATCAACACAATGAGGAATTAAAGAAGTTGTTGTAATTATGGAATCCATTTGAAGATCCTAATATCACATCTGAACCTTATAAAACACTGTTTGTGGGCAGATTGAATTATGCCACAACTGATAAAAAATTGCGTAAGGAATTTGAAGAATATGGACCAATCAAATCAATAAGAATCATACGAGATTCTACATAAGATAAGCCTAGAGGCTATGCATTCATTGGTAAGGGGGTGATCTTAAATTAAAAGAGTATGAGAGCAAGAACAGTGTTAAATAAGCATATAAATATGCAGTAGATAAGCGTATTGATGGAAGAAAGTTGGTTGTTGACATCGAAAGAGGAAGAACAATTCTGAAATGGAGACCCCGTAGACTTGGAGGTGGTCTTGGTGAGTTGAGAAGATCAAGAAGCGAAGAAATATCTAAAAAACCTAAAGAAGAACATGTAGAAAAAGATGAAGAGGATAAAAGAAGAAAATAAAAGAAAGGTATTCAATTCAAATATTTTTATTAGAAGAAGTAAAACCAGCAAAGAAACCTAGGGAGAGATCTCGATCTAAGTCTGTCAAAAAGCATAAGAAGAGAGAGGAAAGTCCCATTAAAAAATAAAAAAGAAGAGAAAAATCAAAAAAAAGACATAAATGAGTTGATAATGAATTTAAACTTAATAATAAAGGTAAGTATTCTTATTTGAAATGATCTTGGTTCCTTATATTATATTCAATCTTTATAATTCTTAATCCAGATTTAATTACAAAATTAGGTTTTGTTTTTTATTATGTATAAAGGGTTTTATTATTGTATGTTGAATTTATATGATTATAAAATATGTTTGATCTCAATTACAAAATTCACAACCTCCTGGAGGAGCTTAGTTTTCTTTTTCATAAATTTATGACCAAGATTCCTATATCGAATAACCTATAGTGCTTCCGATAATAACTGCAACATTGACCCATCCATTCATGGTCATAATTAATTACATAACCATGATACCTGATAGTGCATATACTAAATACCAACAGATATCAACAATCAAACTTATATTAAAGATGGGTTTTACTTTTTTGGTAAAATTAACTTAACAGTGTAGAGATTCATATGAAGCATACAATAAAACATTACAATAAGACATCCGAAAAAGAACAATCCTGTTTCATCGGAAGTTGTAGACCATCTTATGTTAATACTGTTGATACCCTTTAAATACAAATTCACAGTTAACTCTAAAGTGAACAACCATGCCATTATTGATAGCCATTTTAATATTTAATTAATTAAATTATATGTGTTCCAAATTAAGCACCAAACTCAAAGTATAATTTTCTAAATCTTATACTATTTTGATTAAGATTCAATATATAGAGGGATCAAGAATAACGTTAATTCTTGTATCTCTCGTGTGTATTAAATTGAAAATACTAATAACTAAGGTAAATTAAGATTCAAATCTAATTATGTTTAACTCAAATTTTGATGGATGTAGTAATTTCACCATTTAAAACATAGGACAAAGTTTGATTTAACAGTTTTAATTATTTCAGAAAGTATAATATTCCATTTAATTATTAGATATAAATTAATATTCCCTAAAAAACATCATGATTCTTCAAACCCTTCTTCAAGCTTACTAGTAGTTGCAAGTGATTCCCTTTTTGGTTTTATCTCCTCCTCCTATCCCTCTTATTGTTTTTTGATCCATTCCCTTGTTTTCACAAAGCGTTCAGGAGGTTTTGGATCTTAATGTAATTTTTTGAAAGCTCTTTCTCTTCTCAATTTGCCTCCGTATTTAATAAATTCTTGAGACCAATGTTTTATTGCTTATTCTACGTCAACAACGCTGATAGGATCCTTCCACCAAGATATTACTTTTGTAGCACCATTTTCCTAGACATAGCTTAGGAAATCGTAATAATTGATAAGCATTTGTAGAAGATCTTCTTGGAAATCGATTTTTTGATCCATTAAGTCTTAGACTTGTTTTTATATTTGCATTTTAAGAAAGTTTGATTATTCAGAAAAATCCTTAACCATGAAGGAAATTGATATGGAGAGGATTTCTAAGATTACTTCATCACACGTTTATAAGCTTGGATTCTCTAGAGAGAAATTATGGGTTAATTTAAGTTTGTAGTTGTTTTCTTAATTAATGAAAGTTATAATTTCTATTTGAGGGTCCACAATTATCTCTTCTTGAATTACAGGCGATGGAAGGACTTTGATATTTTAACTTGGGCAAAAGCCTCCCATTTATTTATTTATTTTTTATTATAAGATGAATTAAACCATCAATTTCTTCTAAATTTATATAGTTATAAGAACAGCTATAATGTTTTAATTTTAATATTACTCATTTTAAGCAATATTATTTCCATTACACTTTTTTCAATTTAGTAGTTTTTGCTTCAATAAAGATTTAAATGTTTTGTATAATGATATTAAAAACATGTTTTATATTAGAAATACATAATTTAGAATATCTTAGCCTGGATAATAAGTGGGGTTGAATGATTTAATTCATGTCATCTGATAATTCATCGATATGCTACTACAACATAGCAGAGTTGTATAGATTTTAGTTTAGAATAAGAATTTGCTAAGTTTCACTGGCGATTTAAGATTTATTATTAATTTGCCATAAAATCATTTTTGAGGTGCAATATGATAATTTTGAAGCTATAACTATGATGAGGCTCAAGGAGAGGTTGGGGTTTAATGCCTGATAATTTATTTTGAATTACAGTCAAATAAATCTTAATAATATTTTGTATAAATCACAAAACAGAAATTCAATAATTTAATTCCTGATAATTACTTAATTATCTTCATGTCCAACAATGAAGATGAAGTTGAATAGGTGATAAAAACTAATAGTCATGAGCCCCCCCAAACTCGATCAATTAGTAAAAAAGAAAGAGGTGATGTGCAAAAAGTAGTTTCGAAAATCAACAAACAAAATAGAATTGTCAAAAAGAGAATGAAACGAAAGCGACTATATTCAAAGGCAAAAAGACCTGGCATGCGTAGAAGAACTAGAATTCCTGCTTCTGAATCCTTTACTCCAAATGAAGATAGATTAATTCTTTCTTCTGTATTAAAATTAGGTCCCAAATTCAAAGTTATTTCCACTTATTTTCCATCAAAATCACTCAGCACTGTAAAGAATCGATACTACAAATTTCTCCGATATAGATGGACACAAATAATGGGGAAGTAAAGATTTCAATCAATATGCTAGAGATTACGATACTTTGTACAAAGAAAGTCTATAACAGAGCACACAAGGAGAGGAGATTATAGAGACAGTTTAATTATTTCCAGAATTCAAAGATATTTTAAAGAACATGATTTCAAATATAAAATCTTTAATATTATAATGAATCTTATCATTTTCACTTAATTATATTAATATGTTCTGTAATGAATATAAAAATATATTGTTTAGCTTAAGGATGCATGTAGATTTAAATTTTAAAGCAATTCCTCCATAAGTGATTATGTTCTTGAACGAATCATAAACACTGTATCTATGGCTCAAAAAATCATATTAAGGAAGTTGCTTATAAATTATCACGGCATCAAAGCTTGAAAGTAATGTATCAAAAATATGTATAGTTGATAAAAACTTAAGTGTATTTTTAATGTTTAATAAATAATGTTTATATTAATTTGTAATTAACCGTTATTTGAAGGCATGGGTCTAAGTATTAAACACACAGATAATTCATTTTAAAATCGATATTTCGGTTAGGAATCGAAATATATAAGTTTTCTGCAATATTTTCTTATCACACAAAGTAATGGTTAATGAATCTGATCTTAATGAAAATAAAGGTCTTTATGTAAATTTGTTTGATTCATCTGAAAACTACCGACGTGGAAAAGCTTAACGATTCTCAATTCCATCAAGAATGATGATCCTTTCTGCTTTATAAATATTATTTATTGATATTTAAAATTGTTTATTAACTAAATTGAGTAATTCAAAGATAAACTTATTCATTTTTTCTAGAAAAGTGATTAAAAGTTAACAAATATATATTAATTTTTAACGTTTAAGTCATAGCAATAGGAATTCTACCTTAACATTATTATGTAAAAAATTATACATAATTTTGTTATTTCATATGAAAAAAGGATAGTATAAGTCATTTATTTTCAAAAGAATTTGTACAATAAATTAAGAATTGAATTGAAACTTGGATCTCATAAAAAGGTTTATTTCATGATCAGTTCTTTATGAGTTAGTAATTTTGCTATGTATTAGATGAGAATTTCATTTTATTAAGAATATAAATTTATGTTATTTTTTCTAATTTGCTTAGCAAATGCTGTAGATTTAAGATTCAAATTGCCAGCTCGATAAATAAGATGTTTTGGTGATAGACTGTAGGAAAAGGAGATGATATAAGGGTTTGTGGAAGGAGAGTCGGCAGATTATAGTCTTAAAATAACTGATACAGGTGTGAATAAGTAGTTGTTGTACACGTATCATGAATTAACACAAAAGTTTACACAACTTTTCAATGAGACAACATAGATTCAAATTTGTATTCATAATCTGGCTCACTATTAGATGAACATCTAATTTTTCTATGAGCAGGGTATATAAGCGGAAGTAGCATCAATTGAAGATTTGAAGGAAGTAGAGAAGTAAGTTAAATAATACAATAATACTTTGCAACACTTAAAGGTATAAAGTTGAATTGATTTATAGTCTGCTCAATTAGATTTAGTATAATTGTAGACAAATAGGAATGAAAAGATGAATGTAATTTCCAGCAAAATAATATTTTTTTCGATAATAACTATTTTGCTAATGATAATTGTCACCGTAATTTTCACAATAAAGGCAGCAAAAGTAATGAAATTGAAGAAATCTTATTGATCATGTTTAATAATCACTTTAATTGCATTTATAAAGATTATACTAAATTTATATTCACTCAAATAATGTGAAAATCAGCACCATCATTATTATATTCAGAATTTAAGTATATCCATAACAAGATGTACAACCATCATTTATCCACATAGATCCACCATTTGTATTTTGAAAGCATTGTTCTTATGGCAATTCATCTAAGCTTTCCACACTCTAACACTTATCTTGTGTCCAAATACAAACTGTGATTTCAGTATATTAATAATTTGGAATAAATTTGCATGTATCTTAGATAGTGAAACTGCCACAATCTCTAGACAAACATGTTCCATTTAACCAAATGCAAGCATAAGTATCACACATTTCTTACCAATCCTTCACGTTCTCGCAATTATCAAAATCCAATTTGGCTAAACATTCATTTGTTGATTATTTCCATCCACACTATACACTGTTTGATTATTGAGAATTGTTGCATATGGTTTTTGATTTCAATTTTCCACATTCTACATTCATCTTCTAAACGCACTGATATTAGCCGTCTGCTTGTGTTGCCGACGGTTCACATTAACTCTAACCTTTTGAATAACATTGTTCGGGTTCTGATACGAAAAACCCTTGGCAACTATTAAATAATATGCATTATTATGAAGCCGCCCAACCACAATTCGCTTGTTAATCACAGCTCTTTTAAGTGCTGTAATCGCTACATTTAAAAACGTAATCTATGCATGCTCCATCTGACCATTAACATTCTCCGTAGCATTTATCTTATTTTCTATTTTCACATTTGTTTTCAGAGCATTCTCCATCCCAATAGCAATTTATTAGTTCACATTAATTTTTTTCAGAAATATCAGAACATAAGCATCGTTACCCGAATGGTATTACAATTTGTCCCGTTATTCGAAAAGTTAAGATACATAAAATCAGGTTAATTTTCATTAAAGTTATTTTTAGATTTTATATTCAAGGAAATATCAATTAAATATATGAGATCTTTGTGGTTTCTATTTACATATCAACGGTTTCTTTAGATTTTAAAATAATCATATAATAAATATAATGATATTCATAATGTTTTAAGAATGCTGATTGATTGTTAATCCAATAGATCTATTGGAATATTACTTAAAGACAATCTCATTAGTTATATTTGTTTTTGTTTCATTTTTATACAATATATAAATGCACATCCTGCAATTATGATTTCTAGAATTAAAGCACATGCAAAATAAGCTTAAATTTCTTTATCATTTTGATTGATAACTTAGTAAGTTTTAGCAAGTATTTCCTCTTAGAATTTTATGAATGCTTTTTTAGTATTTAGAAAATGCCTTGAAATCAATACAATAAATTCATGGGAATTTACTAAGCTTATTTAAGCTTTGACATCTGGATCTTATTTCAGATTTTCCAATTCATAATTGAAAGTACTTTTAATAAATTTACTAAGACTTGAATATATCCCAGAGATGCCTTCACTTACATAATATTTATTCTAATCTTTCTAATTGGTAGAATTTGGACACACTATTGGGCAAAGATCAGTAAAGAACAGCTGATACAAAGTTGAATTATTTTATCTATCAACAGAATCATCATTAACCAATCCCTTAAGTATTTGTTCCTCCGATTCTATAAAGTTTTAATATAAAATAGAGTAAAATCTTAAATTAGTAGTTCTAATAGCTATAAGTTTTTAGTTAACCAAATTTTTTTAAACTGTTATTGATTCATTAATTTTATTATTCTGCATATAGAGTCTTTGACATTTCACTCTAACTGATTGAGTAACCATAGAATCCATTGTGACTGAAAATTAAAAGAATTCAGACATCAATTCATATTAAGGACTTAATTATGTTTACTATATTTAATTAAAATAGTATCCACCAAGACAGAAACTTATTATGAATACTTGAACAGATATAATCATAAAGAGTATGGAAAGTAGAGAAAATCTACTTTAAGCAATTCTGGAACATAGAAGTGTATGTTTACTAATTTTGGATTGTATTTGCATTTGATCAGATTTAATCTATTGAAACATCAAATGAACGTAATCTGCTTTTTTCCAACTTGTAACCGTATGTTCAATTAAGATCTCTCTTATTAATTAAAGCCTCTACACTATTAGATGAACATCCTTTTCTAAAAGTCTACAATTTAAGTATATTATCTTCTTAAAATAATTGAATATTTGATGAAAATATATGATCTATACCCAGAATAAAAAGATTATTGTGAAAAGGGCAACCAAAAGTTATTTAAGGAAATTATTTTCATCATAAATCATATCTTCAAAAAAGGTTTACACAATCAACTAAATTAAATCAGAATATAACGATATACTTTCCTATAGATTAGCATACAAATACAGGGATGATATAATCTCTGATTCATTCATCTGATATTTAGCAAAGCTTTATCCTTTCTATGTGAAATATTATAATTTCTCTATCAAAACACTGTACATATAAGTGAATGACACATTCATTTGATCTGCAGTATTATGAAACTAATATTTAATGTAGGAAAGTAGTCTAGTTTCTCAATTTCTAAAAAGACTGGGTAATATTTGCTTAGGTCTTGAAGGAGTGTATTATTTTTATTAATTGCTTCTATGTCATTAATTAATTCTTGACTATAATCCACAATTTAGAGCTTTTGCAATTCAAAAATCATATTGTGAACATATAATTAACAGTAATAGGAGTTATATAAATATGGAGCCATTATAGCATCAATCTATTCAATTGCATGGAGGTTGTTATTATGAATTGTAATCATAGGAAATATGTTAAACACTAATATTGAGGCGATAATCATTAGATCAAAGATAATGATCATTTTAAGCGAATAAAGAATTTTGTTTGATTTGTACACACTTTTCACAAGATCTTATTTGTAATTGATTAAGTTAGAAGCAATGGAGTTCACTGAATTAACAGCATCCATTTCATTGATATCTTGCTTATGTTTTTCTTAGATTTAATCAATAATGTTCTTTCTTTTGGTTATTTTTTCTGAACTTTTATGTTCTTCGTCATGTTACCTCTCTTTAACAATAAATTGTTTTTAGTTGTAATTTTTATTAGCCTTGATAACTTTCATTTCCTCTTCTATGCTTTTCAGATCTTCATTTAAATTCTTTTATTTGATCACTTAAAATATAGCCTTTTGGGATTAAGGCTTCATGAATTATTTATTACTTTTTGTAGTCTACTCATTTTTTTGTTATTCAAATCTCCCTTTAGTATAGGAAACATCAGGATTTATTTTTAAAGGAGGGTCAATTGATGTCAAATCATTTTAATTCACCTTCTTGTAACTCTCTTCTTAAATGGAACTTAAGTCAACTGGATCTGGTTCAAATGCATCATTAGTTTTAATTTCAATGTCTGATGAGTAATCTAAACTGGATTATAAGTCTGCTTTGAATATATCCAAAATTTCTAAAGTAAACATTGGCATAGTTTTATAATGACCAATTAACTAATAATGAAGTTGACATATGATTTCAAAATTGATAGTCTTTAATTCATGATTTATTTATTGTTTACAAGAATCTTAATACTCTTGGAGAAACATCTCAGTTTTGTGATTTTTAGTATCTTCATAAAGAGTCCAAAGACCATCATAATATCCCTTATGTTTAGATGAATTAATTGGTCTGTCGAACTACTATTTAATTGGACTACCAATCATCAATAGAATCCTTTCTTCATAAGGAAGATTATCAAATTCAGAATTAGTATGATTGTTCACCAAATAGAAAATATTGGGAATAATCTGAAATATATACCCAGCATTCAATATTTCCGGTGTGACTGTTGGATCTATGGAATGAAATACTTTATACAATAATTAAGTGACTCCAAGTATCTTACCTTTGGAATCAAACAGTATATATAAGGATGTTTCTTTATTTTTGGCAAAGGCAGCAGTAATGACATAATCATCATAGCTGATAAAGAAGTTATCAATAGTGATGCTGGCTGGAATGAGTAGATCATATTTATCTTTAAGAAAGATAGTTCTACATTTCCCAAAAAGAATACTATGACCTAATATTTAAAACCTCTCAATGTATTAATCATGGACAGATGCACAAAAGTTTGGCATCAGTTAATTGATATGTTTAATTTCATGGAAATCTAATTCATTTTCATACCCCCAAAACTGTGCCAATAAATCACTATTAGTCTTAATTATAAATCCTTAAGCTTTAACAATGCTCGTGTACAATAACACAACTTTATTATCCAGGATACTGCAATTTAAGAGTTTTCCATCTTGTTGTGTTTCTTATCTAAGCATCTCAATAATGAGTTTCTACATTTTTGTCGCTTAAACCTGATCGTTTCTGACTACACAAAAATAGATTTCTAGCATTTTCAATTCAATAACAGTCTTAACATTTTAAATTTCATCTAGATCTTAAGAGAATAGATTTGTGAGATAGTTGTTAAAATCATTCATTACTTGGCTACATTTGATTGTGTGTTCAAAGAGTCTTTCATAATTTGAAAGATCAGACAATAATTTATTCCAGAATTCAAGTTTTCTATTGAGGACTTCTAAGATTTTTGGGTAAAATTAATCTTTCATCAAACAAGCAATATATATATCCTTTGTTTTCAAATCCCTTTCATCATAATATTGAGTAGATCTTATTTGTTTAGTAATTCTATTCTAAACATCTCTCACTCTCTTCCATAATTTCTTGTCGATGTTTGGAAAGCATATTTAAAAATAAATTGTATGATCATCAATAGCATTATAGTACTATTTTAGTCTACAGAAGGCCGTTAATGCAGCCTTCTATAAGGATAAGAAATTAATCAAGGCTAATTCTAAGATTTCATAATCCAATTTTATTTGCTTATTTTTAATGATTGAGTTTTCAAGTATGCAAATAATGGTTTCAGTTAAATTGGTTTAATGTTTAAATTTGCAATTCTATTTATGTTGATTAATCAGTATTGTCTTCTAAAAATTTGATGCCAAGTACAACGATTAAGTTTGGACCAGGACAAAATACTAATCAAAAGTTTGCTTTTTAGAACATTTCTCTATAATTATTTATGACAATGCCACAGAGAATGTACCGAATAGGAAGTATGAATAAAATAAATTGTTCTCTGATTATTGAATAATTGATATAGTGGTGATTGAAATGAGAGAGTATTGTAGCATGGAACATTGAAATACAAATGAATTGAACATAGGTTTGTAGGGATGAAATGTATAGACATCAACTATCTAAACGATTGTTGAAAAATGAAGCAATATCAATCTAATCAAATAAAACTGGAAGTTCATGTAGCAAAGAGTATCAATAGCTATAGAAACAAGTGTAAGATTAGTATACTTTCTTATAAATGGATTGTTATGTAAGAATTTGGTTGCTCTGTTGAAGTATAAATTTATAAAAGATTGAAGTAACAATAAAAAAATAGCTACAATTGAAAGGGTTGGATCTGATTCAAAATCTATGAGTATTGAAACTTGAGGCATAAAAAAGATATGCCAAGTGACATTGTTGTAATAGTACATCAATTTTATCCGCATAAAGCTCATCACTAAACAACAACCATTCAATATGATGAGTATTATTTTTAGTATAATTGCATTCTGATGAAATATTGTCGATAAAATCTATTAAGGTATTTTGATCTTAAAGTCTTCATAAGTCCACACTCCCCATCCATCTTCTGGTAATAAATAGTGAAGTCGGAACATAAATTAAAATATTATAGTGGCCCTGAATAAATTCTCAGTCAATTCCACTTTTGGGGCTGTTGTCATTAAGTCTAAATATAAACCCATCAATTCTTATATTTTCTACACAAACTTATCTGTCAATGATCCCTTAATATTTAATATACTATACTTACTCATTTTCTTTTTTTCTTTATTATTATAATTACATGATTCGTTGCTTTAATCATGGCAAGATGTCAACCATGGTATGCACTACAAAAGGATGCCAACACAAAACCTTATGTTCCGATTGCATTGTCACTCACCCTAAAAATCATCTGGCTGCAATCCTACCATTAAGGGATTTCGATCCTTCTAGTTACTCTGTACCAAAAACCATTGCCAGTATCTATATTGATTCTAATAGAAGAGGATTTGAGCATTGTTAGATAGAGAATGTCAATGTTGTAGAATCATTTGATTCAAACTAGAGAAATTCGAAAGTCCGAATGTAAGAGGTTATAAAAACACATTGTCAACTACTTTACAGATGAATTAGATTGTATATTTAAATATCTAAGAAATAGCCTTTATTAAAAGTGTTATGCTTTAAATTGAGTCATTTTACAATGAAAAACATACCAAAATTGCAGAAGTTACTCAAAATTGTGAAGAACATATCAATAAATTGAATTCAATTATTAATGGAGAAGTAGATGATTCAAGAAAATTTGATTTCTTATTAGATTTGCAAGAGAAATTATTACAAATTATTGTACCTACTCTTACCAAATAAGCAGAAGACTTAAGCAGATTAAGTATAAGCAGCGATATCTTAATAAATTAAAATTTTGAAAAAGCTATTTAAGTTGTCATAGAAAAGGCCTTTGTTGTCAGCAATATATTAAACACTGAGAAGAAACCTGTTGTAATGGATGAACCTGAATATGATTCTTTGACCATTTTCAAGGTCAATCTAAAAAATTAATAAAAGAATCTAGACTTCTATAAGTCATCCATTCAACCATATTTACACTCTGATTTACTCGGAAAAGAGTACAAAGTTCCTTAGAGTTCTGATTTTGTACCAAAGTATTAAATTATCTTAATAAAGAACAGTTCCAAAAGAAGCTCCTTAATTAAATGGTCTACCCTTTGAAATCTTTATTAGCTAGTAGAAACATTTGAACACTGTTATCTAAGGTCATTTAGACATAGTTACTGCTGTTTGTGTTTTGAATTTAAATTAAATTGCCTCTGCTGGAGGTGAGGGAGTATTGAAATTTTGGGATATAGATTCATAAATTTGTTTAGGAACAATAGAGGCTCACAAAGGTGAAATTTGGTGTTTGTGTGCAATTACTGATGACTTTAATTAAGATATAGCTGAGAAGTTGGTTTCAGGAGGGAATGATAGATTGATACATATTTGGAATGTTTAATATATGACCTTGGAGTTTACCTTGGTTGGTCATTTAGACATTGTGAAAAGCCTGTGCTATTTAAAAAAGTTTTAGTATATCTGTTCTGGAGGTGGGGATTACAGAATAAAGATTTGGAATAGAGACAAGTGTTTCTATACAATTGAGGATGCTCATAAAAAGATTGTTAGAACAATCATTTAATTAGATGACGATAATTTTGCATCTGGAGGGGATTGTTTCATCAAAATTTGGAGTGCATTCAAAGGATAATTGAAGTATGAACTGGCTCATGGGGATGATGTTTATTGTTTGAAGGAATTACCAAATTAAATGTTGGCTAGTGGAGGAGCTGATAGAATAATCATTATCTGGAATTTAAGAGGGGGTTTTAAAGCTCATAAATTATAGGCTCATAATGAAACTATTACTTGTTTAGGGTTTCATAAGTATTTATTCAGTGCAGGAATTGACAAGACTTTAAGAGTATGGGAAATCAAGGATTAAGCCACTCTCATGAAGAGTATTAAAGTCCATACGGAATAAATTAGTTGCATGGCTGTCAATCAATATAGAGAATTAATTCTTACTGGTAGTTGGGACAAGAGAGTTAGAATAGTATCCTTAGAATATGTTATTTAGAGAAAATGATTATAAAATTATTCAATAATTCCATTTATGATATTATAGAACAAATTTAAAGTGATATAAATCCATTATTTTGTTTATACTATTAGTAAATTAGTTCTTTAAAAGCTTTTATGAAAGATATATGATATTGATTAAAATTATCAAAAGAGACAGTGTAATGCTATTTTATTTTTATAATAATAATCAATCTTTAAAGCAATATAAAAAAGTTCTGGTCTGAATTTGCATATATCCATAAACAACTTAATTTGGTTGTAATTTGTGTTTTCCTTCTAAAGTTTCAAACAAAAGCGATATCTATTAATAAATTGTTCAAATCATACCTATATCAATAAGTATAAAGTCATAATTCCCTAAAAATATAGTATACTGATAACAGATTGATAAATGGAACAATCATTTGGTTAATTTTCATCACATTAATGTAAAAATATTATTAAATATACGATTGCAACTGAGATTGCAACAATATATTAAAATCATTTGAAAATCTATAAAAGTTTAATAGATTTATTTACTTCTTTCCATCAAATAATTTGTAAAATAAAGATAGACAATATTCAATGGATATGCTACTAATAGATTGATTATTGCCAACATTATATAATCGATTTAATAAGGCTATTAATCAAAGTCGTGGAAAACTTTGTAAAATTAAGAGGGAAACGGTGCAAATGATAGGAAGAATAATATAAAAAAGGGAAATTAACCTAATCTTATAAAAAAATTTCTACATAATGAGTTCTTAAATATTGTACTTTTGTGAAAACATCGAAATAATATTATCATGATTGGATAGAAAAGCAAAATCAAAATCTAAATTAATGTTCCTCCTCTATAGTTTATATTATCGAAAATGAAATTGAAATTGAAATAGTAAAGTAGCCCATTAAGTATAGTCTGGAGAACATTTATGATCATAATCTTAATCATAAATTAATTCATATTGTTGTTATGAACTTTATATTTTTTCTAGAATCCTTATTTGTTAGTATTGACTTCATTTGTTTCTTTTGAGTGGAGTTGAATATTATCTTCCTGATCCATTGAATAATTAATAATTTATTATAATATATAAAGAATAGAACTATACCAATTTTTATTCTAAATTTAGTTGGAATTAAATAATTCTCTAGGTAGATTTAATTCACTATAACTAAATATGAATGAATATTACTATTAAATTAATATATCTAAGAAAGTATAATTATTATTACTACCTAATAAAAGCTTTTAAATTTAATTAGTATTTTTATAAATATCCATTAATTTAAGATAAAGATACAATGGAAATAGAATATTGTTTTGATTCTAAATTGACGATTTATAAATCATAATTTATTGTAAATAGAGTTGGGTGCAGCTAATAGTTGAAAAATATATATAAGTGTTTTTGTTATTTAAAATTGCTTATCTAGTTTTTCTCAGAAATTCCATCTTCCATTTCAAATACACTTAAGAAATCAAAGTATTCTAGGTATCCATTATAAATTAATTCTCTGTTAAAAATTTAAGTTTTTTGACCAGATTATGAGATGCTAGCTGGTTTAACAACATGTCTGAAAACCCATTTATCAGAATTTCCTTTTTACCACATCTCAATGAAAGTGCCACAAATAGCCATTGTTTTATCAGATGGACTCAAGCTTAAGGCTGCAACTCTTGCAGAATCTCGGTTTAATCCTTTTAAATATGTTAATTAATTTTATTCCCATCGTACTTTCCAAATTTATATAGCTCTGGCTACATCTCCACAAATTAGAATTTTTTCATCTTAATTCAAACACTGCACAAAGTACAATTGGAATGAATCCATTATTTATAGGTTTAGATACTGCATTTGACAATTTCCATTCATTTAGGAGGTATATTTACATCATTACGACACATATTGATATTAAATAAAGCCGGCCTGCTTTTTACTAAAAATTAATTCTTAAATATCATCTTCCTCAGCTTCAAGTGTTTATTTTAACTTAATTTTACCATTATTATTAGTCTATACTTGAATTTTCGCTTTTTCTAATTTAGTATAATTACGAAACAAGTCCATTTTATTCCTATAAATCATCACTAAATTTAATCTTAATTTATCTCTTTCTGCTGAAATTCATTATTCTAAATATTCCCTGATTCTGAAGAATTTGTTGAAGAATTCTGAAGATTTTAAACCGAATTAAATTTAAATATATCATCTTTTGAAATTTTTCTTCAAACAATCTTAAAACTTGGAGAATCTCGAAATTATGAAAATAATTCTAATTTTGGAACTAATTCAGTACCTCATGAATAATTTTAATTTCTCCTAAATTGCTTTTTATCTTCAATTCCTTTGAATTATAAATCAAATAATCTAATTCTTTAAAGAAGTTGTATGCATTATTTGTTTACTAACCAAACTTTTCAAATTATCAATCCAATCATTCGTAAATCGAAATATTTCATCTAATATTTATGAGATATTTTGTACGATTTTAAAGTTCTTAGAGATTTGGGTAATTATGAAATCTTCTATAAGATTATAATAATTTAGAAATACTGTTATTTGTTTTTAAGTAAGCTAATCATTACAAAAAGAAAGTAAAACAGTATAATGATTCTCTATGCTTTAATAGATATATTAACATAGAAATATCATTAAAAAATGCCTTTTCAACAAAAAACATCAATATAGGAATAAGTTTATTTTATTGATTAAAATTCTTTGAAAAAAGTTTCCTATTAATTTTATGAAAAACGCATATATAACAATAGTCATTGTGAGTTTGCTTACTTTTGCAAGTTCAAGTAAATGCTATAAAATATTTAGAGCTAACACTCCAGCAAGCAGTTCGGCTGAATTTGCAAAATTTGAGATGTCGAGATCTAGATGATATAAATATTATGATCTCTGACATCATTTAATGGAAAGAAGCAATAGAGTTAAATAATTAATTAGGAGATGATTTTAATGGATTGTTGGAGGTTGAGAGAATTGTTAAAAATACAAAACAATAGTTATTGCATTAATAATCATTAATTGAAATTGAAATGCCTGTTAAACCAGACCTTTAAGCTAAATTTGAAACAGATCTTGCCAAAATCATGAAGTTAATGTAATAAATGAATCAAAAGCAATCAAAAAAAGAGAAACTCGATCTATTAACTGAAATTGATGTTAGCATTTAAGCAACAAAATAGAAAATGTAATCAATATTATCTCAATCCTCAAAAGCCACCGAATATGATATAGAATTATTGACCACTAATCTAAAATAATTATTATATATCAAACAATAGTGTTAAAATTAATAGTAACAAGGCTAATATACAATTGGTAGAAATAATAAGTACTATAAGCCTTATAGTTACGACGAGTATGATTTCGATGAATACGATGATCCTATCTAATAAGTTTTATATGATAGTGATTATGATTCTGATTACAGCAACTATTATGATTATGATGATTATGATTATAATTATGAGAGATTCCATAGAAGTAGATCATAAAGATAATAAAATTAAAGAGCTCGAAAGAATTCCAATTCATAAAAATAATCAAAATAAACTAAAATAAAAAGATAAATAAAATAGAAGAATGATAAACATCTTGATTAGCCAGAAATCTAATAATAACAATATACAGATGAAGAATAATATTAGGATTAAGGCTTTTCATCAACAGAACAGCAATATTAAGATCGTCCTATATACAATAATGAAGACAATGACGACAGTAATTATTCTCCTATCCAATAATAAGAAGAGGATCCAAATCAAGACTCTGAAGATTATTATTTATCTGCAGATTCAAAACCATATGATGCTCTAGATCCTGAAAATTAATATAACATTATATCAGATTTGCATATTGTAAATGAATAAGAAAAGAAAAATAAATCTAATAAAGATAATAATTTAATTCAAAATGAAAGAGATTATTAAACAGATTCAGATGACTATTATTAAGATGACTACTAAGAGGATTAAGAATATATTTAATAGCCTGATGAATAATACCTTGAAAATGAAACAATTCAACCAGTTAAAAACTAAAAATAGTAAAGGTTCATTAATCTAAATAAGGATGACTATGATTATCAATAGGATGTTGATTACTAAATTGAGTAGGATAACAGATAAAATAATAAACATACTAGTTAGGAATCCTCAAATCTTGATGAATAGGAAGATATCAATTATTAAAAACTAGAAGATGAAAAAACGAATGATGTTGAATAATAGGGGGAAACAGAAAATAATAAGCTTGAATAAAAGGAAAACTAAGAAATTAAGAAAGTTGATTCAGAGTAGAAATCAGAAAATAAATAAGTAGAGAAATAGGAGATTTCAGAGGTTAAATAAGTTGAATAAGATTAAAATAAGAGCTCTTCATAATAGAATGAGGAAGTGATCCAACAAAGTAATAAATAATCAGAAATAAACAATAACAATTAGGAACAGAGTAAATCTAAATCATAATTAAATCATATGTAGGAAGGATAAATAGAGACTCATGAGGACTTTAAAGCAATTCCAGACTCATTAAAATAAACAACATAAATAAAGGCCTAGGCAGAGGAATTTAATTTAAAAGATTAAAAAATACTACCTGAACAGTAGTAATAATAGTAATAACCAAATGTTTAATAATAAGAATAATAAAAGTAAGAATAGTCAGTATAAAAGGTAAATCCTTTAGAAAAAGAATAGCCACCAACGTAATAAGTGGTATAATAAGAAGTACCCTAATAACCTGCTGAGTAAATTTAACCATAATTAAAGTCATCCTTATAAGAATAGATAGAATAATAATAATAATAATAATAATAATAATAATAATAATAATAATAATAATAATAACCATAATAATAACCTTAATAATAACAATAAAATGTATTACCTAATCCATTATAAACTTAAGAATAGAATGTAAATAATGTATAACCAAATGTACCAGAATAAAAAAATGAACCTCAAATTTAATAATAAGACCCAACTTCATAAGAACCAATTGGTATTGACACAAGTCAGCTTCAGCCTCAAAATGTGAGTGAATAGAAACCTTTGTTACCTACTGAGCTGGTTCCAGATAATTCAATTAAAATCCCTACTAAAGGTCTTGAAGAGAATCCTGATCAATTAATTGACCCAGTTAAGTTTGTTCCATTCAAACACAAGCCTTTATAGAGCACTGCAAACATTATGGTGAGGTAATCAAAATTTTATGATTCAACCGTTGAAGGAAAGGCGTCGTATGAAATTTAATTTTCAAATAAGGAGTTGTAAGATTCTGAAGAGTATGGATATGGATTTTGGGTAAAATACTAAAGTACTCTTGAGTACAAGTTGAAACAAAATTAATATTACTTTTTGTCTCGATTAACTTCTATAAAGGATTATTTGGACTTTTAAAATTATGGGGATAGAACTTTAGCCAATTTCTTGATGGATAACACGTTTGTGTTTGCAACGTATGATTATGTTGGAAAAGAGAAGAATAAGGTGGCTTAGATAAGTTTGAATCAGAATATAGACGGTAGATGGTACTTCGTGTCTTTCTCGTATAGCAGTCGTAAATAGAAGTCAGTAGGATTTGTGTTGACATATGGTAAGGGTAGGGAATTTTAGAGAGTTGAGATTCCATGCACTCATGCTCCTCCATTTTATATGTCAATGACTGTGGGAGGGAAGCATTTGCATTACCCAGGATTGGAAGGTTAATTTGCAAATATCTTTTACGATATAGAAGCACCTGCGTTGATTGACAATGAATAAGAGCTATTCAATTTGGTTGAGACGATGTCTTTTATGCCATAAGGATTGAAGACTTACCATGAGGAAATGGTAGTTGGGCCACCAGTGGACATGGATGGAAATACCAATTGCAATTATGAGAAGGGATTTAAGGATTCATTTATTTATGAGCATTATGCAATAGCAGGTTGGTTTAGATGGGTTGATAATTTGGATGTGAAGGAGTTGAATTCATTTTAGATAATGAATCTGAGATCGAATAAGTAGAGAGTGAAAGATTAAAGAGAATTGGGAGATAGAGCTCTGGAAATTCATTTTATAAGAGGATTATAGAATATAGGGTTGAATTTCCATACTTATTCAGTGGCTGGAAATGAGGGCAGAGGAAGTGAGCTGATAGTGAAATCAGTGCCTTATACAACCAATGTATGGACATATGTTTACTTTGGATTTAATTAAGAAGAGAAGAAAGCTTAAGGTATAATGATAAGAGTGGGAGTGAATGAGGAGGTGTTGTTTGAAGGATTAGAACATAAGAATACGAATTCATTATATTTTACTTTGGGAGGAGATCAGACGGTTGCCTCTTTCAATGGTAAAGTGGCTCAGATTGGAGTATATTTGGGACCTGAAAGTTATGCGAAGTCTAAGAAATTAGATTACAATTTTGGGTACGGAGACGGAGCTGTCAGATTGTTTCAGTTGGTTAAACCATTGATATTGAGAGGACAATAGGATCAATACGAAATATCATTTGATTAAAAAGAGTCATTGATCAATCAGATTCTGATCCAAGATGATAGCAATATAAGAATCAATGGATTGAGTGAGTATTCTATTGGGTTGTGGACTTGTTGGTTAAGTAGTCTACCAAAGTTTATAGGAAGTAGAAGTGATTTGCATTAGATTATTAGAATGGGTACTCAGAGTAAGTTGTTAGAATTGAAGAACAATAAGTTAATCTAGAGTGTTGATGGATAAGTAAATAATGATATCAAAGATACTACATTATAGATTAGATTGGGTAAGAAGGATTATGAGTTCTCCACTTACAATCTAATAAGCAATGACATTAAAAAAGGAGTGATTCCTTTAGATTCTCAATTAGAGGGATCATGGAATTACTTATCCTTTTCTTATAAAAAAATGAACAATAATATGGGTTTAGCCAAGGGATACGTTTAATTTGGAATTGGAGGATAAGTTAAGGAGTGTTCAATCGAAGTGATACATGATTACATTTTAGAGTATGTCGAGTTGAATGTAGGAAAATCAAATATTCCTCAATTTAATGGCAAATTAGCTAATGTGCAGATGAGATTAGGAAACGGGGCATTTCTAGTGGATGTTGCATAATATGAATAATTTTAATAATTAGAAAAGCCAGTGTTGGGAATAAGTGCAGCTGTTCGTAAGAGTATCTAATTGTTGGGGTCAGAAACTGATATGGCCAAAGTGTAAGAAACTTAAAATGTATTTGAGTATTCTTAATATGCAGGTGTTAATGAATATGCATTATCTGGTTGGGTTAAATGGGGAGGTGATTAAGCACAAGGAGGACTATTTAGCATATTGATGATGGTTCAGAAGAAGTAATAAGATATCAAACCAGGATAGAGTGATAGTTAATTGTATATATAGAAGACTGATAAGGATTACATATTTGGAACTTATAATTGTAATGGAGAGGATTGTTCACAATCTTAGGAGAAGAACATCGAGTTTAATGAGTATTATAATTAATGGACCTATATTTATATTGGGTATACTCAGAAATAGAAGAAGTTGTTTGCATTATGCAAATTCACTTTTAATTAATAACAATAGACATTCTAAGAGATCAACAGAGTATTGTTGTCAACATTTACTGTATATTTGGGAAAGAAATTTCAATTGGCAAATCAATGGCTGGGTTAAATTAAATATTGGGTATTGAATGTTGGAGATGGTTCATATTTAGAAAGTGGATATGAGTAGAATGAAACTGTAGAATTGAATTTTGGATTCAATAGTGGAACTGATCATTTGAAATTACAGACTGCAAATCAAGAAATAGATCACAGTGATGAAGTAATAGATTCTTAAGCAGACAAATAAAATGTCCCATGGATGATTGAATTGAATGAACAATCTGATGTTAAAATAGAAGGAGTCAGTTCCTATGGTTATGGGATGTGGATAAGATTCAGATACTATGGTGCAGGCATTCTCTTCAGTCAACCTAAATGGATGGGATTGAGTAGATTGACAACTAATAGAGATTATAGAGATGCAGATGCAGTAGGTGATAGAGTATTGATGATACTCTTTGGTAAAGGTGAAGATGAAAAATCATAAGGAATATTCTAATTTTCAACCTACACAATAGGGTAACCCAATATCTTTGGTAATCTCTAATATCAAATGGAATATGAATCTGAATGGGTCTATATTTACTACAGTTACAAACGAATATCCCAAACTCAAGGTGTTGCCATGGCATATACAGGTAGGATGGATATTGTGGATGAACTTAAAATAGAGGCATTGCACAATCCAATAAACAATTTTGTTTCAACTTACAATTGGTCATAGTGGAAAGTACTATCCAAATTTTAATGGATAATTGACTGGCATTAAATTTAAATTAGGAATTGGTGCCTTCATTGAGAATAGGAATGACATATTGTAGAGAATGAAAAATACTGACTTAATGCCATCTGTTCCTTATGATGTTTCTCATAAATATACCATCATTGATGGAAAAGTTGACAATTATAAGGTTCTACCAAATAATCCACAAATGATCGATTTTCCAGCAAATGAATACTCTTTAGCTTTGTGGTATAAACAATTCCAAAAAATAAATGAAAACAAAGAAACTGTTGTTAGAGTTACTTAGAATCCTGTAGGTAAGGTAACCGACTCTTCTTGGATTGGTGATAGAACTCTTGCCTTTTTTAAAATTAATAAAGATAATATGGAGTTCTCTACTTACACTCTATTGAAAGGTATGAACTTTGGTATTCCCTACAATTGCTAGATACCAGAATTAAGCCAACACAATTGGTCATTTATCTATATGGGATATAGCAAAAGCAAATAAAAGTTCTATTACTATCTCTCAGTGGATGAATACGTCTGCAAAAGCGAAGAAATTATCCTACATGCCATAAGTGACAGACTCTGGATCTATGTAGGCAGTGACAACATCCAATAAAGATTTGAAGGCAATTTAGCTTAAATTGCTCTTACAATAGGTCCAGGTTCTTATACTAATAGTAAGATACCATTTTTACCTGAATATCTTGTTGCTGATAAATTATTCCCCAAATAGAAGAAAATTACATGGGAGAAGAATGAACAAGTAATGCTAGCATCAGATGGTGATGAAACTATTAGTTCCATGAAAGTTGAATTATTTAATGGATTCCAATATCCATTTGATTAAATGTCAGAATATGCTTTTGGTATGTGGACTCGTTATCTCACGACTCTTCCCACTAGATAACTATCTAAGCCAGCTTTAATGCAATTAGCACGATTGTCAATCAACAAATAAATAACAGATGGTGTGATAAAAACTGGAGACAGAGTTCTAGCAACGCATATTGTATTCAACTATTATTAATTATCAACCTATGATTTGAACACTGATACTGGAATACAACAAAAGTTTATGAAATACAATCAATTAGAAGGTATTTGGAGATATATCTATATGGGTTACAGCAAAGATATCGAGACTATTTCATGTTATACTTTTGATACTACAATAACAGAAACTAAAATAGATAAGATCTTACATAAACCATTAACTGATTACTTACTGTTTAGAGTTGGAAAGGAAGATACTATCACAGGTTTCTAAGGAAGCATTACGAAGATTATGTTGTCTCTAGGTCCTGGATCCTATATTCGATAATAAGATCAATTCAAGTCTCAGATAGAGACTACCTTCTCTTTGCCCTTTTAGTTGACATAAGAATACACTGATAAGGAGAAGCATGGGAAATTTGAAATAATTGAAGATGTCAATTAGATCGATATTACTAATGGCATTCAATTTGAAGGGAATAGATGGAGTGGAATCAGTGAATATGCTTTTAGTGGATGGATTAAGCCAACTGGTACAGGAAATACAGATTGTTAATTAATTTTAAGATTGACGAATAATAATGCAGAAATTTTGAATGATAGGAAATCTTAGGGAGACAGAACTCTACACATTACTATTTGCAACACTCAACTAATTAAATATTCCACATACACACTGGTAGATCTAAAAGATGCAAATGAACCAAAATTTATGGATGGTCAATTAGAATTGAATGATTACAATTATGCTTGGAATTATATCTATATGGGTTACAATCAAAGAACGAGAGAAGTCCATTGTCTATTGCATACTTTGATTGAAGACAAACCAATAACCTGGGAATAAGTGTAGCATTACGTACCTAATTATTTGGGATTGTACATTGGATAAGATAAATTTACTAGTAAATTTATTGGATAAATGAACAAATGGACAGCAGCCTATGGATTGGGTGGCTTTGTAAGTCTGAAGAAGAATGGTTATTAGTAACTATTACCATATTATGGTCTGGTTTAGCCAAATAAATAATTCTAATGGAATTCAAATAAAGATACTGTGATATAAACACCAGAATTCATTGTTTAAGAATTTACTAATGAAATTGATTCCATAACAGAGTATGCTGTTGGTATATGGACGAGATGGTTAACAGATTTCCCAGACCATTTAGTGGAGAGAAAGGATTCTCATTCTATTTTTAGATTCACTGCTAAGAGAGAACATTAAGACAAATCATAAATATAGGATAGAGTCCTGAGTGCATTTTTGAATAAGGGATCGTATGAATTCAGCAGTTATGACATTGCAACCAACAACTTTGCTGCAAACAGTCTGGCTGCATATGATTAGATTGAAGGATCATGGAATTTTATATATATGGGATATAAAGATGGTTAAACAGTTGGCATAATAATAGTGAGAGACACAGCCAAAGCTTTGAAAGTAGAGTTTGCAACTAAACACATACCTTTAGTAGGATATGCTAAGTTGTTGATTGGTGTGTCTGAATTTGGACATGGTTAGTTTCATGGTTGGCTCTATGATCCACGTCTATATCTAGGATAAGGTAGCTTTATTAATGAAAGCCAGAAGGTTGTAGATCTACTCTAAAAGATTCATCGTAAGCTACCCTTACCTGCAGTGGATTTAGCTGATTTCAAGTGGTCAATTCCTTAAATGGATACGACTGAAAATTTAAAGACTGGTTACATAGATTATAAGTTTGAGGATAAGTAAGAATCCATTGAATACTCCTATGGAATGTGGATACAATAGTCTCCTTTATTACCTGGTATGCCAACAGTTCCTAGATTAATCGCCAGATTATCAACAAACCATCCTTAATTTATGAAGGACATGTAGTTGGGAGATAGAACACTTCTTGTTAGTATGTTAAATGAGAAATTGAGTTATAATACTTATAAATTATTGGACACTCCCTAATTTGAATAAAAAGTGGAAGAAATCCAAGTGGAATAATTATAATGGACTTATGTATTTTTCTAGTACAAGAAAGGAAATGCGTTGGCTTATGCTTTATAAGTCAAGTAAGCATAACAAAAAAAGATTGAATCTCTTCACATTATACCAAATGTGTTTTATTTCTATTTAATTAAGGATCAAAATTTTGCAGAATTCTATGTATAATATTGGTTGTATTATTTTAGGGAAAATTGAGTGATGTGAAAGTATTCTTTGGCTCTAGCAGTTACTTCGAAGACCCTTAAGTTACAATAGAGAAATGGCCATTTGATAAGAAATATTTACAACCCGTTTCTGAATAACCTATTAATAATCAGCAAATAACTTCAGCAAAAATATCTAGAAATATGGATATCAAAAATGAAAGGTACGTTGAAGATTATTGATTAAATATGATATATAATTAAAATTAAACTAATTTAAGAACTAAAAATGGGTCTAAATGAGGAAAACATTGAATTTATGAAATAGCTACATCCAAATTCAGTTAATAATTTATATAATAAAAAGGAATCCAGATATTTTACATTTTAATTATAAATTGTATCTATATTATTTCCAATCCAAGAAGTCTTTCGATATTTATCAAATAGGAGGATTAATTTGACTTTATCTAATTAAACTATATAAATTTTAAATCTAACTTTTTCAGAGTTATTCAAATTTTAAATTATACATTGCTAATTGTATATAGAAATAATATTTTTGTAGAGTCATCGATGTAATTCTTGTGTATTCAAGAACAATAAATAATAAAGTTAATAATAAAATATAATAGGATTAATATTATACATTAAAGAATACATAATATTAATTAATTAGATAGTAATTTGTATCGTTGACTCATCAGTCTATTTTTTTTCCATATCTTCATTGTTAATTCTTAATATTTTAATAAATAATGAAGTGCATCATGAGTAATTGTAGACGACATTAATGGGAGGAGAAATGAGTGCAAATAACATGCGATAGAGGGAATTTATTAATTAAAAATGTCAAGATAACTTTATTGATTTATTAATCTGTCTTCTATAACCCATAAAATACATTTCTTATCTCCTGGAGTATGAATAGTAGTAGTGATGGATAGGTACTCAGCTTGGTTTGATAGTGCTAGGTCTTTAAGTTAATTAATAATAATTAAATTGGTTATAGGATCATTAATGATGCTATTAGAGAATTTGGTTATATAACTATATGAGTAGGAATGCAAATTATATTTAAGATTAATATTCACATATTCTCTGCAACATATGTCTCAATTAATTGCTAAAATAAATTCTTTACACCTTCTCCTGTTTTGGCAGATGTTTCATAGAATATCATACCATTCTACTTAGCAAAATCAGTAGCCTTGGCCTTAGGCACTTTTCTTTCAGATTCTAAGCAATCGCACTTGTTGCCTACCAAAGCCAGAGCCATTCCTCAATTATCTGAATCATTCTTACCATCTTTTTAGATTTTATCTTCCAATTCTTTAAGCCAAGTCGAAACAGACTAAAAGGAGTCACTTTGCGTGATGTCGTACACAATAATAGCAGCATTTGCATCCCTATAATACAACGAAAGCAGAGATCTAAATTTCTCTTCTCCTGCGGTGTCCCATAAATGGATCTTTAAGTTTTGACCTAACCATTTAGAAACTATTTAAATACCTTTCACTGTCAGATCCACGCTATTGTACACTCCACCAATCGTTATTTCATATTCTGATTGAAACTATTATATTTTTTTAAACTGACTGGCATACCTTATCAAAACAGAATCTTGAAGCAATTGAACTTTTGCCCACAGCCTTATCCCCAAGCATCACTACTTTGATGTCCTTCTTTTACCCAGGAGTATTTGATTTAGTTTTGATTCCAGCCTTAGGTTGATTCTTTGGTTAAATGTCTCCACAACACATAAATATTTTTATGTAATTTATAGAATTCTTAATTTCATAACTTTTCCCTAAACCTCCATTCAAAAATTCTATTCGTCCAAATCGAATCAAAAAGGGTAATCCAATCCATCCAATATTCTTAGAATAAGAAATTTGTCAATCTCTAGAACTGAATTGGATCTCAAACTCCAATGTAGATATTATCCAATTCGATTCACAAGGATGCAGAACCTAAATCAAATTAAATGAGTTATACCCATTCTCCCAACCTCAATTGAGATTCCAATTGGACGATGACTTTTACTCCATTAAAAATCTTGATGATTTCAACTCCTACGATTACTATTTCAAGGTTCTCAAATGGACTCCACAATTAACTGTTAATCAGATCATCGAGAAGTACAATCCACCTCCTATCTAGATCACACGAATTCATTAAAAAGACTATTTTTGTCAAATAACCATACACCTTAGATCCCTACTCAGATTTATTGAGTAAAATTGCTAAATCTTCAAAATCAATTGACTTATCAATCATTTTCACCTTCCTACTTGTGTCCCTTGCCAATTTGATACTCTATCTGCCAAACTACGAAGAATACCAATAATTAATGGAGAAAACAGTCCTATTCGGACATAATCAATGGTATAATCAATTTTAATAATTGCCACTGTCACCACTCAAAGCCTAATTTTATTGTCTAATCGGATTAATTGTTAATGTCTTTGACTCCTCTAAGTTACATGTATTCAAACAACAACAAGAATAAATCAATTAGCCCTTCTTTCATTACTTGAATTTAATAATAAATCTACTCATCTTTTACTGTCCTTTGTACTTTATACTGAAATCCAAGCAGTCTAAAATCAACAAAGAAATCCTATCAGGAATATTACTTTATCAAATCATGTGTCCAACATTCTTAGGAGTATGGAATATTAATGAAAGTATCTAAACCCTCATTTATTTTAGTATTAATGGCCTTGTGCGTCTATATTATTACCGAAAATGTTTGGTTCGGCTCAATCCTATATGTAATATCAGTCAATTATGAACCATAATGTCTTCTTTTCTACCCTCTAATTTCATCATACGTTTTAGGAAGATTATGTCAGTAACATGGTATCATAACCAAAAAGAATCTCAGAGTAATAATATCTTATTTAAAAATAGCCTAATTTTTAAGGCCTCCAGGAATTGGTAATTGAATTGATATTCTTAATTTTGGTACTGATTATTGTTTAATGCTTCATTTTTATTCCATTTTATTTTAGCTCTACTTTGGCTTAGGCTATATACCCATAAGTATTCATTAACTATTTCAATTCTCTGTTTAATCATGAGTTCTACAATTTGATGATATTTGGATTTGCTTTTATTTTATCATTTCCCACCTAGATGTTAAGTTTTTTAAATGAAAAATACTGTGCATTGGGCATGCTTAACGCCATAATCATTATCAAATTGTTTGATATTGCTAATGGTATTTCAACTTAAATGTTAACAGTGTTTTTGATGTTGAATTTTAAATATTTCAGATAGATCATCAATTATATAATAATGCTAATGCCTCAACAGAATTGGATATTCAAATTATTGTATTATATTTTTGGAGATTTGTTTATGCAAAGAAACAACCAATTGATTGACACTCATAAACATGGCCAATATCAATTCTAATCCCTGAGGAAATTAGGATTCTATGTAATTAAATTGGATATATGATAGTTACTTTTATTCTCCCAAATTATGCATGTGTATGACTTGGAGTAAGTAATATATAAGGTGTGCTTGGTTATATTACTAATGAATTGCTTGTTTGTAACTCAATAGAAAATTATGAAGGTCATGAGGAAGGCCAAAACTGATTGAAGTGATGTATTTATTATGTATATCTGTTTTATAATAAAGAGTATTTTAATTAAAATTAGTCACGATTAGTAATATAATTATTAAAATATAATCTTGAAAATTCATATATCTTTTATAAATTTAAAGTTTTCAGGTTCTCTTAGCGCTCTCAAAAGGTTTTATCTATATTTGAGATGCCAAGCTGTGTTAGAAATTCTTGAATTGTACACGTATGGAACTGCCTAATTTTTTAGAAAGTATTGGCTTAATAGAAATTATTTAAAAATACCTAATGATTCGAAATACTTTATTGAACTCAGGATTTCTTCCATTATCAACCCATAAGTCTCTGAGTTGTTTGATATTTGTCATTTGATTCTTTTTATTCTTTAGTATACTAATGAAGCTATCGGATTGTTCGCTGGTAATAAACTTTTAAATTAATTGCTCATCATTCAGAATATAAGATATAATTGCTTTTGAAAAGTTTTTCGTGATATTCTTGGTATCATTGACTTTAGGTCCCTTCTTCTTGCGGTGGACTTTATAGGAATCCGAACTCTCTTCCACTGGTATTCTTTTCCTGATTCGCTTCGTCAAATTTTACTCATTTTTAGTTTGTTTCTCCTCATTCTACATGTTCTCCTCCTCCTTCATGTACACACTTTCACAAGAGCTTACGTGTTTTAACCACTTGTGTTGATTCTATGGTTAATCTTATTATTATTGGTTTTAAGAGGGAGGTTTACCAACAGATGGCTAGGCTGTGTTTATTGAATTGGTTTTAGTCTATTTATCAAGACTATTATTAGATTGACGAGGCATTTCACTTTGGCATTGCTGAGGTAGACAGGGGTAAAAGGATTGCATTGGGGAAGTGAAAAAGATGGGCATCATTGAGGCAAAAAAGCGACTTTAGGATTGCAGGACATCATGTCTATCTCTTGATTTACTATCAAGAGAGCTATTTACTAGAGGAGCTCCAATTTTGGAGTGATTGAGCAAGTATTCACTTGTTCCATCCAACGAAACTCTTTAAGAAATATCAAAGGAAGTAAAAGTTGGGTGGAAAAGTAAGTTTGTTTAAAATGGTTGATCTGTTGACATCTATTAGACCTAAGGGTCATGTGAGGTTTGGACTTTTAGGAGTGGTCGAAACTGCCTCAATGGATCCATGGATGCTTCTACTGAGGGGATGTCTGAGGGTTTTGCTACATAAGGTGTAAATGATTTGATATTCCTTTTGACGCTTTCGGACATTATTAATCGCGAAGTTGTGAAATAAATAAATAAGGAAGAATATAAATAAATTCAAATTGTTTAATTTTAAGTTTATTTGAGAAAAATAATCTCCTCCTACAAAGAAGCTATCTACTTCAAAAGTACTCTTTCTCTTTAATTGTAGGAATCCAAAATTAATTTCATTTTATTATAGATTGCTTAAAATTATCGATTGAGTCTTTAATTTTATGGGACTCTCCTCTTGCTTGTATTTGCTTAAGACTCTTCTAATTCAGAATAATCAAGTGACCTTGTTATTTAATTGGGGTCTATCAATTTCCTGTAAATTTTTGATGATTGCTATGACGTAGGCTTTTGAGAAAGACCAAGTCTTGGATTCTTTCTAAAAATGCTCTTGGAGCTTATTATTTTGGGTTGTTTTTACGGTTATTGGATAGAATACATAAGTTGATTTTGAATCCTAATGGATCCACTAAATAATGACTTGGCTCTTGTTTCTTGTACTCTTTCAGATTCGATCGTTTTAAATGCCCATTCAGATATAGTCTAACATCTCTATTTGGCCTTGAATCTGATGTCCTCTTCGTAGTTCCTTTTTTTCATCCTTCTATTTATAAGTATTACAATAAGTATTGAAATAATTATTATAGTATTTTGATTACAGGTTGATTATCAATCCTGTATTGGAGGCCTATCAACCAGCCCAATCTACAAGAAAACCTTCATCTGATTTAGATTTTGAATCAAATTTATTTATGATATATTAATAAGTATGAAATTAGGAAAATACCTCGTACTTTAATTATGAATTTATCCAAAATGTCACCGCATTCTCATGAACATTAATATCTTTATCTTTTTCACAATTCGATATGAATTAGATTGAATAAAGAGTCAATGAGTATCTCGATAAATTGGAACTCTAAATTACTGACCCTGCACAGAAACAATAAAACTATTTTGAAAATGTCAGACATCATATCAAATCTTATGACCATAGATGTTCTAATGAATCAGAAGCCATGTCCCCTTTTTCTCTAAGAGAAATATGTACTTCAACTCAATAAATGAGAACATGCTACTCTAAATCTGATGAGTAGTTATAGCTGAATCCTTATCATCGAAATAACTTGCATATAATTATTCATTGCAAGAAGTAGATGGCTCAATCATGAAGAAAATCTATTCACAATTTCTAATATTAATTATATATGAATCATTGTGACGATTACTTTCAACTCTCTGAGACTGACAATTCTAACATACAAGCCATTAAATCTAAATGGCGATTCCACAACAATTCCCTTCATGGGTAACCATAACTTAAAATTGATTTCGAAGAACAACCTCAAAAATCGTTTCAATTACCTGATGTCTTTTTGACAACAAGACAAAATCAACCTAAAGTTTAACACCATCATATGACTTAGTAATCGTTTCATGAGATCCCCAAAAAAAGTAGAAAAGGAAGCAAGATCAGTTTAAGCAGTTTAGAGGTTTCACCCAAAATTCCCATCTTAAATAAAAGCAAAGAAGAGAAATTTAAGGAATTATCAGATTTACAAAAGAGTTATTCTTAATACAAGTATATCAATTATTCTTATTTCTAACAGAAAATCATTTCATAAGGTCAAGAATTAACAATAAACGCAATAATTAAATACTTCAGCATATTTACAACAAGAATCATCATTTATGTTCAACGGAGTCAAGTTACCCTACAGTTTATACATGATTAATAAGAATAGACAATTGGCTATTAGTAGTATAATGTAAAATGCGAGTGCGTAATTGTAAGAATAATCGAAATAATAAATCGAGATGATCGATAGTCAAATAAAACAAGTTCGTAATATTGGCCCTTATTTAAGGGAATGAACATCAGAATAAGCAAAAGGTGAGAGAGTACAGAAGCCGATCCTTCCTGCAAAATGCCTACTACTCGATGTTATGTGTGAACCAGGATTCCAAGAAGCGTCTAAAGAGGATAATCCAGGGAAAATTTCCAATGGAGTCTCGGTTTTAGCAGTTATGAAGAAATAAAATAAATTTAATATTTGTTAATAATGATTACTACACCTGATATAAATGACTCTACATTTCATGAACTCTAGAATGAAATATAAAATCTTAAATCTGAGAAGGAGGACTTCAAGCAAACTTTGCTAAAGTTGTGGATTCAGATCTCCAAAACATTCAATGATGACTTCGAAGAGATACTGAAGTTAGGCATCAATTCAGACGTTGAAGATATTATGAATGCAATTCTGATTGTAGAAGAAGCAAGACAAGAATAAATTAATGTATTAAATATAAAATGAGAACACCTAGAATGAGAGAAATTAGATGGTTGCTTTGACCGAACAATTGAATTCACATAAGAATACTACAGATTCTGGGAATGAGGAGTTGAAGGAACTCGAAAAACAATATAGAGAATTGAGCGAATTGGTCTTGTCATTGAAATAATAGAATGTCGACAAGGATCTTCAAATTGCTACTTTGAATGCAGAAACTAATAAGCTCAAAGGGGAGGTTGCTTTGTTGTCATCTAAATTGAATGAGTTGTCAGGTGCTTTGATTTACGCAAAGGAAGAAAAAATAAAATATATGGAATAAACACAAAATTAGATCAAGTTGTTGATGGAAAAGGATTTACAACATAGTAGATAGGTTTAAATGTTGCAAATACAAAAAATTGAACTCGAAAATAGTCTAAGAAAAAACAATTAAAGAAATGAATAATCTATCAATATGTATTGCTAAACTTAAAGAGAAGAGGAATAGGCTAGAATGCTTAGTTGTTCTCCAAGTACTTTTTTACTCTCATTATTAAGGAACTACGCATATTGATTTTTCTAAAATTGTGTAATTAAGTTTACAAAATAAGAAGGCTGAAATGGTATCAGGATCTTCGCTTTCTCAAATTCCCTATAGATTTGGTAAATGATAAACGTTAATAATTATTAAATTTTCAAATATAAATATTATAAGTATGCAAAAAACTCCGGAGAAGCAAGAATTAAGTTAGGCTCTGCTCTTGTCTATCAGTTAATATTCGTGGGATAAATAAATTAGATTAACAACGGATGAGGATGTATTATGTAGTTATAGTAAATTCTCAAATGACCAAGGAGTATGAATTTAATTATTAAATACTGTAGAGTTATTGTGAGACCAAGAAAGATCAAGGGAATGTGTTCTTGAAAAAATGCAATCAAGTTCAAATCGATGATGTTTAAGGTCAAGAACATAAATAATTATTATAAATCTTGAGAGAGAAAGATAAAAGAATCGAAGAATTAGAGCACTATTAAGTATGGTTGTAAGAATAGAATGAGAAATTGAAGTTGAATTAGCAAATGATGATGTAAATTTCATCTGAATATTAGTGAAGATTAATCAATGAATTAATTGCAAAGAGACTCAGCATCAAAAAGACACCTCTAAAAAATAGAAGATCTTGAGTTGTAGATTAGTTAATCCGAACAGCAATACCACAAGAGTTTGAAAAGTCTTGGATAATTGGAAAAAGAAAACTCTACTTTAAAAACCAAAATATTTGAATATGAACAAAAGTTATTCTAATAGCAACATCAATAGAAAGTAGCTGAATAAATTAATGAAGTATTTTCTAATTCATTTGCTTATAGTAATAAAAGTTGAAATTTGAAGAACAAGATTAAATAAATTAATCTAAAATTTATGAATTACAACAATACATCCAATCCCAAGAGACTTACATTAATAAACTATAGCACGATGTAATCCATTACGACTATTCTTCCTAGGTCTAATTATCCAGAAAGAATTCTAAAGAAAACATTAGTAAATAGTACAAGTCGGTAGTGTTGAGAGAAAAGTCCCCCCAATTGAATCAGTATGATCAACATCAGATGAATAAATTCGTAGAATGTATTGTCGACATGGTGATGAACTGCACTTTGAGTCAAGCCCAAGCTAAACCAAGGTAAAATATTAGTTTATTTTGTAGTTTGAAAGAATGTTGGAAATGGCTTAAAAATATATTAGAAGAATATATGATTTTGAAGAAATAAATACTTCAAGATACCAATAAGGCTCATTCTACCAAGTCCAGTTAATTCGTAGGTAAAGAAATCAACGGAGAGAGAAAAAGAGACCATAGTTTCTTCAATGACTTGAATAGAAGATTTTAGACTTCCGTTGAGGATTCAGAGAACAAATATTTAAGATCTAACACTCTCTTAAGTAGAGTCCAGAAATGAATTAATTATTATTGCTGGTTTTAATTAAGATTTTTTAAAATATCGATTTAATCATTTAATGGAAAGATTCTATAATTATTTTAATTATAAATTCAAAATTGAATTAAGTTTCAATTGTATTTGATATACTTAAAATCAGACATTTTTTTTTGTATATCAAGTTCTTGTTTGTAAGAGGAAATATTACTAAGACATAAATATAATTATTATACCCAAAATTGATATTATTTTCATGTTACTTAGTAGTAATCTACTAATTGTCATTGTTCAATAATTTTTATTTAAGCATTTTTATTGATTCTTCATTTCTTCTGGTGATTTGTTCTAATTATTCGAGTTTTTAGAGAGATTAATATCCATACTAAATATTAAAACAACACTTACATCCTGATATTTTCTACTTTCCGAAATAAAATCAAATAGTTAATTCTATATGTTTCTATTGAATAAATCTAATTCATCTTGTCTTTTTTTTATTTTTGAAATGTCTTTCTATATCTCATTCATTTGAAATTCAATTCTTCTAAAGGAATCCTATTGTTCCACATTAGTTTTCTTTTTTTAGTCCACCTTTAATAAATTGTTCAATAAAAAGTTTGACAATTCTATTTTTGATTTCTCTTGACCGTCTATCTATTATTAAGCTGATTTTTATTTGTGACTGTTCTATTTACTATTATTGTTATCCATTTTTTTCCTATCTGGAGTCAAACTTGATGAGATATCTATTTTATTTTGCTAATGGAGAATTTGGCTATTTTTCTTTTGCAATTCATTTGTAAAACTTAATTGCTTTTTTTTACTTTAACTTTCATTGTTCAATGTTTTTTATGCTATTTCTTTTATAGGATGACTACTTTTAATCATATATTAAATTGATGAGATAATGTTATTACAAGAATTGGAGTTTATTAGATTTTCTTTTTGGTCTTATGAATAATTCTTTTTATTAGATAGCAAATTATCAGTTATACAGCTCTTCTTTTCAGAATGATGAGATTATTCTGTTGAAGAACCAATGTCAGTTTATTCAGGGATTTGGAATAACATATTACCAAAGCTTTGGTTTTTCAGTAAATTTTTATGAGAATTTTATTCAACCAATCCAGCTATTTTAGAACACATGATCTACTGGAAATCATTATTAGACTATGATCTCCTATGATTGTTTTTTGTCTTATTCATTCAAATTCAAAAAATAAAATTATTGATTTTATAACTATATATATATATTTTTGATATAAACAATTTACAATTTGAGTCAAAAGTACTTCGTTGTTATAATCTAAAATCAATAATCCAATTGAATTAATTATTACTCTTATTGATGAATTATATTCAAATATTTTTAGATAACTTATTAACTGATCATATCTAGTCTAATTGCAATAGGATAGTCAGTTAAATCCAAATAGTAAATTACAGAATGAATTATATTTTTTTTAAAGCAAAATTTATACTTTAATTGATTATTTTTTAATAATAATTCTAACAAACAAAAGAAAATTTTAATTTAAAATTTTAGAAGAAATGAAGTTTTCAACATCTTAGATAATGAGCAATTCATAAGTAAGATCAGAATCACCATCATTCTAAAAAATGTAAGCTTTAGCAGATAAATGGACTTAATTAAAGGCTGGAATGGAAAGAGATAAATTTGAAAAAAAAGAAATTATTGATGCATCTCTCCAAAAGATCGACAGTTTATTAAATTACGATAAAATAAAGGATGAAGATAGGTTTAAAGTATAATATACAATAATTGAATAGACACTCAAAGAATAAATTTTAAAACTTAGTGATCAAATCAATAATGAGAAGTTTGGGAAAGAACATTATGTTAGATATTAAGAATAGTTACAACAATTCGAAGATTTAATTAATAAATAATTGGATGAGGAAAAAAATGTACATATATCAATTAAAATAAAATAGAGTAAGAGAAGAGTGGAAATGTAGCTTTTAAAATAAATAGAAGATAGATTTGACACAGTTCATGGCATGCTTGAAAAAAACAATTCAGTCTATTATGATAAATTTAATAGATAAATAGGAGATGTAGGCAATCAATTAAAAGAACTAAGATATACTGTTGAAAATGAACAATAAACTAGGTATTCTTTATATGATATATCAGAACTGACTCATAGGCTCACTTAATAGAATAAATGGATTTAGAATTAAATAAATTTTAGGAAATGATGTCTATAGAAAGATCTGTTCGAGAGGAAACTGAGAAAAAGATATTTTCTATGATCGAAGAAGTACATTAGAAAATCTAATTTGAAATATAAGCTGAAAGATAGCAAAAAGAAAGGTCTCATGAGAGTATTCTAAAATTATTAGAATAAACTTGTATCAAAATAGATGAAAGCTTCAATTAATGAATTATAATTAATTATTATTGTTATAAGAATTTAATAAAAATTAAATTGAGACATATGTATTTACTATGTTCTATAAATAAATCAAATAATAGTCAAAAATCAACGATTTCAACCTAAGTGCCAGGTTTTCCCCATAATTGCACACAAGGACAAAGATCTTCAGCGACCTCTAATTTCATAGACTATTATAAATTGTATATTTTACAAATTCTTCATTCGTAGACTATTTAATCCAAGTAATTTTCTATTCTGCTATTTATACCAAAACTTAAATGATGTCATTCTTAGCATACTTGAATGATTGGTTAGTTAAATTCTTTTCTTTTTCTAAATGTGAGTAGACAGAACCATCACAAAAAATTAAATAGGCTCTAAAATTTATAATTTATATTACCCATGTCCAATTTTATTTAATTTTGGATTAAAATTTGCCTTTTAAATTAATTCCTTTCTGCAAACTCCAATATAAATCCCATTTTCATGGCATTTGAAAGCAAACTTAGTTGAAAGATTCATTGGTAATACTGGTTCACAAAGAGCAAAAAGATCACCTTAAGCAATTAATTAATCTTTTGTAAGTGTAATATCTTCGTATTTTAGTTCTTATGAAAATCTGATTTGAATTTTTGTGTATTTGTCAGTTTCTTTGTACTCTTCTATTTTAATTTCATCATCTTTAATTAAACAAGTAGAATTTAGTTGTTATGAGTAACATAATTCTTGAATAGTCAACTATTCATTCTCGCTTACTTTTTATAGAATATTAAATACATTCTTTATTTAAAATTAGACTCTCAATCTCTTTTTTTAATTTCTCTTGGAAAGTAATTAATTATCTAATCTTTGGAATCAACCGAACTTATGATTATTCGAGAAGAATTAATTAATTAATATACTCCTCTATTTCTGAACAATTTAAAGTCTCAAGATCTGGTTGATTTTTTTAATCTACATTACCAACTAAACACTTTAGAGATTTTTAAAAGGATTAAACTTCATCAATAAGCTGATTTACAGGTTCAATCAATTATCTTCTACTTTTAATCCAACTATCGAATTCATTTAATCTAACCAAATCATCTGAATGTTTTATATGAAATTAAGGTTTGCAAGCAATACAAAAAGTTCTTTTATGTTTGCAATTTTAATTAGTGCAAATTCCTATTATTGGACTGTTCTCATGGTCTTCGTAAGAACAAGTTAAAAGGATTTATTATCTCATAATATTAAATTTATTAAATAATCAAATCAAATGATTATTATCTATTCATTAATATAGAATTGAATTCTATCATTATTTTATCATTAATTTCCATAAGTCCTATTTTTGTAGACATTTTAATTAATTAGTCTGGATTTGAATTTTCTTAAGTATTTTAACAACAAAAAGGTTAATTAATGGGAAAAATAAAATAAATATAAAAAATATTATACATTTTCTAATTTTGATTTATGAAGTTATTTCTACCACTTATGTATCTATTTATTGTTTCAATAACTTAAATTTTAAATTTAAAAATTCTCAACATTTTAATAATATCATATTTATATAAAACACTTTGAATTATCAATTTTAAAATAATAAATAAAAATAGTATCATAAATTTTTATTATGCTACAGCTTCCATTCTTCACACTCTCTTGATTTCATTTCGAATTTATACAATATGGTTTTATTCTCAGTTTCTAGTAATTCAATTTTTGACTCCATTTATCTTTTCATTTATTCAAATTGTGATTTACTTATTTCCTGTTTGACTTATCCTTGAATTTGATGCTGTTTTTACAAATCAATCAGTTTTTACTTTAAAGATTCTAATTCATTTTATAATCTCTGAATTAATAGCTATGATATTACAGATATAATTTACATGATTTTCATTATTCTTTAATGCCAATTCTCCTCTCAACTATCTGTTATCATCAAGTTCATTTGATCTCTACTCTAAAAGTTCTGTAAGTTATTCAATTTAATCATTTAATTGTTAAATTTCATAGTTTTATTCAGTTATATCATTTTCGTATTATGATTGTAATTATTCAAATTCATTTTGTAATCTGTTTAATTGCTCTGATTAGGTTTGATTATGTTAGTTGAGAGTATCTAAAGTATTCTATAATTCTTGATTCAATTCTTAATATTCACTAAGTTATTGTGAAGTAATTTCCAATTAAGAATTTAATTTTGAATTCTCTTAAGATAATTTAATTTTCTATTATTCATAATCAATTTTAAGTTCCTAAATGATTTTTTTATACTTTAATTCTAAATCTTATGTACTATTTTGATGTTACTCTTAGAGATAACAATTCTACTCCACTTATGATTGAATTTCATCCTATAACCCTGAGATTAGATCTTAAATTAATATAAATTTTACTTTATGATTCTTAATGTTATTAGTTTAATGTAGCAATTTCATATTGTAATTAACTAATTTTATGAATCAGACATTCTTTTTCATCCAAAAATTCTTTCTCTTATTATTTGATGGTTTATTCGAAGGTTTAATTCTACTTATTAATTTCCTTCCTTTTCTCAACCTCTAAATCTTAATATTTTAGTTTATAGGTATCTAATGATTAAATCAAAGTCTTTTCTCCTGTTTTAATCTCATTAATGATGCTATCTAATTACATTATTTCTTATTTCTAAAATTCAATTACTTAATTTCTTCTCATCAATTCATCTTACAATTTTTAGACTTAATCATCCATAATTTACATTTACTCAAAATGAGTCTACTGAATTTCTTTCAAATTCTTATTGTATCTTTGATCTTATTAATATAATTGTTTAGAAGCATCTTAATCCAAATTAACTTTTTCTTTCTATGCATACTTTAATTCAGACTAGTAGTCATTCAACTATTATTTGTAGATATCTTATTGTTTATTCAACTTCTCAATCTGAGAGTCTTTTTCTTTCATTTTATTAATTAAATCATCGTTAATAGACTTGTAATTTTTGAGTTCATTTGTTAATTAATCTAAATGATTTTCATAATCCTTCATTGCTTAAGCTGTATTGTTGGACAAACACTAATAAGATACTCGTTATTCTGCTTGTTCATATCGACGCTTCCAATTGTTTATTTCATGTTATTGCAATTCAACTAAGTTCATGAGTTTCTTGATTTCGAATTCAGGGTTAATAAAACTGTTACTCTGTTTCATATCCATATCAATGCTCTTCTCAAATTTACTGGTATAATGAGAATTTCGCAAACTCTACTAAGACTTTTGAAGTGTAGAACCTCATTTATATAATTACCAAATTACCTTATTAGGCCTCATTGTAATGAGGACTCTTTGATTATGTGTGTTATGACAATGCACTTCTGGTTTTGGAAGGGGATGAAGCTGATATAGGTTTTAACAATTGAGACATATGGTAAAATTCTAACAGACAATTAATATTATTTTATCATAAACTCGAATTGTTTGTATTACCATGTAAAATTGCCAAATATAAATTCAATTATAATTATACAATAAATGGGATGTATATCCGCAAAACCATAAAGAACTTCTTTGATAATTATCATTGACAGTCCCCCACCTAGTTTGCCTTCCTCTATGCACATCATAGATCTCCCATCTAATCAAACCTTTTGTCCAGCTGGCAAGCACCAATATTTTGAAAAATAAAATTAAGCTTTAATCCTTAGTTCCTAGCCTACAAATGAGGGGAAAGAATCTCAAGCACACTGAAAATAATTTAAATGAAATTTTTTATATTCATTATTTCTTATATATATTTCCTAATACTCAAATCAATTTAACCTAATGAAAATTTCATATATCATCCTATAAATAGCGCTGTTCTACTTGTTGTTCAAATTGATCATTGAAGAATAGCCTCTTTATTTCATGAATAAATTAGTATTACTAGTATTAATTACTAATGTCCAATTCAACATATTATTGATGAGAGTGACTACTATCTCAAGTAGTTAATAGAAAATGTAGGAAAACAAAAGATCCAAATCGCAGAAGATTTCACAATTAATAATTTTTAGGAATATTTTAAAATATAGCAAGATAATCAAAAAATATAATCATTATATTATAAAAAGTAGACTAAGAATCATTCTATGTTGATAAATATTTTGTTAGAGTGCTTATGATTATCATCTCAAAAATTCTTAATAATGATAATTTTCTTACTATGAAAATGGAATAATTGAAAAGTTAATACAAGAATTCTCCATTTTTAAGATGATATTGCAAAGAAATAAGTTAATTCTTTAACTGAACAATCTATTATGATATCATTTTGATTATTTTAATTTGATAATTAGATGAAAAAAAAGTAGACAGAAAACGAATTTGTATTACTCAATACAAAATAAAATAATTTCTATAAGGAGATAAAGATCAATAATTTCATGTTCAATCATAGTTAGAATAAACGATTTAGTTTATTTGTTACCTAAAGCAGATAATACAAGCCATTTTGAATATCATCATCATATAACTTATACACTATAATAACATAAATTAATATTATTAAATAATCTAAAATTTTATAAAACAAGGTTAAATAAAAAATGACTTTCAAAATGAGGTTAGAGATTATTTTTTTTTATTCCTAAAACAATCATTTATAAATGAAGATGATATTAAATTACTTTAATATCAATTTATATTTAGTTGACAATATTAAGTATTTTTAAGAATAAATTAATATATTTTTTTCAAACATTCATCTTAATATGTAAGGTCAATTAGATGTAAAAGCAAGAGAGAGCATATTATAAGAAAAAGTAAATAAACTGAAATTAAACTGAATAACATTATAAAGACGTAATTAATTATATTTATATGCGTGATTAAGGAAGTAATAATTACGTCATCGTAGAATAATATTTATGCCATTCAAAATTCTAATTATATTAATATATATTGAAAATGGAGAAAACACTATTGGCAGTCGGTTTAATGATGTTGTTGGGAGCTAGCCTCTACTTAAACAACACCTAAGAAGTATCTGATGAAATCGATACAGCAAATCTTTATGCAAACTGGAAGATGAAATATAACAGAAGATATACAAGCCAAAGAGATGAAATGTACAGATTCAAGGTTTTCTCAGACAATCTTAACTACATCAGAGCTTTCTAAGATAGTACAGAATCAGCCACATACACTTTGGAATTAAATCAATTTGCTGATATGAGCCAATAAGAATTCGCCTCAACCTATTTGAGTCTCAGAGTTCCAAAGACAGCCAAACTCAATGCTTCAAATGCTAACTTCTAATACAAGGGTGCTGAAGTCGATTGGACTGACAATAAGAAGGTTAAGTATCCAGCCGTTAAGAACTAAGGATCATGCGGTTCATGCTGGGCCTTCTCCGCAGTCGGAGCACTTGAAATCAACACTGACATTGAACTCAACAAAAAATACGAATTATCTGAATAAGATTTGGTTGACTGCTCAGGACCATATGATAACGAAGGATGTAATGGTGGATGGATGGATTCTGCTTTTGAATATGTTGCTGACAACGGTTTGGCTGAAGCTAAAGATTATCCATACACTGCTAAAGATGGAACCTGCAAGACCTCAGTTAAAAGACCATACACTCACGTCTAAGGATTCACTGATATTGACTCATGTGATGAATTAGCCTAAGCTATTTAAGAAAGAACAGTCTCTGTTGCCGTTGATGCCAATCCATGGTAATTCTACAGTAATTATTTTAATTTAATTTTTTAGGAAGTGGTGTCCTCTCCAAATGTACTAAAAACTTAAACCACGGAGTCGTCCTTGTTGGTGTCTAAGCTGATGGAGCTTGGAAGATCAGAAACTCATGGGGATCTAGTTGGGGTGAAGCCGGTCACATCAGACTTGCCGGAGGTGATACTTGCGGTATCTGTGCTGCTCCATCCTTCCCAATTTTAGGATGAAGACTTTGATTATTCATACATCAATTTATAATAACATTAGTTATTTTACAAACTATTTACATGGTTAATTGATTGAACACATAAAATAAATCAGTTTTTTTAATATTTATTAATGGGTTGCGGATCTGTTAAGCCAGTGAATGTCTTAGAAACAGAATAATTAAATTCATCGAAAATTCATTCAAGAACTAGTTCGATTTCTGAAGGCCACACAGATATCACCAAGTTATACAGAAGAGGTTCTTTACGGCTATAAAATAATAGCAAACTATCTCATACAAAATGAGAAATACGAGCAATCTACCTAGTTATTAAATCGAATTTTGGAAACTGATCCTGATTTCGTAAATGCTATTTATTCAAAGGGTTAGTCATTCAATTTATTTTCCTATTAGGTATTGTTGAACTTTGTTAAAATAAGTTGGACAAGGCAAAGAAATATTTTCTAACTTCCCTTGAGAAATAACCAAACCATGCTCTTGCTCTCAATGAATTAGGTATGCTCTAATGTTTTATCCCTCAGCTAGTTTAATGATCAAAGAAAAATAGTACAATGAAGCATTACTGAATTTGGAAAAAGGATTCCAGATTGATCCAAATATACCAGACTTAAACTATGGTTTAGGTACATTGTACATTTTAATCAAAACCCCCAGGCTATGTTTTAGCAAGATTAAAGCGAAAAACCGAGGCCATCCAATATTTTGATATGGCGATAAAATAAGACCCAAATCAAAAACATTTCTATGTTAGTAAAGCGACTACCTTATCAGATTTAAAATAATTTGATAAAGCTTTGGAAGCAGTTTAAATAGCCCTCAAAATTGATCCTCAATATATCGATGGCTATTAAGTATTAGGTATCTAATACTCAATTATTAAATTAGCATATATATATCGCCATTAAAAATAATATGATAAGATGGAGGAAGCATGTGATGTAGTTCTTAAACTAGATGCTTAAAATTAATATGCATTAAATTGCAAACAAGAAAGCAAAAAATAAAATTAATTAAAGTAACCACCGGTTCCATTGGAGTCCATTTCTGTTGAAGACTAATTGAAAGAAGGTTGAATCTAATACTAAGATTATAGTAAGGAATCTGCAAGTAGGTCAACAGCACACTTTGGCTTTGAGTCTCTTAAATTAGATTTTGGAAAAAGACCCTGTTCAATTAGATGCACTAAAATTAAAAGCTTAAATATAAATTGAATTAAAATAATAAGCAAGTGGTCTTGTAACCCTGAATTAAATTCTCAGCATCCAACAGAATGACTTAGATGCATTAAAAGAAAAGGGTATCAACATTCATTCTATGGATCTAGTGAAAATCTTAGAATATATGAACAAAAGCGAAGAAGTTTTGAAATGCTATGAATTGATCCTTTCGAAAGAAACAAACTTTGAATTTTTGGAGAAGAAAGGTTAATATCCAAAATATTTTATTTAGCCTCTACTTTAATAAAACTGAATAGACTTTAAGAAGCATCAAAGATTTACGAATATTTATAATCATAATCAAATTAGAATGATTCAAAAATATTTATTATTAGAGGTATACTAAATTCTTATTTAGGGAGGTTGTTTTAAGCATAAAAAAAATATGAAGATGCCATCATTTGTTTGAATGATGGATTAACTAAATTCCCTTAAAATTTAGAAATCTTGGATTTGTTAGCATAAATGTATAAAATTACAAAGAAAGAATAAAAAGCACTTGAAATTTATGAAAAAATATTAAGTATTGATACAACCAATGAATAATACTTATATGAAAAAGGTGCACTTTAATATAATCATTAGGTTCTATATTATTTAATTAAAAAAACTATAATGAATCATTTGATATATTTTTAGAGTTGAAAAATAGCGAATATGCTTAAAATCTTAATTATTACCTTGGATTTTGTTACAATTAAAAGAAAGAATATGTGGAAGCATTAAAATAATTAAATTTATATCTTAAAACTGGAAAGGACAATCTTGAGCAAGTCTATTTCATTGTATTAATATTATTAATTGTATAGATAGGCACTGCCAATTAATTTTTAATGAAATTTGATGAAGCCATCGATGGCTATCAAAATTGCATTAGTTAAAACCCTAAAAATTCTGAAGCTTATTTTCAACTTGGAAATGTATATAAATAAGATAAACAAATTGAAGATGCCCAAAAGGCTTTTGAATAGGCAGTCAAGATAAATCCTTCAAATAGTGTGTATAAATAAGCATTAGGTATTTATAAATTGAAATTGCAATTAGATAATATAACTAATGAAAAGTCATTTTTATAAGAGTATAGAAACAGTCTCCTTTTTACTTTGATTACATTTATTGGAAGTTGTTAACTCGATCCTAAATCTCCAGATTTTGATAAATAGCAAAATGAAAAATATTTAACATTGTTAACTTTGATGGAAGCCCATTTAAAAAAAAGATTCAATACTTTAGATAAGCACTTTGAATAATTAAAAGAATTGATTGGTAAATCCTACGATATGAAATTAACTTTAATTGATGACACATTGTTTCCTATTATGCAATTTTGGCATAATTAGAAAATATGTAAAAAAAAGAAAGATAATAATGACTTGGTTGTGTCTATGATAAACTCTGTCAAATCTATGATTAATTCAAATAATGAAAAGATATTGAATTCCATTTAAAATGAAAAATCTTTAAATAATCGGTTTTGTGTTGAATTTTTATCAAAAAGTCAACATGAATCATATCAAAAGGTGAGTGGGAATGCAGGTTTACAAGATGGAATAAAAATACTTGGCTTCTTAATTAAATATCATAAAGAATTCAATTCAGAAACTAAAAGTTTCCCTGAATTCATTGCAAATAAATACGTAGCTGATGAGATATAGATTTTTCATGATTCATATTACCGTCCAAATGATTGATTAGATGATTTTATTTGATTAAATTTGATAAATTATAAAAAGTATATATTAATATAATTATTAACTGTAATATTAATTTATTCAAATTTCTAAATGCAATACATCGATGAAAATGATATGGGATAAAAAAGTAGAGTGCCTCGTCTAAGTATGGGGGAGAGATGTTTTGGAAAGGATTTATCTAATTTTAGATAAAGTAAATCATAATCTTAAACTCAAAGAATAAAAATTGATGAATTAGATTAGATTGACAATAAGAATAATAACAATCCTTAATTTGTATCTGCTTATGCTAAAGATATTTTTAAATATTGCAGAAGTAAGGACCAAGCACTTGATCACACATATATTGACAAACAAATAGAAATCAATTATAAAATGAGATCAATACTTATAGATTGGTTAGTTGATGTACATTACAGATTTAATTTGGTTTCAGATACTTTATACCTAACTATTTACATAATTGATGCATATTTATAGTCAATTCAAATATCAAGGAATAAATTTCAATTGCTTGGAGTGTCAGCTCTATTCATAGCATCCAAATATTGTGAGATCTACCCTCCAAAACTAAACTATTTCTCAGATGTCACAGACAAAACCTACACAAAAGAAGAAATCTTAGAAATGGAGGGTAAAATATTAATGTAATTGCAATTTGAAATTTGTTTTACGAATTAACATTAATTCTATGAGAGATATCAACAATTAGTATAACTAGATTAAAAGTCATACTAATTAGGAAAATATATTCTCGAATTAATGCTGTTGGATCATAAATTTATATAATACAACCCAAGTTTATAAGCAGCCAGTGTACTATATTTAGTATAAAAGATTTATAAAAAGTATAGAAATTAAATAAATAAATAGATCTTAAAATTGTTGGCCTACTTATTTAGAAATGCATTCACAATATACTGAGAGTTAAATTAGGCCAGTGGCAAAAGAAATTTGTTAATAATTGTGCCAAGCAAAAATTATGTCATTATAAGCAATACAAAGAAAATATAGTTCACCAAAATTTCAAGAAGTCTCTAATATTTAAATTCAATATAAATGAATATAATAATTAAACTAAGAATTAGTTTCATCTACGTTCGAGATAATGCTCATTTTTTTTTAAGTATTAGTAAATTGATTCTTCATCTGTTAACTCAAGAGCTGATTAATACTGTTCATAAGAGAAGTTTTCTTTATCACAAGTCAAAATAGGCAATTCACTTATGATAAGAGAAGCTTAAGCCTAGATTTCTAATTTTAACCATTCTATATTTGGTTTGGCAATTCCCTTTCTGTCTTTAATATTTTTGTAAATTTATCCATGAAAGTACGTATTACATACATCCTTTATTTTATCATTTAAATCATCATTTAAAAACCATTCTACTTTCTCTCTTCTATTTTTATCTAATTTTTCTGCTTTTGCTTTTGCAGAATTTAATAATAAACTTAATTCACTTTAAACCAGTTAATTATCTTATTTAACCTTATTTAAATAAATTTCATATTCTGGAGTTGATATTAACTCTTCCCAGCCATCAATATTAAATGAATTTACTTTTTACTATAATAAATTCTCAATCAATATTCTTAATTGTAGCATCCGCTTAAAAACCAAAAATAGAGGAATAACCCAAAAATTTTGTAATCCATTAAAAAATGTTAAGCATTTTGCAACAGTCTAGCCAATTACATTAATAGCATCCAAAGATCTATTGTATTTTTGTGAAAATAGTTGTTATTATGAAGTATTTCTTTTGATTAATTAAATGTAATTATCTGGATTACTTGCAATATTTTGAGTTTAAGATTACTATTATTATTATTATTATTATTATTATTATTACTAAGATTTTTTTTATTAAATTGATAATAATTATTATTGTTATTGTTATTCATCTAAATCACAATACTTAATAATTTATTATTATTTTTGTTGTTATTGTTATAATTATTCTTATTATTATTGTTATTGATGTTATTGCTGAAGTTGTTGTTTTTCCTGCTACTGTTCTTGTTGTTTTTGTGGTTGTTATGGTTATAATTATTATTGTTATTGTTATTACTATTATTATTATTATTATTATTATTATTATTATTATTATTATTATTATTGTTATTACTATTATTATTATTATTATTATTATGTTTATTGTTATTGTTATTGCAATGCTTATTTTTATTATTAATCATTCAATATTTCATATTACTAATAAATTTCCTGTACTTCCTCTTAATCGTTTGATACCTTTTTTTAATGATTTTACTATTTATTCTGCTACTCTTACAGAATTGAGTGGGTAGAACTATTTCTTGGTTTTTTTTATAATTTAATTGTATCGCCTTTTATTGATGTAACCCTAGATCTTATTTTTTCATAAAAGCAATCCTATTTTTAAGGAACTTAATTGCTATTATCTTATATGATCTCTCCAGATTTACGTTGAGAATCAGGTCCTACATTTGAAGTGCTATTTTAAGTTTGATTTCTAAAAGTTCTAAATCCTAGATTCTGTGGTTTAATTTAGGATTTAGGTAATATTTTAGTTGAATTTAAAAAGTTATTAAATCTATTAGTGCTAGTATTTGTTGAAAGTATTTATCGACTCTATTATGATGTGGATGCATGTCTATTATATAAAGATGAATAAGAGTTCCCTAGAGCATTGCGAACTTTATCTTGATGTGCTTTATACAAATTGCTAACCTTTGTAATAAGTGATTGATTAAGCATATTTTAATCACAAGTTTTTGGATTCTTCAATCCATAAGGACAAGGCATGATACTAATTTAATTGCTATTTTCATCTCTACTACTCATTCTTGATGTAGATCGACCTTTCAATTCAGTTCTATTGGATTTCATTTAAAAATCCTTGAGAATTTATTTACAAACATTGTCCTCTCTAAATGCTGGATGATTTGGGATTTAACTCCAAGGTATTGGATTCTCTGGATCTAAAAGAGAAGATATTAAATTTTGGACTGATTACTTTTTATTGGTTATCATTGAACCGATGTCCAATCTTCCCCCTTTCAACCATTCATTTATATGCTTCTAAACTTCATTCAAAATGTAAGTCCCTTAAGTCATAACTAAATACATAATTCCTAAGGACCATTAATAAGAGGATCGATAAGGCTTGCCTTTTAGAATTAGAGGATTCCAATAGATGCAATACTTTTCTGTACGTTTCCTCAAACCAAAATCTAGAATAACTATGGAATCATCATTCTTAATTATATTGTCTAGAGTGCAATCACGTGGAGAACATCCAGTATAAAGGTCATAGCCAAAATAAATTAATAATAATTTTGAGAGATCTCCATTTGTTAAAAACCATTAAGTCACATTCTCAATTAAAACATCTGTGTATGTATTAGTCCTAACTATCTATAATATCGAAGGAAGCAAACTAATCTGAGGTTTGAGCATCTTGGTTTCCCTTTATGGCTTAATACGATGTTGAGAATCAAAAAAGGCCAATTCTTCATCTAAATATACAGTATTATTCCATCTTGCAATGATAACTTATTCATCTGATAGCTTCAGCCGTCCTCTTAATGCAGTCCATTGATCACATTACCATATCGGGAATGTTATAGTGTAAGGATGATTGGGCCTCATTAATTATTTATATTATAAATATTTCTATGTGAATGTTAGTTAATTATTTTTTAAAAAATTTAATATTGAATTACTAAAGTAGAAGACATTTTCAACTATTCTCTACTTTAAAAATATAAATTATTGTAAATATAAGCCTCAATACTTTAATTTATAATTCATAAAATAAGAACCTAATTGGGTAGATTATTTGAAAAAAATATAGAATTTTCTCCTTTCCTGAAAATATGATTGAATTAACGTTGTTTTATTATTAATGTTTAATCTAAAATACTTCAATAGTAATGAGTTTATAAAGAAGGAATTTATTAGATTATTGTTTTCAATTCATTATTACTAAATTAATATAATCATAAATAAATATTTAAAAAATAATAGTCTGACTATTGAATGTTTTATTTATTAATCATTAGATTTATTTATGATAATTACATAATTAACGATTACAAGAAAATGAAATTATAAAAAAACATTATCATTAATATTTGGTTATCATTTGAGCGTCTACAATTTCTTATTTAGGATTACATTTTAAAAGTATAACAAACATTTAATTTGTGTCAGCCTCTGGTAAAAGCAAAGCACAAGGCCCACTATTATTGTTTATTCCTTAAAATCCATAAAAACTTTTTTTCATAAATTAGAATTATCTATTCTTCCATGTGTATACAGTTGATAGATCTCCATTTTCAAATGTTGCTCTGCAGGTGTAACTCTTAGTTTTTAAGATTCTTTTAAATATATCAAACTTCAATAATTAATCACAAAGTAGACACAGATCATTTGCAGTAGTTACATTATTTGGATCTGCTAAGCCTTCTAAATTTGTATATCTAGTATTATTCATTTTAAGCTGTTACGCATTCCTATTATATAAGTCAAGAAATTTGTTTTTTATTAGGTTTCTTTAAGTTATTCCGTATAGTTTTTCGCTTAATCCACTTACAATACTCCATAAAGCATCATTACCCCCTCTAAGAATAAGAGCATAAAGAAGTTATTCGAGAGTAAAGTAATTATAGGAATTTAAATCTGCTTTAGGTTCTGGAACACTTTCTGCATAATAAGGTACTTATAATCTAATTTTGTAGTCCTAACATAATTATAATATAGTATAAATCGCCATCAATTTAGTTAAGCATCCAACTTCACATTTGATATTTTCGTTAACACCATAAAACTTTGAGTTGTTTTGAAAAGCGCACCATCTTCTAGCTGAGACCCTTAATGTTAAAAATTTTGGAGGTGTATTCTCTTTAACTTATGTAAGCATTCTTGTAGATTTTCTGGTTATGGGCCTTTGAATCACTTAAGAATAAGAACGAATTCTATCTTTCTGACTCCATTTGGTTGAATTTGAAATGTTGATTTTCTTATTAGAGCATGTACATTAAGAAATTTGCATCAATATGGGTTTCTCATCTGGTATATAAGTAATACCATTCACTCCACAGATAGTAGGGATTATTTCACATATTCGATATTGTTACTGTTTGCTTTTACTAAAGATTGAATAGTTCTTCACTTTCATTAAAGAAAATAAAATATAATTCATACGCATAAGGATCATTCTTTAATATTACTGGAAACTAGAAGAAATCTTTTTTATTTGTAGATTTTTTATGGAGAATATAGATGATTGAAGAGAAATTTTTTATAGAGAAAAAAGTACTCTTTATAGGTATTTCACATAAATATTAATAACTCTTCATTTATTTATTAATTATTTCTCAGATTTTCTTATATATTTATTAAATAACGAAATAATTAGTTATCAATTAAATATAACTATGTCAATCTAAAAATAACAACATTAGGGTATTTCTAATTGGCAAGAAAAAATCTAAAAAGAATAAATTTGCAGCCAACCATTGATCATCGTAAGTAAAAAATGTAGTCTAAATAATTAATCATTATTAAATACTGTTGAAACTAATGAAGTATCCAATAAAACAAATTTGATATGATACTAACTAATATTATTACTGTCCATTCTTATTAAAATATGGACACAAGATAATAAACTAATATCATTATTATAACGTAAAAAATAGTAAACTTTTTATTTAAGACAATATGATTATCGAATTAGTTTCTATTAATCCCTTTTACCTTTAATGGTTTCAATATTTTATTAAATATTATTCTAATTAGCGTCTTATTCTCCTCAATATATTTGTTATGCTATAATATGAATTAAGTTCTACTTCAAATAAATTAGCATCTATGTGGTTTAAATAAGTTTGTATATAAACAATTGTTAATATATAAAAAGTCCAATTGCCTGATGTTTAAGAGAACTTATTGTATAAAACATTAACAATAAATGCCAAAAATGTCAAGTATGTTATTTTCTCATTTTCAAAATTTTTAATCTTTAAGACATATTGATTAAGCATGAAGAAAACAACACTTGCTAAATAAATCCAAAACACAGCCTATAATTATTCTATATAATATTCTATTATGATATCTTTTTTTCATACCAAAATAATTTCTAATGTATACTAAAAGTATCTACACAAACAAAAATAAACATGGATATGAAATTAATGTAAATAAAAATGCAATTTTCCTCTAAATAAATTAAATATCTATGTACCAAGAAACGTATGTCTCTAATGATATATTGGATCAATAAAAATAAGGGATAGGCAATTAAAGAAACCCAATGATATTGATTAGGCCAATAGTTCAATATTTAATATATCTCACTTCTATTGCCATCATTTTAAATAATTTTTTTACAATATTTAGTATTCTTACAATATTCTTTAAAAGCAGCACTATCGCTCTTAGGTCCTTCAGTTGAATTGTAATAGAAGTGTTCCATCTACATATAATAGGAAACAAGAATTATTAGTGCTTATATAAGAAGGAGTAAATAAAAGAAACCCTTCCCTTATTCCTAGATGTTTTGATATTCTTCAGGAGTCTTATTTGCTTCACTTTTTATTTATTTAGAATTCTCTCTCTAAGCCTTTGTTACGTCTGTTTCTTGCTGACAATGGGTTTGTTTTTCTTTTAAATCATCCGATTCATATCTAGACTTATAAGACATAGAAAATAAAATAAATATTGATTATTAGAAATTAGAAATGATATTTTTATATTCATAATTTTGTTATTCTTTTAAATGTTTTAGTCTAAATTTATTATATAAGTCTATTTAAAAGAGAAGAGTATGTTCAAAGCATATTCTCACTTATACTTCGCTATAAAATTGACAACTTAAGTAAAAGAGAATTATAATTCAAACATAGAAGTTAAAAGAAAATAAATAAGTTAATTGAATTTTATCATTCTTATAATAAAAACATCACAATATTCCTAAAGGGCAAAAATAAATCTAAAAAAAATAGATCGGCTGCTAACCATTGATTTTTATTCCTAAAGTTTGAAGTCTAATTAAATACAAATAAATAATACTGTTGAAATTAATGAAGTATCCCAAATTATAAAAATCAAAAATGCTATAATTATTAATATTATAGTAATTTAAACCTGCGTTTGCATTAATGCTTAATAGAAATAATAAAAAAGAGTTATTAGGGTTCCAAAAAACAAGAATACCTCTTTCTTTATATAAAAATAATCATTATCCTTATTTCCATTAAAAAAGGAAATTTTTTCAAAAAGAATTTCAATCAATATTTTCTGCTTAATGTATTGATTACCCTATAAGTAATTAAATCATATAAATACCACAAACAAATTGGAATTAATATGGATTAAGTAGAGTTAAATATATGCATTAAATATTAAATACGGTATCCAATTATGTTCATTTAAAGTGATTATATTATATAATCCGTTTAGAACTAATAAAAAAAATAGTATATATAAAGGTTTCCTTCTATTTTTAATTTCTATTCCCAAAAATTGCGAGTTAATTATAAAGAAAGAGAGGTTTAAAATAAAAATCCCAAAACAAATATTAATTGGTATTATCTATTAAGCTAGTATAAATATTATAATATTTTACGACAAAGAAGTTTTATTATTAACGAGATGCAATGGATGAAAATTGGTAAAAAAGGGTACTAAATCAAGTGAAAATAAAATGCCCTTTTTATCTAAAAAATATAATCTGAAATTACATAAAAATCACTTTCTTTATTCAATTGCTTTTAAATAAGCATAATTGGATAAATAAAAAGGAAACCCCAGTGCATTTCTCCAAAAAATTTATTATAAGCTTCTGATATAATTTAGGTTGTTGGAATATTAACATCTTCGCATTTTTTCTTATCTTGGCATTCTGTAGAAATAGTTTATTTTTCATTGATAAATTCAATTATATTATCTATTATCTGCAGATTAGTTGACAAATTAAATGTAAGAATAATCACTATTGTTTAAATTAGGATTAGCCAATATAAATTCTTAATCATTATAATAAATATTTTATTAAAATTCTAAATAGTACTACTCAATACAAAAGTTTATTCTAATAGTTATATATTGTTTAATTCTATGATTTTATTTATTTGATATATATTTTATATTCATTTAATAAGTACATCATCAAAATAATTTTACTTTCTTTAACTTTCCACTCTTCTAAATTTATTCTCTTATTTCTTCTATATCTTATGGTTAACTTTTCTGTATTTATTCTTCACCTTATTATTAATCATATTCTTATTCATCTCCTTAATCTCCATCCTAATTCATTGTTTGTTATTTCTTCAATTATTGCTTTTTCTTTTTCTCTTCCAATTTTTTTTACTATCTTTATTTCTCATTCAAAAAGTATTCTCCTGATGCCATCAATAAATCTTCCTTTCTTGGTTGTTACTCAGGTGGGAATGGTGTATATTCTTTAATATTAATTATAAGAATGTACCCTTCTTTTTTTTAATGACCTTCTTTCTTTTTTAATTTTATTTCTTAAAGTGAGGTAGGAATCGATCCCAATTTTCATTTTACATATTCTCATCTTTAGACAGTTCTCTCTTAATCATAAGTTCTTTAATGCTATAAATTGGATGGACATTCTACATTGTATCAACCACAACTTTTCGAACAGTCTAGTATAAAATACTATAATTACTTTCAAATTCTTCCAATTTCCAATCACAGAAACAGTACTACCTTGGACCATGATATAACAATCTGTTAATAACTCTAATGCTTTCAATGTTGCTCCATTTGGTCCAATCAATCTTTATCTTCTCTTTACAAATTTCTCTTTGTTTCTAGTATAGCTTCTAATTTTGATGATATCACAAAATGTTCCATCCTCTAATAATCTTAAGCATTATTAAACAGGAACACTTCTAGCCAATAATTTAATAATATCTCTGGCTTTCATGATTGCCCATGGATCCCATGTTTTATTTGTTGTTTTTACTGTCAAAGATCCTTCCATTAAATTTAATTCAGCTCTTATTCCATGATCCTTCATTGATTTCTTAACCATTCCAAACACTTCTTGAATATACTTCTCTCTATATTTTGGAAATAAAGTAGCAAATGAACTTTCAGCTAAAAGACTCCCATTCATTTCACCAGGTTGAATTTCTGGTATCTTCCATTTATCTATTGTTGGATCATTATCCCAAGGTTTATCCTTTCTATATTTTTTATGATTTTTAACACCCTCTTATTATTCAGACATTCCAATAACACGAATTAAAATTATACTTTATTAATTAATTATTAATCATATATCACTTAAAAATATACATTAACTCTTTTTTTATCATATATTCTCTAAAAAATCAACTTTTGGGTATATAGTATTTGGAAAAATACCATCACTTAAGACCATCGATCTTTTATCTTTAATTTGTATGAAGAAAATGGTTATATTGTTTTCTGATAAATAGCAAAGTTAGCGTTCAGGTCTCTATTATCTGATATTTTAAATATGGCAATATTTGACTTAGAATAATGCGTCTGAGTGTATTTTGGAACATATAAGTATGATAAAAACCAAAAATCAAATTTATCTGCGATAGAATTTGCAAATCAATATAAAAGCAAATAATTTATTAAGTGATAAATATCATGGAATAATAAATAGTTTAAGAAGAAGCAAACTTTGACGAAGAAATTTAACATATATTCGACGATTACGAATACATAAACAATAATACTAATGGTGAATTTCCAGAAATTCCTAATGGTAGTATTGTACTGATCTTTCTTGGAGAATTTCAATAAAATTTTCACACATTCTATCAACACTTTCAAATAAAACAAGTCATTTTAGATACAAATTACTATAAGTTAGTTAGATTAGAAAAATAAGGAAAAAAAAGTTATTTATTAAATTTCCCTTTAATTTTATAATATAATTACGAAACTAATTAAATACCTTTGGACTTATGTATTTCAAAAATATATGCTGAGAAAGCACTTCAGAAAATGGGAAAGTGCAAGTTTTAGTTAGTTATTGATATGCAATAATTAAATGGAGATGATGAAAGAGCAAAGATGGATAGTATGATTTAAGATTCAGTTGCGTACTTTGGTAAATATTCTTTCAAGAAAAAATCTTATTTATTACTGGGTCCATAAGATGAAAATATTTGGAAGTTATGCAAAGTTGAATTATCCGATAAAAATAACTATTCATAATAATTTTAACCTTAAGGAATTAACTAAAATAAAGTTTTGCAATCAATATTTAGATATGATTCCTATTAATCCTTAAATAATTGCAAGTCGGATGATTTATTGAATTATGGAAAAATGATGACTTATTTATCATAAAAGGAAAACATTTTAACAAAATATTTTAATTATAGATTCAAAGAATTTTAGAAGCTACTTCTCATTTTACAGTAAATGCCAATCATTTTGTATTAAGATAATACTATGAATATTGTTGAAAGGTATTTAAAAGAATTATAAAACAGAATTAAGAATATCTAAATTTGCCAATAAAATAAATTATCCAAATTAAAAGAAATTCTTAAAATTATAAATTAAATTAATTAAGGAAATGAAGCAAAAGAATTGAATGAGATAATTTAATTAAAAAATAGCCGACAAATGAAATAATTTATGCAAGAAAATTAAATTGAATAAATAAGTATTCACCCTTTTTTTAATGACTAAGATTTATAAAAGTTAGATGAAATCATTTAATTTTGGGAGACCTATTATAAAAAATTTGTAATTTTAGAAGCTAAAAATTTGGAAATTAATCTTAAATTTTGGCGTTAATATTGTCATTAAGCTATAGAAAGCACTCTGTATGAACTTAAATATATAGTAAAGAGAATATAAGAAGGACCAAAAAACCCAATTGAAAATGGAATTTATTTCATAGGAGTCACCAAATCAGGAAAATCTACAGTCATGAATGCAATTTTTTATCCTGATAAACTTGAATAAACAAGAATTTTAGGTAAAAAATGCTACAAAATTGGTTAAGAATAAGATCCAAAATTTTAAATTGGTCAAGGTGGGGTTAGCATGACATAAAAAATTAGTGGTATTTACATTGGAGAAAAGGAGGAACTTAATCAGATATTTTATAATTAAAATAATGGCCAAAACATTAATCAATAACAAGAAGATGTTTTTAGCTATTAAGAATTACTATATTAGGGATTAATTAATGAATTAAAAATTCCTGAAAGATCGTTTATATTTGATTGTCCAGGATTTGAAGATAATTAAAATGAATTAATGCGAATTGCTCATAGAATAAGCCTGTATAATTATTTCAAAAAAACAAAAAACATTATTGTTTACGTTTTGATCGACATTTCTGTATAGTAGATCGAAAATATTAAGAATACATTCGATCCTATTTATAGTCTTTTAAAAGATAAAAGGGACTTAGATCAAAATTTTAGAAGTTGGGGGAATCTTATTTTAACTAAAGCTGAAAAAGATTCAAGAAAGGTGTATTTAGAATAATGGGATCTCGCCTATTATGGCTTATTAGAATAAAATTATAGCTACTATAAAAAGCATTTTAGTGACGACGAAATTTGTTTAGAATTTTTTAGACCCTCAGAAGAAATGCATCATGATGTAAAAAAGTTTGCAGAATCTATAAATGTAAAAATATAGAGGTAACTTTAATAAAAAAATGATAATAATAATCCAATTTTTGAACTTCAACTTGATGAAAGACTTTGGATGTAGTATAGTATTTGTATGCCTAAAATTTAATTGAAATTAAAATAATTCTTTAAATTATTTAGTTAATATTTTGATGAATACTTTTCGAAAAGTGAAGACACTCTAAGTTAGAAATTTGAATAAATAAAAATCATTAAAGACATTTTTTAAAATATTACTGCGATTAATGTGAATAATTGTGTATCAATACTTTAACGGTTATCAGAATGGATTAACAAAAACGAGTATACAAAATCAATGAGTTTTTTCCTTGAATCATATATTTAAGACATAAAGACTATTTTTTAAATATCAGAATATTGCAAGAATAAATAAAGCATAAATCCTTTTGTATTCAAAATAGATAAAATTGTTATCTAAATTTAAAAAACTCATTCCTTAATTGAAAAGATGATGATTGTTTTTCAAGTATTCAAAAATGTAGGACCTGCTATTTTAGGGATCACGTTATTGACTGGAGGCTGGGCTTATCTATCATCCGTAGCATTATTCCATCATACTTTGCTATGTTATCTTGTAGCAGGAACCTCATCATTGGCTGCGATTTCAACACCCTAAAGATTTTTCGAAATTTTTCAATCTCATTTATTTTAAATAGTATATTAAGCTAATTGAAACAATTATAAAAATGACTGGTATGAGAAATGGAAAAGAAAAGGGACAATTAAAAACAGAAAAAAATGATATTTTTATTCTTTAATTGTCTTAACATATACGAATTTATCATTCTTTTTTTAATCATTTTGTGTATGGTAGTGTAAAAATAAGTATAATTGAAAATATAATTATTTAAAATTAAAATATCTTAAAAAGATAAGTCAAAATATTATGATTAACTAGAAAATTAAGTTGTTATTTTCATATTATTGAATTGGTACCAAAAACATAATAAAACACTATTTGTTATCCATTAAAAATAATATAGTTAAAATTATAGAAAACCAACATCGAATATCACATAATCAAGACTTAAAATAAGTAAAAAGAATATTCAAGTTAAGTATTAGCTCATAAGTTGTACTTTGATAAAGATAATAATTGTATTTAGTTTCCTATTTCTAGAACACTTCAATTGTCAAATAATAATAATGATACATTACTATAATAGTAGATTATAAGAAACATTTGATTCAAGTATCCCTGTCAATTAAGAAATTATGAACCACTAACTCATTATTGGTAATTTAGTAGATGGCTAAATCTAATTGATTTACTCTCACTTAAAAGAGATCGTCTAGTTTTGATAACTTGAATTTATAAATGCATTAGAATAAAAGATTTAAAATATTGAAAATAACTTGCTCCTAACGGATGGTGTTAAATTTATGAATAACACAAATTATTCGTTCTTTATAAAAACGAGATTTTATATTAAGTACTTATTAGTTATAATTTATGAAAAAATATAAATAAATGAATCAATCTTTAGTAGGGAAGCCATGATTTTACATGACATCATATATCTCTTTATATAATTAAGTAGTTATTCTTGGAATATATTTAATAAAATTTAGATTTATCTAACATAAAGACGAACTATGATTAGAAACAATGAAATATTAACAAAGAGTGATCGACAAAATTCTCATCTAGATTCATATAGAGCCAAGTTTCAAATTGCTGGGTAAACCATTCTCAACGGTGATTCTTCTTTTACTCAAGAACCTACTAATAGAAATATCTATGAGAGTATTTCTTTAAATTAAAATTCATAGCTGAAAGAACCGACCATTAGAGCTTTCTTTAGAAAATCGGATATTCTGTTTCTCAGGAATTGAATTAATAAGAATATCAGAAAAAATTAAAGGCAAGCCCTGTCTCAACTGAATTACAATCCGCTCACAAAGTAACAAACCGAGATTCACAGCAATATTCGATCGCCCCACGAGGATAGAGTATAGAAATTTCGAATAACAATGATTAATTCTTGACCACATCTGAGAGCCCATACAACCCCTAGAACATAAGAAAAATGTTTCATTATTGCGAGGGGTCTTATGAATATTTGAGTGATAATATTCAGAGTGGCAGTAGTGACCATACACCTAAACCTACGAAAAGTGAGAGTGTTTCAATCAAGACAATTTCAACAAATGACATTCCAACAATGATTAGGGCGAAATTCAAAAGAATAAGAAAATGCTTTTAGATTATTACGGCTCTTTTTAGAATGAAGACATTGTGCAAGTAAACATTTAATTTAAACAATAGTCAAAAGTAGTCATCTTGGAATTTATAGATGGATATTTTAAAAAGAAATCAAAAGATTTTAAAATATAATGAAAGCATTTCGATAATAAAAATAAAGTAATGGACTTAAATGGTATTTTCTAAAATGATTTCAATAATTCAGTAGAAAAATTTAGAAAAACAAAAATTGAATTTTATTGTAAAAATTTTGAATTAATTATATTAATAGGACTATCCATAAACAATGACATCAGTTGAAATTGATTAGGCAATTGTTTTTGTTTAAAACAGTTTCACATTTGCAATGTCCAATCTTGTAGTTATGACTACAGGTAAATACTTAATAAATGAACTGAGTTTATAGATGCACTAAGATCAATACTTCGAGTATCGTAAACAATTCAGTAAATTTGTAAGTGAGAGGGCAAATTACTTAACTAAAGATTATACTCAATTGAATGAACAGGAAAAGCAACTAGTGTTCTCTGAATGCATAATCATTAATAATTTGATACCTAGCTTATTAAAATTGACAATCAGTTTGGAAGCATTGAAATGTAATATAGGCAGTATAGAATTTTTGATGAGATGCATAATTTCTCTCTTTTAATATTTCTTTATTCATCATTTCTCGAACTACCCAAAAGTGGAAATGAGGAAATAGAATATAAAATATACTCAATATGACTTAACAAAGAATGGATCGTAATTGATCTTGAGTTAGAATCAATAACTGAATTCCGAGGGTTTTATAAATGGAATCATATATAGCGAAGAATAAATGTAATAAATATTATAGAAGGAAAGTTGGTTATAAGCGAATAAAAAAAAGATGAATATAGTTTCATAAAACCTTGGTTTTATAGTTTGATTGATTCAACTAATTAATTATTTGTAAATAGAACAAGTTAGTAAATGATTATATTATAATTATATTTGATTTAATTCTATAATTTCAATTCATTATAGTGATGAATATTTCGGATGCAATTCCATTAAAAATAGTGGTAGTTGGAGATGCTAAAGTGGGCAAAACCACTTTAATTCAAACATACCTATAGGAAATTGATGGGAATTAATCGGCTTCTAAGTTACGCTTCGATTACAAAATAGTTCAAGTGGAAATCTAATAAGAATAATATTGTGTAGCAATATGGGATAGTGTTGGATAAGGATTCTAAAATTAAATGAGCAACTTTTTAGTAAAAGATGCTGATGCTGTGATGCTCTGTATTGATTTAAGCAAAGAAATTGATATACAATCCATCGATAAATGGATGGATACTCTAATCAACCGTAGTTCATCTCATTGTGCATATGTCTTAATCGGAACTAAATTAGATTTATTTCAATAAGGTAGAACTTAACATTTAAATGATGCCTTCTCGTAAATAAGCGATAAATATTCAGCCTTAAAACTATTAACACCAGTTTAATACTAGGATAAAGAGTCTATCAAATTAGCATTCTAATAAACTTTCGAACAGGGAGTTTAGGCTAAAACAAAATCAAAACAAGATTCAACTCTTAATTTCTAAGTAAATCTATTAATTTATGAAGAGTTTTGTTTTACAAAAAGATAGAAATTCTTATTTTACAGCCAATTCTCGATCTAGTTCGATAAAGATAAAGAATTAAAAGAAAGATTAGTGTTGTTGAGTTATTAGTTATTATTCATTTTCTAGATATTTAATGTTTTTCATCATACACCAGTATAGTAATAATTTAAATTTAATATGTAAACAGAGAAACCCACACCAAAAACAGATGCAGACTATAAAGCATAAGCTGCTGCTTTGACAGACTAATAATTGCATGAGGAGATCATTAAATTGAATAAGAGACTTAATGAACTGAAAACGATGCAATCAAGAGAGATTAATCATAAAAAGCAATATGAAGATCAATTGGATAGCACTAAAAAAAGAGTGTATGCAATCATTTATATATGAAGTGGCAATATGACAACACTCCCTTATTTAGTTTCAAATGTAGTGGAAATATTAGACATTGAAGCAATTGATAAAGATTAATAAGATTAATCTGTGACAGATGATTATGCTACTATTTCTGGAAAAGGTGTTGTTATTAAGACTACCACTAGACAGACAATCTTCTTGCCAGTCACAGGTTTATTAAATGCGTCTTAATTGAAACCCGCAGAATTGATTGGAGTTAATAAAGATGGATATATGTTATATGAGAAATTGCCAACTGAATACGATGCAAGAGGTACTTGAAACTCATTAGCTTAGTCAAAACAATGGAAGTGGATGAAAAACCATAAGAAGATTATACAGATATTGGTGGATTGGATAAACAAATAGAAGAATTAAGAGAAGCCATTGTATTACCAATTGTACATAAAGAGAGATTTGAAAATATTGGTATTAGGTAAATAATATTATGATAATTAATTAGACCACCAAAAGGAGTATTGATGCATGGACCACCTGGAACTGGTAAAACTATGATGGCTAGAGCATGTGCTGCTCAAACCAAAGCTACATTCTTAAAGTTAGCTGGTCCTTAATTAGTTTAAATGTTTATTGGTGATGGAGCTAAGATGGTTAGAGATGCTTTTCAATTGGCTTAAGAAAAGGCACCTGCCATTATATTCATAGATGAATTAGATGCCATCGGAACTAAAAGATATGATAGTGATAAGAATGGTGATAGAGAAGTATAAAGAACTATGCTTGAATTATTAAATCAGCTTGATGGTTTCAGTCCTGATGATAGAATCAAAGTATTTATAATTGCTATTTTAATAGGTCATTGCAGCCACCAATAGACCCGATATCTTGGATCCAGCATTATTGAGATCTGGTAGATTGGATAGAAAAATTGAATTCCCATTACCAAATGAAGAAGCCAGAGCTCAAATCCTGAAAATTCATTCCAGAAAGATGTCAGTTGCTAAAGAAACTGTTAATTATGTGGAAATAGCTAGAAGTACTGATGAATTTAATGGTGCGTAGTTGAAAGCTGTCTGGTATTATTATTAATTAATATCATTCAAGTGTAGAAGCAGGTATGATTGCCTTTGAATAGAGGTGGAACATTCTTGATTCACGAAGATTTTGTTGAAGGAATAGCTGTTGTACAAGCAAAAAAGAAGAGTAGCTTAAATTATTATGCTTGAATCAATTATATAATATATATTATATTTTATGCATTAAGCACAAAAAAACAGAATCACAAAAGAAATATAAGAATTCGAATAAAGACAAAAGAAAGTATATTATTCTAATATTATGAGAATGAAGACAATGGGATTTCTATCTTTGTTGTTGACAATGACATCTAACATTGGAAGGGATTTATTAATGGATCTCCAGATACTCCCTACGAAGGTGGCTATTTCTAAATTGACATCGTACTCACAAATGACTACCCTTATAAACCACCTAAAATGAAATTCGATACACGCATTTGGCATCCCAATATCTCATCGTATTTTAAATTAATATTAAGATAAACTGGTGCCATCTGCCTTGATATTTTGAAGGATTAATGGTCACCTGCCTTATCTATTCGAACTGCCTTACTGTCATTACAGGCCTTATTTTGTGATCCATAGCCAGGTTATAATTCAAATCATTTTATATAGACTCTCCTTAAGATGCTGTAGTAGCCAATCAATATAAATCAAATAAAGATTTATTTGTTAAAACTGCAAAGTATTTATTAAGTGCATTAAGCTAGAGAATGGACACTAAATTATGCATCAAAAAATAAACAAAATGAAAAAGTTTCCAATCTTGTTTAATTAGGTTTTGATGAATAAAAAGTTAAAGTAATTGGCTATTCATAAATAATAGGAAGCATTAATTAGATTTGGATATGATGAAGAATAAGCTGCCAATTTCTTATTGGGAGGATGAATAATAATTATAAATTTACAGTATTTATTTGTAATAAATTTCTATTAATGTAAATTTATTCATTAGAATATAATTTCAAAAATCTGACATTTTATTATGTTTGGAGTTTCTTATCCAAATAAATGTGTACTTGCGTTTTATTCAGCCTATTTTTTATAAGCATGTCCTAGGTTTGAACTTCCTTTCTAAAAGTCACCTTCTATTTCTAGATCCTAATTAAAACAAGGACCATACAATTTCTATAACTTGATAGCACAAGTCTAGTTATTTGATTTCTGATGTATAGTTTTATGAGTATATGAAAACAAAAATGAAAGTTTAGAACTATCCCAAACCATTCTTTTATTTTCATAAACCCATTTTAAAGGAGTGTACGCACCAAATATATAACCACTATTTGATTTAAATATCATTAATAAGTTGCTTTTATTTTCGACATTTTTCCAAAATGAATAACAATTCAAATTTTATTATTATTCATTAAATATTAAGTTAGTTTTTTGAATTTTTTTTCCAGCCTCTAGACTTATTTTACTTAATAATAGGTTATTGAAATAGTCTTCGGAAACAATAAATTAGTCATAAGGTATTTTTCCTTGGAATTATAATGAAAGATGTAAAAATTATTTGATTTAGTCTTTAAATTACTGAAATCCTGAAAAATTTATTTTATTAATTTTATTTGATGCTGAATAATCTTTTATTTCTCTATTAAAACTGCTTGAATCTTTTTCAAGATCCATGAATATTTGCAATAATTTTGTTTCTACTTGATTGACAACATCGTGAGTGATCGTTTACTATGTATTATTGAGACTTTCAATTATTTCTTTAAACTAAGAAAATTGAGTTACCTATTAAAATATTTAACTATACTTTTTCTAATTATTTCCTAAAATTGCTCTTGTTGTTTAAAATATTATAAACCTCTTCTTTTAGTTCATTTATGATTTTATCTATAGTTAATTGTATATCCTTGAGATTTGCTTCAATCTTTTAAATAAGATCTCGCCAATTAAACTTCTGGGTATTTTGCGATGCCATTTAAAAGAGTGGTATTTTTTCCATCCAAACTAAATTACTAGCAGAAATATTCTGGTTCTTTAAGTGCCTTTCTGATGGCTAATTTTTTAAATTTATCATTCTAAAGATTTCTTTCATCAAGTATCTTTCCCATGCACTCATCACATACTAGTTTTAAGCTATTTTTATTCCAAATTATGAAAATAATAGGATTGTCTGGATGGTCCTTGCATAAAATATTGTTCATAATAATAACAATAATTAATATAATTTATTCAAAAAAAGGTTGAAACTTTTTTGTTTTACATATTATATTTTGATAAAAATCAATATCCATTTCTTGGAGAAAGACTAGTGCCTAGTTTGTGATTTTCATCTTCAACTTAGTCGAATCTTTCAGCGACCATCTCTTCCAATTGAGCAACCAATTAGAGTTCGTTTCTTCTGGCTTAGGTGGCATAGTTGTATTCATTGGAGAAGGTTGAGCATAAAGCTTAGGCTTAGTCCCAAAGTTATTAGTTTCTTTAGAGTTTTCCTGAGGCGGTTTAAGCAATGGCTGATTGAGTTCCAATGCATTAGACTAAGTTGGTTAACTTGTTTTAGAGTCTTTCGCTTTAGGCTTCAAGTCTGGCAATGGTTTATCCTAATCTTTCCTTTTAGTCGTTGAAGGCAGCAACGGAAGCAGCATTTGAGCTAGCAAAATCGTCATAGGCTTCTTGAATATTGGATCTCAAGTTGTCCAAAAGTTAAGCAACTCTTTCGAGGGCTGATTCATCGAGTTATCCTTCTTAAGCAGCCAATTGAGCAAAGGCATAGAAGATTGGGGCGAATTTAGCAGTTTCCTTGATGTTGAAAGCAGTTTAGAGCATGCTCTTTGAAACTTTGCTGATTTCAGCAAATGATCCAGATCCACTATAGATAGCAGCTAAGATATCTTAGGCTTCATCGATAGCATGGAGAGCGTCTTCATAATCTCTTCCTCTTCTCTTGAAGTATTGTGCTTCTGTTTCAGCAGTGTTCAAGACTGTTGTTAAGTGTTCTTAAGCTGATTGGTATTATTATTAGTTGACTTCTGCGACGTTGGTTGTTCTAATTTTAGAAGTATTGCAGACATTCAAGGCAGCAGTGGAATCTCTCAAAACTGTTTGAGCATCTTAAACTTATCTTGATCTAAATTCATTTTCAGAATCGCATTCAGTTTATTGGATATTGTAGATTTCATCATGGTTAACTTATTCTGTGTTGACTGCATCTCTGAAATCTCTCAAGATATTCAAGACGGCATCAAGTGGTGACTTGTTATTTAGCTTTGCTTCAACTTCAGCCATGACTGCTGTCAAAGATCGCTTCTTTGAATAATCAAATGGATTTCTTGGAGCAGCACTGACGCAAACTAATACGACTAATAATGTAGCAATCAATTTCATGTTTATTAATTTACACTTACAAATCGCATTTCGAAACTAAATAATATAACTAAAAAACGGATTTCGAGCATAAAATATTCGTTTCTAGGCACCAATTAATTTATTAACTTAATGCCTTAATTATTTATCAATAATATCATTAAATTTGAACTCACAATTTAATATTTATTCAATTAGATTATAATCTCATTATTTAGCTATTGAATTTCTATTTGTTTATTAAAAGAATGATATAATTTATTTTATGAATAACATTAATCTATCTACTATAAATAGGTTAAAGTGACATAATCAGCATTATACGATCAATTATAAATAATTAGTTGCAAGTTAAAAATAAATAGGATAGTTGTATTCAACTTTTAATTTATTCATAATATTAGAATGTCCTTTACATCCTTTATGTATTTTAATCATCTTGGTTCAATTATCATTAGTCCTTAATTGATAGTTCCAGAATAAAATTTATATATCAAATCTGTTTTCATAGTATTATTTACTTATTTTCATAGGTTAAAAGTAAAGATTCAGATATTATATAGATAAAAAGAAATAGAAATATTATTAATGTGTCATTCTTTAATATTAAATCGAATCAAAAATCAAAAGAAAATGTTGTCTATAAAAACTAAACTCTTTTCTAAATGTGATTCTTTAGACATTGATCAGAATTTAGACAAAATTAATTTTAGTCTAAATACTTTGGATTAAAAATCTTTGAAATTATTTAAAATCTAAGATTTCAATAAAAATTAATATTTAAAGAAGCCCTCGAACATAGCCATAATAGTAAACCCAATGATTAATTAAAATTATATTTAATTTGAATCAAAATTAATGAAATATTAATAAATTTAAGGCCAGTTTTCTATTGCCTTAAAAGTCTCAAAGTTTATTATTGAATAAATTTAGCAATTTTACTAATCAAATCAAAAGGTAGAATTTTGAATCTTCTATTTGATTGTATTTAATGGAAATAAGTAAATTCTAATTTATAATCAATTTAGAATATATATGATGAATAAAATAATATTATTGAAACTCAAAGTTACATACTTTTAGATACAAAATTGATAATAAATTAGATGGTACATAAATATATTTTTTTAAGCAGCAAATTCATTCAGAAATAAAGACTTTGCTATTTGAAGTTACAGGTTTATTTTGTTTAGGATTCAAAATTAAATCCATGTCATCTTAACGTACTTCAGAGTCTTCTGGATTGAAATATCTCATTGTTGGTTTACGATATTCTTATCTTTGCTATGGTTATGCTTTTTTCTATGGTTTTCTGCTTTTTAATTCACTTAAAATGTTAGAATACAATTGCTTACTATACATAACTCTTTTCATAGGAGTAATTGTTAATTTTGGCAAATTTTTCTAGACAAAATGGTTGATTCAATTTTTCATCCAAGCTTCTTCGATCCAAGAACCTTAAGTATTGCACTCTTATTGGGTTAGTGTATTTTAATCTATAACTAGGATTCATTTTGATAGGAAGCCGATGAGTAGTATGAATATCAAGAGACGGAAGCTTGAAATCCGATTAAGAATGCGATTCCTATAATTACTACATAATTAATTTATAAATATAATCATTTATCAATAAACTAAGAATGTTTTTATTATTATTGTTATTTATTAGTACTTGATTATTGAGTCATATTTTATTAAAACTAATTTATGATTTCGAGTCACTAATAGCTTATTCTGATTTATTAATTTCAAATTGATTTCTCTGTGTACTTAAAGTATTTTAATTATTAACAGATCGAACTGTATTTGATCTTTTGATAATTTTATTAGGGTTCTCTGCATATTTGATCATAAAGATTACATTCTGGTTTTGTAAAAGACCGTCTTTTTTTTTTTAAATGAAATAATTAAGCATACTTTTGTTCTAATTACACCTACAGGGCTATTTTTAGAGGAACTTCACCATTCCTCTGCTTAGAAGGTAAACATTCTCGAACCCATTTTCAGTAAAAAGTATAGCAGAAGGTAGACCATTATTTTTATCAAGTGATAAATGATGATTAGTTTCATTCTTCCATTTTTTAATAAAATAGTTATACTAAGGAATATACAAATCTATATATTTATTGAGTTAACTTATGCTATCTAAGATAAGGAGCTTGAAAATTGATGGCTCCTTTAATTTGAGGCATTTAGAATTCCTCTTGATTATTAAGATCAATCAGGAGAAATTCAGATTAATCTGTGAGACCAAGTCATTCAGTTGCATAAGTAATAGCTGAAACCTATGAGACTTCATTGAATCTTGTTTTCTAATTGTATTGACTTTAATTATCAAATTTTCTCAATTGATTTTATTCTATACTATGCATTGATTCTTATGCTGGTTCTTCCAAAGAGTTAAGTATTAAATACATTTATCAATTTAAGTATTGTGGAACATTTAATTTTTTTGAAAATTCAAATCTTTGTTTTTCTATTCTTGCATTGCTGATAATTTCAAACAAATGGCCGAATGTTAAGGGTTAGTTTGAAATAATCATATTTTTTATTTCTAAGGATCTGCATATCAAATGAAATAGAATTTAGGAATAATTGAATGCAGTTCCCTTCCCTTTGATATAATCTATTCGCAATTTATCCATTTTTGTTTAATTTATATAATTTGTTAACTAATATTCAATAATGATAATGACTTTCAATCTGATACAGAGATAGTCTTTGGATTTATTGGAAATTAATTAATTACAATGTAGAGACTACAAGACTTGTCATATAATCTTTGATCTATGAATCTTTATCAATATCAGGGGCTATATAGTAATTGAAATGATACTTATAGACATAAGATAGATATCATCTGCTTCAATAAATTCCATTCTCAGAAGTGAGAAGAATCTATTATCTTTGAGGATTGTGATTTTGTGTATAAATTGTTCAACTTGATCGGTGATCATTTTGCTAATAGTCTCATTATATCTTTAATGATCTACAGGAACACCCTAATTGAAGATTAATTTACTTTTTATATCTTATAATAGAAGCCATCGAAAATCTAATACTAGAATGGATCTAGAAAGCTAATGAACAACATTGCAAAGAATCTCTTTTGTCTGTTTTCAACCTTCTTTTATATGATAAGATCATCAATCACAATGCCACAATTTTTGCCATCTTAATATTTCCTTCTGATGTATTTGTGTTCAAGGGTTTATTATTAAATTTATCGTTTAATGTGATTCTTAACCAAATATTCAGACTCGTTTAAGTTCTTGTATTGCTTAAAATATTCTAAACATTATGTAATGTCTAAGTAATAGTAAATGAAGATGTACTATTCATAATGAATGTTTCTGGAATAGGTACTTCTGTTTTCTGTAGAATCTAATAAAGAGATGACTTTTTAAATAATATTTCTATTCCAGGAATGTGATTGTAAGCTTGGAAATTGCATAGAAATTAGGAGCCAATTTCAAAATACTTATGAAAATTAAGGTTCTCCATAAAGAAGATGGTGGCATTGAATGGAAGATGATATAATTTATTACTTTCTAGTATTACATCTGGGAGTAGATCTTTGCCTGCCGCATCTAAGGCAAAGGTGATAACATTATCATTTGGATAATCTGTGATTATGTTAATTGGAAATTAAGGATTCGTTATAACGTATAGGTTATTTAATTCACAATAATGATTATCTTTGAGGATATTGAGTTATGTTTATTAACGAATAGGTTCATTAGTAGACAAAATGCTTTGTTTGATGGGATTGATGTCTTTCAAGGCTTATATTGTATAATCATAAATAGTGTCTACATCATCATCTCCCACAGCCACAAGATCTCCTTTGGTATCATCAATAAATTAAATTTCTTTTTCAATCTCTTCTCCAAATTAGAATTCCTCCTCCTCACCCACTTCTATTTAAGTGTCGATTTAAATCTGATCTTTTGTGTCTGATTCATAAATATGATGCTCAAAGATGTTGTTTATTAGTAACTTTGTCTCTGCCAAGTTAAACTCCTGGTCTTATGTCATATAAGCAAAGTAGAATAGGAGTAGTGTCCAATTGAAGATGAGGAGGAGGGTAAGTCTCAATCCTAATTTAATCGAAAGCATATTTAGAAAATAATGATTTAAAATGAATTTCAATAACAACAGAAGAGTCACTCTATTTCAGATTCTGGGAAGAAGTAGACTCAGCAAGAAACAATCACCAAAACATAAGAAGTCAAGCACAATTGATCCTGTCTAATTACCACATCTATATGACAACTTCCTCACTGAGCATACATTACCTCTTGGTTATTAGAAATAATAAAAATCTATCAAAATTAAAGATGATTTTCCAGCAAATACATCTTTAAGTGTTTCAGCCAGATCACCTATAAGATTACAAAGTATATTGCAATCAGGTTAAAACAATCTCAAAATAGAGTAATTGCTTAACAGAAAGAAATATGTGAAGTCGAGTATACATATGAAGTTACACTGATTTATATATATAAATTCATTCAATCCATCAATCCTTTTATTCCTTCTATCCCTTAGAATATCCAGAGGGGTATAACAGTTTTCTTAACTTCTCCTCCTCTTAAAGTGGATCATTATCTTCATAGCCTAACAGAATACAACTACAAATGTACCATATAATCTATAAGCATTAATATCACCTCTAGCATCACCAGTAATAAGCACTGGACTATTGTGAGCAAATCTGACCATAGTTTTGGCTGGCCATATTTGTTAATCCTGGGGCATAATGGTAAAATATGGATCTAACATATTATTCTTGGTTAAGTCCCATAATTCCAATCTGCCATCCTTGCAAACTGATGCGAATAATACAGAAGTGTGAGGAGACCACTCAAAGTCTAACACCTCGTCTTATAAGTTTTATTGCTTTTATAATTCTAATTATAAATACTTAAAAATTGGCTTTAGGTAATTCCTCAGTCCAATTCCATAATTTGCATGACCAATCTGCACTACAAGTTAAGAAGATATCACCAAAGAAAGGATTACATCTAACCTTATAAACTGGTCCTGAATGTCCAAAATAATTATCCAAATATTATTCTGTATATGATTTTGAGCATCTATGAATAGTACCATCTTCAGTGGCAGCTAAATACATGGCTGATTCTCTTTATAAGAAATCAAAGGAAAATCCAGCTGACATTCTAAAATTGACTCCTTCTTATAAGTTTTCCTTTTAAGATGATTGAACAACTCTTTTGAGATTCATTAAATTAGTATATTCCAATCCCTTCTTCATTGACCATTCAACAATTCTACTATCACTACTTATACTGACAAGGGATTCTCCCTTATCTGTTCCTTTAGCTCCTTTTCCAACCCATTAAACTTCCCAAACAGAATCACTATGCTTTCCAGCCATTTCTTTATTTTCAGTAATAGGTTTATTGGACTTTCTTCTGATATCCCATACAGCTACAATACCATCCACAGTTCCTGCAGCAATGAGATTGGGCTAGCTTTCTGAGAATTTACAACAATTAAATTTGGATGGATAAGTAATGATACGTTCAGGGTAAGTTGGGTTCTTTAAAGTCCAAAACATAATGTGTCCATCCGAGGTTTCTCTATTGCCATATGAAACAGCCAATAAATCTTTATTGACTGGATTCCAATCGGCACTAGTTACTTTGCATTGTTCACTTAATTAGCATTTATATGAAAATAATTATGTAATGGGATCTTATTATTTCTTTTCAACAACTTCCTCGTCATCTAATTTATTTTAGAAATTCCTTTTGAATGCTCCTCCTCTCTATTTAGGATCTTCATTCAAAGTCATCTTCTCAAACTTGACTTCTGGATAGTTTCTATATTGAATATATTATTTATGATAGAGATTTTGATTAAGAATTCTTTCCACATATTTCAAACTGGTTTACACTTATTGACTCTAATAAATGATCTATTCTTGTTCACTAATTTGAGAATTAGTTTTTTTGGACATATTACTTCATGTATTCCTCCTCCTTAACATCCTACTCATCCTATTTTTATTCATACTATTTCTATTATTATTCAGGTAGAGGATTGCTTGTCTTTCCATGACTCTTGGTCACTTATTATTGGATATTGGCTTATTAAGATCCCATGTTAGTAACACCTTTAGTACCTGTATGACTAGAAGAACTATCTTATATCCTCTCATCTCCACCTTGTCCAGTCAAACCACCACTCAAATTATTGATAGGTTATTATTTAGAATTGGCTGCAATTCCACTTCTTGTTTTACTTTATGATTTCTCAGTTGTTTCCTTACCCAATACAGGTCTTTCAGCATGTATTTTAATTGCTTCCAATTCTGTAGGCAATAAGAAATAAGGGTTCTTATTCAATTATTTATACTCATTCTCAATGCTTGACTTGATCTCTTCTTGTAATATTTCGAATTCATTCAATTGATCAGTTATTGAAGCATCATACAAATCCCAAACAGCTGTGAATGCTCCTGTATCATTCTTCTCAATTTTGTTGCATTACTGGATCTTATGTTTTTGTATGTAATTAAAGGTTTAAGCGAATCTCTTTGTGAAATTGTCACTTCCAATTTTCTCAATGATGAATTATTCATATTATTGGGTTCTTTGAATCTAACCAGTTTTCTTGCCTTACTCACTATTCACAAATGAGGATGGTCTATACATTATAATCATTAATTACATAAACATTAAACATTGAGTTGGAGTTTCACTTAAATTAATAGGGATATTCTCTTCCAAGTCCTCTTCTTTCAAACCTTTCTTCTATTTTGGTTTCTTCTCTTGTTATTCAGATTGATCTCTTTTAGAATCTGAATCAGAGTATGTGTCTGACTGTTTAGATTCCATAAAACTGCTCCTCTCTGGATTGTTGGAAGATGAAACTTTCAAATCTGAATTCGATGATTTATCCTGTTATACTTTATTAATAGTACAGCACTCTGATGGAATGATTTCATATTGCTATCCATAACACTAGCACTCACTTTAGTATCGGCTGGTTTCTGTAATTATTTTAGTTTTTATTCTTCCTCTCTATTCAACTGCTCAGCCAATTACAGGAATCTCTTAGTAATCAATCTATTTTCATATCAATATCTTACTCCTTTGGTGTTACTATGCTATCTTTATACTTCACAATCACATTATCCTACGATGATTATTGAGTATCCTTCCCTGTCTAAGGAGGACCCAATTAAGTTCTACCTCCACCGAGTTAATTGGGTCTACTTACTTATATTGAATGTACCTCTTGGCTGTCACATTGGAACGGATGTTAGATTTAGTTACTCCTGCTTTTAGTACCTCAGATGAAATCGACTACATTTATTAATTAATGGAATCAAAAAATCTTACCCAAACCATCAATCCCTTGTATTTATTAGCCTCATTAGCCTTGGGTACAATCGGGGCTGCTGCCTTTAATGCCTTAAGAAAAGGCATTACTGAAACAACTCACCATGTTTTTGAAGAGAGTATGTCCGCAAATGCATCTGCTCCTTCATCTCCTAAAAAACCAACTAAAAAACATGCAATTAATAAGTTGATGGCAAAAAATGCAAATGAAAATGAATTAGTCAAAGAATTAAAAAATTTAGAAGAAATTACTTGTGAGATTGAAAGAGTTTCTAATCTTGCTTATGATCTCAAACTTCAAGTATTGCCTTTGAATGTAAATCCTATGCTTGGAAATTCAAATTATAGAAGTGTGTTTGGTGGTGAAGGTTTTCTCCCTGAGACTGCTTTTGTCAATCATGATTGCTATATCCTTTGTAAATTTATCTAATTAATTTAGAACACCCTAACTTTGGACCAAATGATTTATTATCAAGAACAAAGAGATGGCTGAGATCTGGTCCAAGAAAACATCTATTATTTAGTCCAGATGAAGTCAAAGCAGGCATTGTAGTCGTAGGAGGATTATTGCCTGGATTGAATGTTATTATCAGAGAATTGACAATGTGTTTGTTTTACAATTACAAAGTATAGACTATATTTGGTGCCAAAAATGGATACAATGGAATCTACAATAATGATTGGATAAAATTAGATCCAAAAATAGTGAAGACTATTCATCATTTAGGAGGTTGCTTTTTGGGAACAGCCAGATCTAAATTTGATGGTGAAATGATAGTGGATGAATTAGCTAAAAATGGAATTAATTAAGTTTATCTTATTGGTGGATTGGGTTGTATGAAGAGTGCTGAATAATTATATGAAATCATTAAAAGCAGAAATCTCAAAATTAGTATTGTGGTTATTCCCAAAAGCATTGAAAATGAGATTCCAATTATAGACAAATCATTTGGATTCGAAACTGCAATTGAAGTAATATTATTATTTAATCATTTAATAGGAAGCTTAGAATCCTTTAAAAGCAGCATATCAAGAAACTCATTCTAAAAAATATTCAGTTGGAATCGTGAGACTCTGGGGTTCACATACAGGATTTTTGGCATTGAATGCATCCTTGGCCTTTAGAAGTGTGAATATATGTTTGGTTCCTGAATTTGAATTCGATGTCTATGGAGAAAAAGGATTATTATAATATGTGTATTCAAGACTGTAACACAAAGGAACATGTGTCATTGTAGTAGCCGAAGGATCTGCTGCTTCTTTGAGAGATTGCAAGATCAATGACAAAGGTAGAGATGCTTCTGGAAATGTCAAGTAAGGAGACATTGGATTATTCTTGAAGAATGCTATCTTAGAGTTTACAAGAGAAAAAGGTTTAAATGCTGAAGTCAAATACATTGATCCTTAATACATGGTCAGAGCTGGTAAGGCTAATTCATTAGATTCTAAACTATGCAGTTAATTGGCTTAAAATGCAATTCACGCTTCAATGGCTGGTTTCACTGGATTTGCAGTTGGTCATGTCAGCAATAAGACATGCATGATTCCATTGAATGAAATGAATTCAGGAAATTATGCCAATAGAATTACAGTAATTCATATCTTATATATATTTAGCCATCAAATATAGCATGGTAGAGATTGTTAGCAGGTACTGGGTAGCCATCATTCTTAAATAATGAATAAGATATATGATAAAAACATAATAAAATCAAAAATTCATATGAAAAATAATTTCAGATATATTTATTTATTCAATACTCTTTCTCAATCTCAGGCTATTTTTAAAATACTCCAAATTATGAACTATTTAACTTATTTAATATTAATAATAAGATTTGAATAATCATATATTTAGCAGATAGATTTTAATATTTAGTTTTTTAAATTATAAAGCCAAGAAATAATGATTAATAATTATGATATATAATAATAAATCATCCAAACGAATACAAATATTCTGTCAATGAAACTTTTTAATTATCTAAATTAATTAAGTTTCATTTATTGGTTTAACTAAGAATTCAGACATTCCACTACTAATACATTTCTCATTTTCTTATTGGTCCGAATAACCACTGCATCCAATAATTATATAATTGGGATAACTACTTAAAATTCTCTTAGTGGTTTCTTAACCATTCATAAATGGCATCTCTATATCCATAAATACTATTTTGTATCCCTAACAGGAATTACTGCATTTCTTATTTTTAATTTTTTCAATACACTCCAACCCTGATAATGCTGAATCCACATCAAATTCATTCTAAAATAAATGCTTTTTGTTTTTTTATAATTATTAAAATAATCTTTTCATTGCAAATATATTAAAACAGTCATCATCTACTATTAAATAATGCAAACATATTTATTAAGTTGACCAATCTTCCTTTATATGAGAATGTATATATTTAAAACTTGCAATTTCTTCTACCTCTTAAATCTATATTGAAATTTCAGGAACCTTGAAACTGGAGACTTTCTTTCTAAGTGGTTATTCTAAAGGTAAATCAAAATAGAAATTTGAATAATGATTATCTCTTTAATTACTTGATACAAGATTCAATCCTGTAGACCCTATTGTCTATGCAATTTGGTTACTTATCACTAAACCCAACCCCACACCTTATTAATTTAATTTTTTGCTTTCTTCTGAATTTACTTTTTAAAATGCCTTAAACAAGGTCATCTAATCCTCATCTGAGATTCCAATTCCTTCATCCATAACTCCTATCCTTAAATAATTTGAATTAACCTTAGAAACATCAATGATAATCTTTCCATTTTAAGTAAATTTAAATGCATTACTTAACAAATTAATGATTATTTGCTTTATTCTACTTCTATCAGAAAACACAATTTTTGGGATTTAACTAGCGAGATTAAATTTGAATTACACCTTTTTCATTTTAGCCTTCAATTCAAACATTTTCATACATTCTTGAATCAAAGTTTCTAAATTGAAAGGTACTTTGTCAATTCTAAATTTCCCATTTTTTATTTATGCCAAATCCAATAAATCATTAGATAAATTAAGAATGTAACTTGAATTATCTAAGGCCACTTATAATTACTCAGTCAGATCTTGATTATCCTCAATTGTCTGATCATTCATAACACATTCCAGCATTTAAATGATACAATTCAAAGGTGATCTATATTCATGACTAACAAAAGCTAGCATTTTAGATTTTTATTTATCATACTCTTTTAGATATCTTATTTTTTATCTATGAGTAACATCTCGACAGACGATAATGATATTATTTTTATTAAGTGTCAAAGTCAATTCGATTAATTAATAATTTTCAGTATTAATCTAGGTTTACGAAGCCTGGAATAGTTAATTTGTTGTAGTTGAAAATCTCTATTATAAGTTGGCTTATACGACTAAGCACCCACAATTAGTTGATTTAAAGAGCATTTCCAAAGCTTATCTAAATTAGTATTTGTGTAACTGATCATTTAATGAGTCTTGATTTGAACTTTTATGTTATGATGTAAATTAATCTTTTATTTCAATTTGTTTCAAACAATAATATGAAGGTCTGTTTTACAATTAGGATGTAAATTGTAATCCATCTGCATGATCGCTGGCAGTAAATATAGTAAGACCTTCTAGTAAATTCAAAATTTCAGATTCTGTTTCTTTTCCAAAAATAGCCTTGGTTGCGTGATTACAGTATTTAAATGAATATGGAAAATTTGGATTTTCAGATTCTGTCCCCAATATAATCAAGCCCTCATTTAGATATTGTAAACAGTGATAGGTTGTTTCTAATATAGTTGTGTCACTGAATGTTGCTTCTCTTAGACATATTGAATTGAGATTCTAATCCAAGTCAAATTAGGAAGTATTCTTATTAAATTTTAGATTGTCCGGTTTGTTTGTGTTGCTAATTTCTGTAAGAAGTACATTGACTTAGGATTGATGAGGTTTAAAGGAGATAGTACAACAATATAATGATATAGAGAAACATATCAATAGCTGAGGATGTTCAAGGTCGAATTGGATGTAGAAGTAGGAATAAATGATCAGAAATAGTGACACAAATAATGGTAGGATTATGATTAGGGATCTCTTGGTTAGTTTTAAGTCAAGAAACAAGTCTTTTGTTAAAAGTTGTGAGATAATGAATTGTGAAAAGGGTATCGTGGATATATTTGAAACATTCATCAAAATTAAACAAAGTTAATCTAATTGAAGACAAATAATAGTTCCTTGCACCAAAAACTTACGATGTTAAATTTGGAGTATCAAAAATACAATTGTAATGGTATTAGTAACAATCAAAGTAATCATATTGAGTAAGTTGGAACTTATCAAATAGAAATATATTGAATATGAGACTATCATTAAGTGCATGATATTTGCCATAAGACATTTTTGATTTAACATTTTTTATTAAAATTACACATTACACATTAAATGATCATTTCAATTTTCTGTTTTTTATAATACACATTTAAATCACATCAGAAGATTGTACACAAACATTCTTGACTTCTAAGATTTTTGTTCATAATCTGATGTTAATCACAATTTTTTTAAGGCGATTGTTGACTTGTAATATCAGTGTCTTGGGAGTAACTAGTTTGCTTATTCTCTTTATCTATTTCCAACATTTACAAATAACTATTATAATTTATTTTTTATTTACAAATCTTTTGTTTCAAATGAATTTATTTGCTTTACAATAATAAGTTATTTCTTCAATAGAATATTTGCTTTCGTAATTGCAGTGCAATGACTCACTAAATTTTGTAGCTAAATGTCCTCAATAACAATTTCAATTTATTTTCTGATTGTCTCAAATTATTCGCTTAATTAAAGTCGATTTTGCATTAATTCACTTTCTAAACAATTTAGTTCAAATTTAAAATTTTCCGCAATTTACAATAAGCTAATTTACTTTGTTATAGCCTCTCTAATTTGTTTTAATTCTATATTCTGACATAATTTTGAATGGCAACTCTTTAATTCTATCAAATTGCTTTTGAAATAATTACTAGAATCTAAATTCCTTATAATTACATCTATTAGAGGTATGACTCTTTGTTGTTTTTGAATCTGGGAGGCAATTAGGCAATTACGCAGGATGGAGATTAATGACCTTACACTTATTTCTTTAGAGTTTCCTATAAGCTTTTATTAATCTTTCTGATCTGAAGAAATGAGGAGTATAAATACATGCTATTGTTTTTCGTATAAATAGGATTTCAACTATTCTTGCTTTTCTTTGGTGAAGAAGTCATCCATTTCCAATTTAATATTACATGTTGTCTAATATGATTATTATCATACTTGAAGTTTCTCAAAAATTACTCCTAATTGTTATTTCTCTGAATCATCTTTCCATTATGTTGATAGAATGTAGTTAAATAATTCCTGTTAAGTTTGGAGAGCCAATTCAAATTTATTCATAAACGATGAGAAATATCCAAAAAGAATTTATCTAATAATCACATAAGTATTATTAATATCAATTTGTATGGATTGGCTAACTGATAAAGAATGAGTTCAATTCTCTATCCAATTTCTCTCTTTCTTGTTTAAGATTCAATCTTAATTTCCTAACTCCTTATTTAAATTATGTTACATCAAAACTTGATATTGTCTTTCTTTTTCTGATTTTCTTCTTGGTTTTTTGTAGTTAGGAGAGTCAATAATTTTCGGTTCAGGCAACGTAACCTGCATAGATGATTCATTGATATTAGTGCAAATCGATTATTCCTCTTTCAGATTCCTTTTCGAAGTAATAATCTTTTCTTCATAAGTTTGGGTTTATTCCTCAGAGTAAGGTACTTCATAAACCTCAACCTCAACATCATTATTAGCTTGATCATCATGCTCAGTGATAATAATTTTTGGAATGGATGTAGATTTATTGAGTATTCTTTTTTGTCTTTCTTGTTCTTATAACTTTTTCTAAGATTTTTCAATAGACTCTTGTCTTTTCTTGTTTCGCTTAAATTTAACTAACTCCAATTTGTTTCTTCTCACTATCTTCATCCTCTCTTTTTCCTTGGTCTCAATATACTTTTCCTTTTTGATTAGAACATTATGATACGTAAACTTATTCTCTCTTGGACATGTTATCCAAGGCTTCTTGAAAAGTATTTTCGGTTTTCTCCTATATTAGATTCTCTGCTTTCTGCTTGTAATTCAAATACTTGTAACTAAGACTTCTGAACTTTTATTTCTCAGACTCTCTTGTTATTTGAATATATTGTTCGACCTTCTAAAATTTGTTATTCATCTATTCCAACAATTACTGATGTTCCTATTCTACTTTCTATTTTATTAAGACCATATTACCAATTAATGTTGTTCCACTCTCTCCAAATAGATTTTTTGTTTCATAGATTTGTAGATTTGATTTTATCTGATCTACTCAGTTTATTCGGCATTCAAGATATTCAAACGATGTTCTCTATATACAAATTATATTTTACAGCTCAATCTCTTTCTTTACCAACTCGTTTTTCTATTTAATTATCCCCAAAAATTGATGCTCCTGCATCTAATTATTCTTCCTCTATATGATTTTAGCTTTAATATTAAATTTGTGTGCTTTCTGTTTGATCTACTACTTCTTCTCATTCTTGAATCCCTCCGCCTTCTTCAATGATTCGTTAAGAGATTAACTCTTTAACAATCTATTAGATTCCTCCGATTTCAAGCTGCTGTAAAATTTCTAACTTAATGAAACTCTCTTACTCTAACCCTGTCCCTTTCCTGATTAAATGTGGTGTAATACAATTCATATTATTCGTGCATAATATATTTATTTATTAATATTATTATAATCATCTCAAAACCAACTGATTGAATTGGTATCTAGTTTCCTATAACAATTAAGAACCATTTCAATATTATTGAAATATGTTTCATTTATCCAAACTTCATCATCTTTAATCATTAAGTCGATGATAATAAATCTATTATAGGATGAATGAACTTACTGTTATATTTTTAATAGACCTAGCAATAAAGGTCCCCATTGTAAATTTTGAATACCAACACCTTAATGCTAAAATGCCTGTTTTTTCTAAATTTTGGACTGTCTTTCAACACAAAGATTATTAGGATCTTATTTCATATATAATATTACAGTATGCAATAAAATGATTGAATATATCATTAATCATTAAGGATTCTAACTTATTTGATATTATTTAATTTGTATACTCTAATTGATATTTATAATCTATTCTTTATACAAACAGTTAAATTAAACTTAGTTTTTTAATACAAAATGATAAAAGCATAAATTTCGTTTAATTCTTAAAACAATTTTCAATAAAGCTAAGATTGAAATTTGAATTTGAATTAGATTATCCTAATTCCTGATAGATTATTATTTGATACTTTTAGATATGAATTTTGAGCTTTAATTTCCTATTTAAATTTTAAAAATAATAGTTATAAAAAGTTCAAAATATTAATGTTAGTTTCTATCTTTCTTAATGCAACTTTTTTATATTCAATTTTGAATCTTGATATTAAGATGTCTTCATTTCAATTATTGAAGTAGTTTACTAAATTTACTTACCTTTATTTGCTTTATTTTTTCGATTATAATTTGGACTATGAAATTCTTTAAAGTTCCAAATTGTAAAAATTTTTAATCGTGATATTCCTTTTAAGATTTTTTAAATTTTCTCACTTATTTATTTTCAATTTCCAAATTATTTTATAATTCTAATATTTAATTAATCATTAACACTCCAAATTGACTTATGGGTCCGAACAATTCAATTTAAATTACAAATCTTCTGAACAAGCTTTATAATATCATAAAATTAAGTGATATAAAAATGCACATGTAATATGAATAATGATTAACCTGAAGAAATGGCCATTTTAAATAAGTTGGGAATTCCGATATTTAAGAATTCAAAATTTTATTTTTTTCTTCTTCATGTATTTAATCTATGATTTAAACTATTACTATTACTAAATAATTATTATTTAATTTATTTTTTATTATCCTTTTGTGAAACATACCTGTAATGTAATGAAGTAAATTAATAATATATACTTTTAATTATTAATTATAAAACTCTATAATATTCATTTGGAGATATCAATACTTTAAAAGAGAATTCCTAACAATAGTCATATTGGATAAGTGGCAGCTCTTCTATTATATCTTGGAGTTATAGATGTAACTAACTGAGTCCTTCTTCATAAAATTGTTTCTATTGATATTTATACTTAAATACCCCAAAATTCTGAACAATGATAAAAATTCTTCTACATGAGTAAATCTTGTAATGTGTGCAACATTTCTAAGTCTATTTTTCAGTCTTATCATTAACTTAAGAAATTCTTCTCCACCCTGTTCTCCTAGAGTCTCAAAAACCAAAGCGCGCTAACGACAAGCATAGGACACCATAGCTTTGGCATAATTTTTTTGGATGTTTGTAGATTTAACTAATAGGTTAGGCGTCTTAATTTTTTTGGTTAGATTGAGCTTAATTGATTTGGGTCTCGCTGGTTAATCTCTAGAATCTTCATTGCTACTATCAGAATCGAATTGACTCTCGGTTTCAGATATAGTTTTTAGTTTTTGCTCTTCCTGTGGTTTGTTCACTTCGATAGATATATCATTTGTTTAAGTATTATTATGCTTAACTTAATTTGGATAGTTAATTATCTATGTATTAGTGAATGCAATTGGTGCTGGCATTATAAAATACTAGAACCCATATGGGTAGTAGAATGGTTATTGTACATAATATCCATTAATGTTTGTATTTAGCATCAATTATTATAAATAAATAAACACAACCGTACAACTTTATTATATTAGACATTGGATTCGGTTTATTCGCTTAGAAATTAATTAATAATATTTTTGAATTTTTTAAATAAAAGACTTAATTGAAATTTATATATATATTATTTATAAGCATTCAACTTGGATACTGTTTAGTGGTAATGAAGTAAGAATTTATTCATTTATAATGAATGAAAGATCGAAAATAAGAAAAAATCTGATAAAATTAATTTTGTGATAAATTTAATATAATTATATGAAATTCTATATTATTGCATTTCTGATATTTGCTTCTTATGGAGTAGATATTGATAAGAATACATTTTCGAATTACAGAGAAGTGAAGATGCAGCATTTACATATTGAATGGTTATTAAATTTAAGAACAAAGATTATTGACGGATCGGCTGAATATACATTTAAAGTGACAACAGCAGAACTTAAAGAAGTATTAAATTTTCAAGTATGAGGTTCATCTGGATATATATTAAATGGAAATTATGCATGCATATTATCCAAACGTGGGAAAAGTTTTGGATTGGCATGTAGAATCGGATCCAAAATAAAGTCTAGTTTAGGGAGACAAACTCATTATTAAACTAGGATAATCGTACAAATATGGAGATGTCTTTTAAATGAGAATTAAATATTAAATAGGAGAGGCAGCAAGAGCGTTGAGTTTCTTGAGCATTGATTAAACTGATGATAAAAGTATGAGTACTAATTAACAAGATAGAGGCTCCTTACTTATTTTCTTAATGCGAGGCCAATAATTGCAGATCGATGATACCATTACAAGACACTCCAAGCATAAAGTTTACTTACTCAGCAACTGTGCTTACTCAAGATTCTTAAATTAATGTATTTATGAGTGGACTTCCTGTTGAGAATAACAAGTTTGCATTGATGGAGTAGTATAATATGAATGGAATTGCAAAAGTATTCCAATTTGAATTAAAAATCAAAATCCCCGCATATTTAATTGCCATAGTAGCAGGAACAGTCTAAGAAAAAGCAACCGGTTAAAGGACATCAGTAATATCTGAAGCCAAAAATATTGATATTTATCAAAAGGAATTGGAAGACTTAGATAAGTATGTTAAATACTTAGAAGACTATATTGGTGAATATAAATGGGGATTCTATAAAATAGTAATATTACCAGCCTCATTCCCATTTGGTGGTATGGAAAATCCATTGTTAACTTTTGCAAATCCATCCATCATAGTTGGAGATAAGAGTGGTGTCAGTGTTGCTATACATGAAATAGCTCATTCATGGTTTGGTAATACCGTAACATGTAATAATTGGTCTAATATGTGGATCAATGAAGGATTTTGCGTGTTCTTGGAAAGAAAAGGATTATTACAATTGTTTGGAGAAATTGATTATGTTTATGTTAACTCCTAAGTTGGTACAAAAGAGATGAATGCGTTGATCAAAGAATTCAATACTAGTTCTGATCCTGCTGTGAAATCATATGCTAGTTTACATCCAATAACTGAAGACCACAATGCAGATGACAGTTTTAGTGTAAATTATTCAATTAAATTAGACTATTCCATATGAGAGAGGATATTAATTACTTTTCTATTTAGAATTTATAATTTCAGAAACTAAGTTTCAATAACTATTAAAAGATTGGCTCAGATAAAACGAATATTAAAGTGTTGATGAGAATGATTTTTACAATTTTATGATTACCTGGATTTAATCTAACTTTACAATTGAATAATTCTTAACCATGAAACAATAAATCGATACTGTCTATACTAAATGGATATATGATACAGGTATACCATTTAACTTATTCCTCTAGGTGCTCCTCCTGTAAAATTGGGATTTCCTAATGATGCTTCAACTTAAGCAACAGATTTGGCAGAGGATTGGCTTTCATCAAGACCTGGAGAACAACCTTAGGGCTATGAGATTTTTGATCAATTCAAATCAAACCAAAAATAATTGTTTTTGTCTTATATGCAAGAAAAATACGTTAATTTGAATTCGATAACTATGAAGCAATTGGATTTAAGTTATAATCTTAGTGAGAATAAAGACGCAGAATTATTATTTAGATGGTATACGTTATCTATTCAAACCAAATATGCTACAACTAACACTAATCTTAATAAAATTAGAACCTTTGTTGGCAAAATAGGTAGAATGAAAATGATCAACCCTATTTATAAGGCCTTGGATAAGTATTCTATTATAATAAATTTAGGAATACTGCTCAAACTTGGTACAATGAAAATAAAAATTTTTATCATCCTTTAGCCAGACAATCGATTGAAAATATTATCAAAAGCAAAGGCCAATATATTAATGTTGAATTATTATGAATCAATTATTCTATTGATGTGTGAATTAAATATAATATACTACCTAATTAAAATAGAAAGGGGAAATTGTATATCCAAATCCAACAATCTTGAAATTACAATTACTTTTGGTCGAAACTATCCTATTTTCTAAATCCATTTTTTATTTATAATAATTTATTTATTTGCTCTTAAATAATAAGTATTGTCAAAATTTGTTTGCATAAATACTAAAATCCAAAATTAAAGTCTCCTGAATTTATGATAACTATAATTCTATCAAATGGAATGAATTATATACTAAAATCTAAAATTTGATTCTCCTTAAAGTGTCTAATTCTATTAATTAATTAATTCAACTAATAAATTATTTATATACTAAAATCTAAAATTTTATACTCAATTTAATAGAATATTATTTATAATAGAATCAATAGAATAGTTTATTTAAATAGAATTTAAGTTTTTCTTATAATCTGAATTCTCAACTACCCATCACTCAAACAAAAATTTGGTCTTTATATGTGTCGATTTTTTCAATACTCTAAATACTTATTAAATTCTCTCATTAAATATTTACTAATCTATAGCAATTTCTACATCACATTCTAAATTGTAAAGACATCTTAGCATTTTTGATTTTTCAAAGAGAAATAACTTTTTTAATCGAGTAAAATCTTAAAACTATTGTTATTATACCAATCCTTATGAGTTGATCTAAATTATATAGCACTATATTTTTCTATTATTTTATCCAAACATCTATTTTGAATGAAATCATAAACATCCCTTTTGAAATCATTCATTTACAAACCAAAAAGTTATGTTGTTAAATCAAGAACTATGCATATTGAAAAATTAGTTCTTTAAATTTTATTCAAGATTATTACTTAAACTAAATAATAATAATTTAATAGGTTAAGAGTTGTATTATTTTTATGGCTTTTGATCAATATTAATGAATAATAAATTTGATATTATTGTATCTGAATAAAGTTGTTTACAGACTGATGCATATTTAATTTTATGTAATTCAGTACAAAAAATAGAGTAATTATTCTACCTATCATCTCTACTTGTAGTTAAGATAAATAATGAAATTGTTTTAAAATAGATTAAAGTATTTCATCATTTAATTGAATAATCCTTCATTTATTTGAAATCGGATTTTAGATAAATTATTATTAAATAAAATTTAAACGGTGGGAGAAGAGAAAATAATCAAGTAGTTATTTAAGTAGGTATATCTTTAGTCGATACGCATTAGATACTGAACTATTATAAGAAACTAATGGAGAATAAAAGCGAGAATGCTGAATTACCATGCCAAGACAACATTGTTGAGGCTATGTAGGTTTGTTTCCGCATAATGTGTCAAATTGTGGATTCGTTTCTTTAACGGTGTAATAGCATAGGATATAGTAAGTATATATATTGAGCTAAAGAACCAATATCAGCTATTGGAAGATCAATTAATTTCAAAAGAAACTGAAGCAAGAAAAGACATCCAAAATTTAATAACAATAAAAAGAATACGCGGAAGACTTATAAGACACATGCGAAGAGATGTAAAAATAATTGGAGAAATCTAATTCATAAATATTAGTATTGAAATGATTAGTATTACGGAAGCAATTATCAAAAGAGATAGTTAGAATGAAGAAATAAATCGGGATTTCAAGTCAAGAGCGATTAAAGACTGATACTATATAATATAGATTATCAACAATTTCATCATAATAGAAACAACAAATTTAACCAACAAATGTTTCAAAAAAGAAGACATCTTAAAATCTATAATTAAAATGGAATGATACAATAGCAAAAATTCGATATCAATCTTAGGGTAGACTATAACAATGGAGAGATTGCAGGAATTGAATACTTTATATAAAAAACAAAGCTAAAAAGCTCAATAAAGACGAGGTCAGAATACAATTCATATCACTGATCAGATGACTAAACCAATAAAGTAAAAGAGAGTGCAGTCAATCCATGATGTTTGAATACTGTTATAAATATATATTAAAATATAAATTATAATTAATTAATTCACAATAATAAAATTAAAAGCAGAACCAAAAAAGTTATAAAAGCGCAGATCAGCATACACCATAACTTTTTCTTTCCTGACTTTTATTACTCTTATGTTTTTTCCAATTATTCTCCGGCCCCAACAACATGCACCATAGTAGTTGTAACATTTGTCTCAATTTCATCAAAGATTGTACCTTGATGCTCTATTTCCAATGCCAGATCCTATACTATTTTATTTACGGTGTATGCTTTCATTTGCAATTTATCAAGGTCTTCTTGGTTTTGCTTTATAAGTTGATTATTCCAATCCAAATGTTCATATTGCTCTAAAGGTTCTACATTTTATAATTGCATTTAAGATTGGTTAGTACTGCCTCCAGAGGTTGATTATTTCGATTGAATTTGTGAATTCAAGACATAATTCTAAACATCTTACTTAGATGATAATTTCATCATTTTATCTATTTCTTTTAATACATCTTTCAGTGGTTCGTATCCACAATCATTCACCATATTCTTATACAATTACTACTATCTTTGTAGGTGGCTAGTATATAAATCTCTTAATTTTTTAGTTTTGTTTCTTTATTCGACCCCTCGCGATTACTTTGAGTTATTGTTTAATGTACTTGCTCCAATTTAATAATCTTCTCTTTAAGGTTCAATTACTGTAACTAAATTGTTTTTAGTGCCTAAAACACTTAATTCACATTGTGTTAATCAATTTCGCTTTCTCCTAAAACTTACAACTCATCCACATTTTTCTGAAATTCAACTAATTCTTATCTAACAACCTTGATAATATTAACTAAGATTACATCATATAACTAATCGAAATTCATATCACTGTTCAATAATGAAATATGCAGATCGCTCATTTAAATTATTAATTATTAATTGCATTCAACATATATTAATATATTTCAATTCAGAATACTTAAATAAAATTCAATATTTCAATTCTCAATCAAACCATAACACTCGTTTTCCATTTATCCAATGTCCCTTCCTACTTCCCTACTAAGCATTCCTGTACTCTCCAACTCCATTCTATTTACCATCCTCCCACTATCCACTATATTGTCTATTATCAGCTAACTATATTTCAATCAAACAATACTCCATCTCAATGTGCCGAATCCATGTTTCTTATCATTATTGTATTCCCCCTCATAAATTGTTCCATCTGCCCATATCATCTTGCCCTTTCCATCCTTTTTATCATTTCTCCATTCTCCTGCATAAACTCTACCATCTGTCCAATTGAAAGTACTAAATATGAAACATTAATTAAACCCATATCCATTAAATTAATTATTTCTAAATTCACCTTCATACATACATCCATCACTAAACTTATATATACCCTGTCCTGATCTTTTGCCAAACTGGAAATCCCCTAAATATGTAGATTAGTCAACAAATAATTCGAATCCTTGACCATGCTACAAATTTTAGAACCATTAACCTTTATACAAAGATCCATCATAATGGTAATATTCTCCATATCCATGATCTCATATTTAACATTTACATATACGTTAATCATCAACCCAATCTCCAATATAATAATCACCGTCACAATATATCATCCTCCCTCTTCCATTAGCTAATCCTTGAGAAAATTAGCCTTCAAAAAGGGATCCATTTTTCTGTATTTCAATACCTAGTAAATTTTACAACTAATATTTAACCTTTTCCGCTCTTCTAATCCTCTAGCCATCCTCCTTTATATAAACTCCCATTTTTTAATTCATAAATACAATGGTTACTTGTTTCTACCCCTTCATCTTCATAAGAACCCAATTTATCTAGAAGTTCCTTTATTCTAAATATATTATACCTTGACTTTTTGAGAAGAAGACTAGAACGATTCATTAGTCTGCATAGCTACTTTGCAATTTGGTTTGTTAAACTCAAAAACTAAAGAACACTCTGTTTATCTAGTCTTTGTTTGAGATTGTAATTTATCTAAATCATCTTGTATTAGAGGCTCATCTGAAACAACTAAGGGCTCTTTTATGACTTCTGCCCTTTGAGTGTATACCAGTGGGCTTATTTCACTAATTACAGGTACAGTTTCAGAACATACACATTATCCCATGATATAATTATTATTAGAAGTAAGGATTATATATATAACATCATGGCTTTTTAATGAAATTATTCTTGGTCTCAATCTCTTATTCTATCCATTCAAGTACACACTCTTTTAAATTCTAGTTCTTCTTCTTCAATCAATAATAATCCACTGAAAATTGTGCCAATTTCTCAATTTTTTTAATAATTCATAACTTTTCTTACCTATTATTATATCTTGTATTTTATTATATCATAAAATATCTTCACTACTATTCTTATAAATCTAAGACCTATAGCTATAAGATCAGCATTTTCTATTATTATTTGTTGTTCTAAATTCTCATTAATTTTAATTAAGCGATAATTCTAACTTATATGCTTTGAAATTTGATGTTTTGAGTAAATGCAGAAATCTTTATTCATATTCATTTATTTTGTCATTGAAATTTAATTTACAAAAATGCATTATATGAATTAAACAACACAGTCAAATTTCCTTTGCTCTCATTTTCCCTATATTTATATTAGTTAAATCTGGATTTAACTAGTTCTTCTAATTAAGCAAATAATTAATCTAATTTCTTCTTGATTGAGTAGCATAATTATATTCATGTGGAAAGGTTGAGCATAAAGATTAAGCATAGTCCCTAAGCAATTGGTTTCTTTAGAATTTCCTGAAGCCTTTTAAGCTATGGCTAATTAAGATCCAAATTTTTGATTTAGGTTATCTAATTTATTTATAGTCTTTCATTCTAGGCTTAAATTTTTGTCCTACCTTTATTTTTGATCTTTAAAGGCGGCTACTGACACAGCTTTAGATTCAGCAAAATCATTGTATGCTTCTTGGATGTTGGCTCATAAGGATTCTAAATGTTAGGCAACCCTTTCAAGAGCTGATTCATCAAGTTATCCTTCATAGGTCAACTTAAATTGTAAAATCAATCAAAAAACCTATATATGAAATTATGTCTCCTGTAGCTAATTTTGAAAAAGCATAGAATATTGGAGTAAATCTGGCTGTTTACTTTACATTGAAACATATCTGAAGCAATCTTTTAGCAACTCTGCTGATTTCAACAACGGATCATGATTCACTATTGATGGAAGCCAAAATGTCTGAGGCTTCATCAATGGTATGGAGAGCATTTTCATAATCTCTTCCTTTTTCTTGAAATAACCAGCTTCACCTTTAGCAGATTTATAAACTGAGGCTAAGTGTTGTTGGGATGAGAAATATTATAATAATTGACTTCTTATTGGTTTGTGGCTCTAATATTTGATGTTTAAGCAACATTCAAGGCAGCTGTTTAGTCTCTAAGGGTGTTGCTTGCAGCGCACTATGTGCAATAATCATAAGTAATAGGATTCTAAATTTTTTCTTGTTATACAAATTAAAGGGAATTATTTCAATTATTCATTTTACTATTATGATTGAGATCTTTATATAACATTATGCTTTTATTCAATTGTACAGCAATATATTGAACGATATTAAAATTTACTTCTAAACTTCAAGAGATTTACTTCCTTCCTTTGTTATTCACTATTAAATTTTAATTTTATTTTTATTCAACGCATACTCCAACATTCTAATAATTCAATTCTTCATTATATTTAATCTTCGAAATTGTATCAATTTATCCACTACTTATTGAAATTTATTATTTTGTGATCTGCCTTGATTAAAAAAACTAATGGTCACATTTTCATTTTAAAATAACTAAGAGTGGGTTTAGCTGTGTATTACTTACCCAGTTATTTATATCTATTGATGAAGTTGAAATTCTTCTTCGACTCTATATATTTCTATTAATTAAATACTCATAATAAATATTATTCTTTAAATTTAAAATTCTTAAGTTTACTCATATAAACAAGTTCATTTATCATTGTTGGCATTTTTTTTAATTGAAATACACTTATTATAGTAAAAATCTTTTAAAGAAGAATGATGTAAACTGTTTCACTAATTTTTGATGAAGATCCATAATAATAGAATCTTTTAAAAATATATACTAAAATCAGAAATATAATTCTCATAAAATAAATATCTATATTATAATTTGCTTCTTGTATTTTTTTTTATGATAAGAAATCAGATAAATTATTCTTCTAATTAGTGAAATATGTTTTAATAGAATTCAATAACTCAACATTAGAATAATTTTACTATGAACTTTCATCTGAACATTTTGGAAAATTTATAAAAAAATATACTCAAATTATAAAAATTATTCTCCCCTTTCAAAATCAAAAGAAAACAATATCAATGATCATTTATAAAGCAGTGAGAAGTGCTGAGGTATAACACAGAAATCAGTAATGTATTGATGGAAGTCAAATTGTTGATGTTATTTAGAACGACAATCAAATTTTTTATTCTTTATGAAAAAAAAATGAAAAGTTGCTTTATTGCCCAATAAAATATTTGTTTCTGATAAATTACGATTGATATTTTATTCATAAATTCATTTCTAACATTTCTCTTTTAAGTTTTTCAATTACTTTTTCTACTAATGTCACTAATGTTTCCTCTGTCTTTTCCCTTTCTCCTTTATTCTTTCTTAATTATTCTTGGATTCTAATGGATATCTCTCTTAAATTCTCTAAAATTTCTTCCTCTTTTATTTCTCTTTCTTTTTTTTCTCTATATAATGTATAAATTATAATTACTTTTCAAATAGTACTCTTAGATCATTCAACTATTCAACAAATTAATGATAAATTTTTTCCTCTACATCCTTTCTTTCTGTAATTTCATTTTACAATTCATCTGCTATTTTTGGTAAATCTTCATTCAAATATGAATCAATATATTCATGAGATGTTGATTATGCCTAAATTAACACAATTAATACCAATCCTTCCTTAATTACATCTTATTATAAGGACTCTATTTATTATCCAATTGAATAAACAATTTTTTTTTCTTATTCTACTCTCTCTTTAGAGTTTTATTCAATCAACCTTCTTGCATGTCTTTCTAAGTCTGTAATCAATTTAAAAGTTTCTGTTTCTTGTCTTTCACGACTTAATTTAGAATCATCATAAATACTTCTCTTATTCTTATTCTAAAAATTCAGTTATCTGTCTAACTTTGGCTGCAATGTAAATAAATTTCTCTTCCTTCTGATCTGACTAATGTTGCAATTGTGCTTCAAAAGCCATGATCAATTAACTAATTGCATGAAAACGATTGTTTTTTCTAAAACATCAAATTATTTATTACTCATCCTAAACACTAGTGGAAATGTTATTTAATTTTTCAAAGATTGAAGAGACTCTATTTTAGATACTTTCAGACATTTCTTTAATAATTTTTTATTTGTATATAAAAATAGATAATGTACATCTATTTATAAGCTTAAATAACTCAACCAAGTTCCAGTTGTTAAATGACACATAAGCTTAGTATTAGATACATTTAATATATATTTAATTAATAAAATAAATTCGTTAATGTTGACTGATAAAACAAATTCATATGAAAATAAAGCCAATGATCATAGTTACATTGAGGAGCATCAATAATTATTCTAGAAAACTTCTTAGTTTACAAACATTGATGACAATAGCACTATTTACATAGATCAAGAAACCAATGAATAGAGTGTCATTCTAAGTAAGGACCCAGAAGTTTAGAAATCTATCTGTTTATAAGAAAATGAGATTTAGAGATTGTCTTAAGCATATGCTGATAAGTATTATTATGAAATGAAATTTGAACAATATCAAAATCTATTGGCATAATAATAATGCACAATCTCTAAATTATTGAATGAGAAAAAGGATTTGCAATAAAAGTTAGAAAAATCTATTATTTAAAATAATTATCAAGAAAATTACAATTCCCTATAATAGACTCATCAATTAGAATAAAAATTAGAAGAGCTACAATTATAAAATGAGAATTTAATACAATAAAACGATTTGTATGAAAAATAATTGGAGGAAACAAAAAGATTGTTATAAAAGTTGAATAAAGAATAAGAATCATTGTAATTATAATTTTAAGAATACAAACTATAAGTATTTATTAAGGAATAAGAATAATAATAATTGATTGCTCAGTTATAAAACAAAAGCTCATCAGAATCTAAGCTATCCATCTATTAAGAATTATAAGATCAAATGAATGAAATAAAAGAACAGAACAATTACTTATTTGATTAATTAAGCAAGAAAGAATAAGAAATTGAATAATATTTTTAGAAATAATTGTCAAATATAGTAGAATAATTCACTTAAGAAAAATAACAATTATAAGAAGAGTTTGAATCGTAATTAGAAAATAAGAATGAAATCATACATCAATTAGAAATCTAAGTGAATGATGTGCATAATCAAGCATAACAACTATATTCTGAAAACTTACAATTGTAAAATCAATTAGATCTATTAGGACAAAAGTATAATATTATAGTGTATCATTTTTAGTTATTAGGAAGACATTTAACAATAGGCTAATGAATTATCGTCACAAGTAGCAGAGTATAAGATAATAATAAATAATTTGGAAAATTAGATATTTGTGATGAATGCTGAGATCCAAAGAAGAGGCAGATCGAATGGTAAAGAGAATGCCCAGAGAGTCTTATAAGGAATCCAAAAACATAATTAATAGAGACTCAGTACTGGAGAGATGACATTCTCAAATATAACTCCTAGTTCCAATTCATTTAAATACTAAAACCTAAAAAATTGATTAATACTTTAAAATTATATAAATAAATAATTCATATAAGACAAAATGTAAACTTTCTATCTCCCATGTTATAGATAGAACCAAAATAATGGAAAAATACTCCTAAAAAAACAAAACAATGCCACCATTAATGACTATGGCCCTAAAATAAAATCAATAATTACAAGGATATCGAATTTGCCTGGCATAAACCTCTCAGGAATTCTTAAAGTATACAAAGCCAATCCAAATAAGTAACTTGATCCCATCAAAACATAGAATAAAAATGAATGTTTAAATGGTAAATAATCTGAAATATCCTATCTATAAAATCTATCAAGATATTAGTAATTCATACTCTCTTAAATAAAGATGGACAGCTGGAACACCTGCAAATAATCCTAAAGATCCATACATGAGTCCTTTAACTTTTCTCCACTTTTCAGTATGAATGAAATCAAAGATAGAAACTATGTAAGCAGCTAAACATGCAGATCCTACTGTGATAAGGTAAAAATATCTCAAAAATGCATCGCAATAAAATCCATAATAAAATGGAGGGAAACAAGACCCCAGAATAAGTAGAGAGATACCTCCGTAATCAACCCTCATAAGATATTTATTAGCTTCTTCACTCATCTAATAAAATAAATGGAATAATGCTGATCCAGCCATGCACATTAATCCACTCACCAAAAATACAATTATTGGCCATCTTGATACATGATAAGGATCAGTATTATTTCTTAAAAATTGCTCCTATTTGAAAATGGAGGTATGGGAATAGTCATGCTTATAGATTTCAACCCAATCAAATTGTTCGCTGTCGATCTATTTACATTAAATAACACTTTACTTCTTAAATTATTTTATCTTTAAATAAATTAAATTTATTTTAGAATACAACTGCATATTCAGCTACTTCCTCAAAATTGAGTATATCTACTGTAATTTTCATTAAATGGACTATCTCTTTATATGTCTCAGACGTAAGCATCGAATTCTGAAAATGATCAAGTTTATTAAAAATTTCTTCATATTTTTGTCTATCAGTTATAATGTTTTGGCTGCTAATTGAATTTGGGGTTAGTGTTGAATTAAAACTAAATATTTGATCAATGTCCTATTCAATTCTTTGTCTGTGATCATAATGATAACTAACAATGTAAATAATTAATAGGAATGTTAGAAATGATCCTATAACATGTGTCCAAACATTGACAAGTTCATTGTGTTTCTAAAAGAGTGACTTTAGCACTAGCCAAGGAGTAGAATAGTTAACTCTATAGCCACTCAGAATGTAGATGTTGTCAACCGCATAGTGTTTGGCTGCTTGTTGAATAGTTCCAACATAATGTTTTGCTTAGTTTATAATTCCTTCCATGCAAAGATTAATTTGAATAAAATAATAAATGTATGCCATGAATTTATACAAGAATGCTTTTTAAATAGTAAAAATACGTAATGATAATAAACCATATGCAATATTTTAATAAATTATTCAATTAATTATATGATGCTAATTAGTTTATAGTGCTACCAAATCACGAAAAACGTAGGGGAAGGGGCTA